TCGTTTCAATTCACGAGACCCAAAACCCCAAGCGAGCCAAGATTTGACTCTCAGTGGAACCTTTGAAGCGTCGAGGTTGGATTCCTGACTTGTCAATGGCCACATCACATCACAAGAGGAATCCCTCGGCCTGGAGCGCATGTTTTCCACTGTGACAGGGCATCCTCCGATTCTGGCCTGCTTCGCTGTTCGCCGTTCGCCGTTCTCCATGGGAAAAACGGCAACTCGTGGCCATGGAGCCCCCCTGCTGCATGTAGCTATTGACGATTTCTTTTTTTTCCTTTGGTGGCTAGCGGCGGCAGCGGCTCTTCCCTTGTGTCGCGTCGCGGCTAAGCTAGACATATTGGATCAAAAGAAAGGCAAGGGAAAAACAGAATTTTGCTGGCACCTTGCAGCACGCCTTTTCCATCTCGGTTTGTGTAGTCCGACGCCATTACGTAAAAGGTTGCAAAAGAAGTGTCTGGGCGGGACGGACGTGTGACAGGCACTCAGATGTTCTAGACTTTTGGGGACGCTTTGCTGGTATCCCTACACTACAAGTACATGTAAGCGAGGAGGGGCGGGATGGAGATGCACAAGGCGGAGCGGCGGAGAGGAGGAGGCTCTTTGGCGACTTTTGGGACGACGACGGTGAGAGAGTGAGAGTGAGAGTGAGACTTGGGGGGCCAAGGCGGGCCACTTCCGGGCAGCTGAAGTCCACAAATCTCGTAGGACGACAGCCAAGAAAAAGAAGCGTCAGCGCTAAGGAATGACAACATTTGCGGGAAAGAGGTTGTGCTTTTCTTGTAAATCGCTTTGTCTAGGACATCTCCGAGGGAGAAGGTTGAGGTCCTGGGGAGAGCTCAGCCGCCAGGCGACGTCGCGGCGGGGCAAGAGAGTCCAGAGCTGTGCTGGAAACGGTGAGGTGGTCGATCCCTTCACAGGGAACGGACCACCAATGAGTCAATTTTGTCCTTTTTGGAGTAGGTTTCGTCCTATTCGCGACTTACACTTCTCGACACTACCTCAAAACAACCCATGACATGAGGCGTGATTATGACGATGTTTCTTTGATTACCCCTCATTTTCTGGATTACAAGTGAGTATGCTGTAGTTGAACGCCGCCCTAAAAATTGTCCACGTGAGAGGGCTCATGTGACACCACCACCTCTTCCGCGGAGATACCTATACCTGCGCACATTTCGCGGGCGTCCGTCGATGTCCACGATGATTTGCGACATGACTGCTCACCGTACTGCCCACCAAATTGCGGCGCTGAGTGATGAGGTCCAGAAGAGTAAATGAAGGCAGCCTCTCTAGCATTCTCGCCACCAATTTAGCAGAATGCGGGGGAGGTTGTGTCGGGGAAAACCTGGGGAACACGGCGAGAACCGTGAGAGGGTTGCTTGCGATAAGGATCTCGAGGTTGAGTGGCTGCATCTATCTTGTCTTGGTCCCCGTCCGCGGTCGGGGCGTTTCACTTGGCTCGTTGCTGCCCTGGTGCCATTCCGGGGAAGGTGGAAGAGGCCAAGCGCTATCAACGACGTGCTACGGAGTACATCCTCCAATGTCTGTGTAAATATCTCGGGACGCTTCATCAATCGTTCATCTCTGGTTCGAGTCCACCCTCGTGTTCGTGACCGTTTTTCTTCTGTTTCCTCTGCCCAGAGCTCAGGGACCAAACATGAAGGATATGTCAGATGATTGCTTAGCGTGAACGAATCAAGTGCTAGCCGTGACCTCTTTTTTGGCGTGACAGTTTGGATGGAGTATCCAAGCTCATCTCCCAATTAAGTATCTATGTCCGGAAAAAAAAACGAAGACGAAGATATCTGAGAGCAATACGACGAACGCTTGGCTCGAGAGACCCGAACTCGGATTCTGTTATGCCTTTTTGAGAAGACGCACGTCCAGAGACAAACGTTAAAGCAACATGGAAGAAAGACCACGTGCGAGAAGGGGCACGAGCATAGCCTCGCGGTAGGATTTTGACTTGCCGCGCCCGTTGTGCGTGTTTGACCGCGGGCTTGGGTGACCGCTCAAGTCAGCTCACTTACAATTCCTAGCATCCCATTGAGAAGTTCAGACGTGCGCTTGTCGGAGTTTCAAAGAGCATGCCCCCTTACCCTGCCTTTCATCATTTCCATGTTGGTCGTCGTCTTTAGAAATCATGGGACGAATGACTCCTCCAAGAGTTAGTCTCTCTTGGCAAACTTTTATCCTTTGGGGATGCAGGTGGCTTTGGCTGTTCTGGTAGGCTTCTAAAACGGGTCCGTGACATTCGGCCTGGCCGCGTCCGGCCCAGTGCGGTCCGTACTCCCCGCTGGAGGAGCGGGCGCGGCGCCGTGATCGGGGGAATAGCAAAAACCAAGCGTGCAACAGGTTCAGTCACGCAAAAGTTTGCACGACCCTTTTCATGAATCAGGAGGAGGGAGGGAGGGGGGGGGGTTGAAGCGAAATTGGAATGTCACGATGTGAACCGGCAAGAGCAACAGGATGCCGGCCGAGAGGTATGACAGCAATGCAGTACGACTCCGCCTCGAGAGAGCTGACGTGGTGGGGGTGGTTGGAGGGGCTCGGGATGGTTCCCGGATCACCCAAAAGGACCCTGAAGCGCGCAAGGGGTGAGGAGGGGCAGGGAAGGGTGGGATTTGTCCCGCTCGGGTTTTGGGCATTGGAGGCGACGGTCACCGATGAAGACCGCCGGCTGGCGGTGACGACTTGTCAATGGAGACGGTAAGGTAGAAGCCCTCTACCGTTAAACGACATTTCAGTCTTTGATGACGCTGGTTGGCGTGTGAGCGGTTAATTACTGTGGCAGAAGAGATGGACATTATGAAAAACATTAAACAGCGGAGCTGGACGATCTTGAAACATGCTCATGGAAAAGATGTTACATAAAAACCATGGCCAAGGGTTTTAGAGTAAAATAAAACAAATACAAAAAAAGCTCTATAGCAACGAAGGAACAATATTCGTGAGTTGGTTACTGACATCATGTTGACGATCTACTGGCGCGATGTACCCATACACTAGAAAAACTATGCTTGGCTACAATCCATACCTCGTTACGACTTGGTTACGACCAATACCCACACCGTAGCAGGGCTGCAGGAACTGTGGTCCTTTGCCCAAATTCAGCATAGTGCCAAGAGTATGGGTCTGAACGACCGCTCTGGATCGTGATGGAAGCGTTCCATCTGGGTTCTCTGGCTTAGGTCATCCACCTCTGGTCTCCTCGTCCGGGGCGGGGCCGGCAAGAAACTTTTCCGCGGGCATGTTGGGAGATGGAGCAAGTTTCTCCAGCTCAAGCTCCATTTCAGTCCTGCAGCTGTGGCAGTGGCAGTGACATGTGTGGGAAATCAGTGGATATTGTTGTCTGCGTGCGGCCGGGGGGAGGGGTGTGGTTGAATGGAATCTTCTACCCACGGGGTTGAGAAGAAATTTTCAGCTGCTGCGGCTTCGTTCTCTTTTGGAGGTACGGATACGGATAACACGATGGGATCAAATGTGAGTGAGTGCCAGCGGCCACCGGCATGAAGCTACAAGATGACCCTCCACGGCCCCCCCCCCCAGTTGGAGCTTTGTTTTCCTTGGCTGTAAAGAGACAGAAAAGTGAGAGCCCACGCCTCGTCAAGGAAGGGTTTTCCAGGTACGAAGGGCACATATACTAGTGTTACTAGGTGCATTGGTATGAGGGATTCCTTGCTCGTTGGAGACCTGTTGTTGGAGACTACTTGGAGCATGCCGACTGAAGTAAAAAATTTCAATAAAATTCGCCTAGTAAAAAAAAAAGAGACAGAAAAAAAAAGAACCGTCGAAAATGGATGGGCAGGTGATCCCGGTTCTACGTAAGAGAAACGACATGAATGGCCCGGTGGCCTTGGAAGTGGATACCATATTACCCCTGCTTCCCGTCCCTTTTTTTTCTCCGTTTTTGTTCTCCCTCAAGTGGGAATTTTTGGCTTGCGGTTCGTTTCCATTTTCCACTTTTTTCACGATTCTACGCCAAGGCTAGAAGCACGTTTCCCCAGCCAGGAATGACATTCGCGCACGCAATCGAGCAGACAAAAAAAACACAACAAATCGAGATGGCGGCTCCATGTTGGAAAAGAAAAAGATGATGGCTTGGACTTGGCAGATCAACGCGGCTAAATGACAATCTCTGCGGGCAGGCAATGAATGGACTTCTTCCCGCACCGCGCCGGACCGCACTCCCCTTTCCTCGGTTTTAGACTGGACTGAATTTGAAGCCCCGAGATGGCAATTCGTTACGGGGACGGAATGGGCGCTTTTAAGGATGGTGATGGTGGGGTAACGCACGGCTTACTGCTGGGCATCAGAGCAGAGTCAACAGACAGAGAAAGACGGTGACGGTGCGCTCCGTCGGTCAAGCAGAGGACCTTTCATGCACTCACTATAGACCGCAACAAGAGCCTCAAAGTGTTGAACATTCGGTAATGAGGAGAGGCTGAGAGGCGTACCTACCCGAATCGGCCGATTGGACGGTCGGGTTGATAGGCTCGACCCTTTTCCACTGCGGCCTTGCCCTGACTGCAGATCCGGTGGTACGATCGAATGGGATCTCAGATCTGTTCTATATTGCAGCAGAGTGTGCGACACGAGGTTTCAACTAGACAGCATGATGTGGCGGTGATGCTGGGTGGGTTACGGTGACACCGTTAACTGGTTTACGAGATGTGACGAGAAGTCTCATTGTTTACTTAGTTTCTTTGCGCTTCGGCATGAAATGCTTGCGTTTGTGTATACGACGGACAGTTCAACTGCTCGTTCCCTTGCTGAACTCGACTTACACCGGCGTTGTATACGTGTTTGACGCGCCCGGCGCCACTTTGCAAGTCAGTTTCAACGCGGCCAGAGGGCGCTGATGACTGATGCCATCATACAAACACATTGCCATGGCATAGATGGGCCCGTATGCTGATTCCCTAGGCTTTTCCATGTCGTTGCCTGTTCAGAAGCCACGTCTACCTGTCGTCGTCGTGGCCCGTTCAAACATCTCACCATGAATATGTTACCGGCTGGGCACCCGGGGCACATGCCTCGTGGGCCGTGGAAACCTTCCCCAGAACACACCGGGAAAAAGACATCAGGTTTGCAGCTTGCTTCTGCCGACAGATGCATTGTGATGGCCTTATTGACCAAGTCACCTGCACTGTCATCTGGCACGACCACGCACAGCGTGGAGAGCTCCGGTTCTTGGAGGGCGGGCCACCCCCGCAGCGCGAATCCCTGGGCAACAGGAGGGGATAAAAAATCGTACCACACAGGGCATTGTGTGCGACCGCACCGGAGGGAAGAAGGATGCGGTTTTGTTCTGCTGGTTTCCTCATGCCCATGGCCAATGGTGTCATTTCTCAGAACGATGCAGGCCAGCGCCTAACTAACAAACCTCCTCCAAACCTAACTTAGTCGGTCAGTGCTAAGTTTAAGCTACCGCAACCGATCTACCCTCGCTGGCATCAATCTGGGAGATGCTGGCATCATCCTCCCCCGCCGTCCTGCGTTATTACTGCGGCGCGCTGGAAAACACCTGGATGGACGGCGGCTGCCTGGCCGTGACCGGTTGTGTTGCGAACGGTCGCAGCGGCATGATGCAATCCACAGAGTTCGTCGTGTATGTGCTGTAAGCCTGTCACTAGCTGTAAGCCTGTACCTGCGAAACCCCTTTTGTCTCCATTCTTTCGCCATTGTGGACTACCGAGCACGACCTCAAGGGTTCGCAAATCGCGATGGCGGCGAGAGGGAGAAGGAAGCTGAGGCTGCTGGGTATTTCCTCGGAGCGGTCAGGTACAGACTGTGCAGTAATTAGCATCATGATGGCAAGTAGGTACTTACCGCCAGTCTGTTGCCCAGGTTGTCTTTAACCTCTTGGTGGCCCTCCCTACCCAGGCTCCGGCAATGTTGGTCCGGGATGAGATATACGTACCGAGTTTACCTGACCGCCGCGCTACAGGATCACGATCAGGCGGGCGGCAACGCATCCCCAAACAGCGCCGTCTCTTGCGGTGGACGGCTTCATCCTAGGAATAGAATACAAGTGACGGATACCCTACGTACCAACACGTGGGCCCGCCAGGACCATTTCTCAGTGTCATGGCTCAGGACTCAGGAGAGAGAGAAAGGTTGCGACTCTTGGAGCCAGGCGCAAGGTCAGGCGGCGCACCAGGAGCCGACCCATGCCAGGGCAGGCTACGCCATGCCTTGCAAAAGTTGTAACAATGAGCCAGCTCGGGCCAGCATCCGTCCTTCTCAGCCAGTCGAAGGGAGCCGGTGGGCTCAGTCACTGGTTGGCGTTGGTCATGTTCGAGAAAGTGTCAGTTGGCGCAATGTACTTCGGTACAGCTGCGCTTGGAACAAACTGGAGCAGGTACTTGGCAAAAGGACCCGGCTGGTGGAGATGGCCCAGGCTCTTTTTTTCACACTTTTTTTTTTTCTCCTGGCTTTCTTCCCATCCTTGGTTGATTCACCTCTCTGCTGGATCCACGTCCACACCTCTGTCTCTCCCAATGTATCTCTTGTCAGTCATAGTTCCCAATGTGGATGTCTGATGAATGGCTAATGTACTCGATGCCGCGCTGGGCTGGGCCGCGTCAAAACGCCGGAGCGGAGCATGTGCCGCCAGGTACCCTTCCATCTCATGACACATAATTACCCTATGGAAAAACTTGCCCATCACGAGCTGGCAAGACATAATAACGCGACAGGTTCCTGCTTCACAGGTTCTTGCGTGCTAAGAGGCTGCTATTACAAGAGTCTATCACCGCCGTGACACATCATTTCTCCTGATTTCTCTCTCGTTGAACCTCTCCAACTTTGACGATAACCTCACGATACCACTCGTTCGAGAAGCCGAAAAAGAATTCCTGCACTCTTCTGGAGAACCCCGGCCACTATTGCCTCCTCCGCACTCTGCATCTCATCTCACTCGAAAGCCCGCCGTTAAGCGCAACGCTGCAGCCGCATTCAGCCCACATTAGCACAGTTTTTTACCCTGCGCCATACCTGCCACCCCGGTCGACAAACGACTTACACGAAGCAACGAAAAACCCAAAGGGGAAATTGTCAAGAGACGGAGTCATCGCAGTCGCGCAAAAAAGTCTGCACTTGTTCATTTCCCATCACCCTTTCCACGATCTCGGCTTCGATAGATCCGAGAGAAGATTCCAAAAAGACACTTGGTTTCCCTCATAAAGCCAACTTTTGCCTCCTCCACGCCTGTTGCGAACGAGAAAACGAAGAACAAGACACCATCTAGCGCTCCCACACACCCCGCATCCTACCATCCATCGCTTTGGTCGCCTTTTATCCCATCTTTCTTCCTTTCCCAGCGCGCATAGCGGAAGTAGATCCCGTCCACCACCCGCCACAACCCAGCCCAAACAAGCTTCGTTCTTTGCTGTGCGACGCCGCAAAGGAAAAGAACAACCAAAACGGGCAAAGGACAGAAACGAGAATCAGACCTTGTGCTCCTACCACCCACATCACCTGGACCTTTCTTGCAAGGGTTCGAGAATAGCAAGAGAAAACAAGCCATTGCGCTCCACACTCTTTTCTCTCTCTCCAAGTCTCTGTTCGAGTACAAAGAGAAAAGGACCCCCGGACATCGTCGTCTGCCCATCAGACCCATAGTCACTCATCACTCGTCAGTTAGGGAACATCAGCAGACCTGCCGTATTCCACCCATCAGCTCATCAACTTCCCTCGCACTTACACACACACCGCCCTCGCCCTTCGCCCTCGCGCCTTTACACCCTTACCACCACCACACACCCGCCTGAAAGGCCCTGCGCGCGCCCGCATCAGCCTCGCCTATCCTTCGGGATCCGGCGAATCGACTCTTTTTGTCCTTTTTTGGGGGGGTTCCCAAATACTTCTGACTGAACCCATTTCCCACTCGGACGACCCTCCGCCCAAAAAACGTCACACCACCTCCCTTATATTGCGGTTCATCCGCCCCCCTCCCCCCCTTTAACCCCCCTGTCCATCTTTGTTGGCCCATCTTAGCCAGCCAAGATTTACAAAAGAAGACTTGAGGGCCGTAACCGACCATTCCAAGATTCAGCAAGCCCTCGAAATCCGGGGAAAACACACCACACACCACAACCAATCATGCCCCACCGCGTAGCAAACTTTCTGCGGAATTCCACTGAGAACTTCAGTGTTTCTGCCATTGCCAACCTCAAGACTAAGACCAAGCAACACCAACAACAACACCAACCCCGTCACAACAACAACAACGTCCAGGACGAAGGCTTGTTGCGCAGGTTGCCCCTCGACCGCCACTCCTCCTACTCCTCCGATGACGGCGAGCACATCCCGTACCACAACATGTTCGCAGCAGAGCCCGCAGACCACCTCAAGGAGAAGAAGCACCACCACCACCGCCTCTCTCTGCCTTTTGGCCGCTCCAACAAGGACCCCCACGACAACTCCCACGCAGGCCTCGACCTGAAGATTGAGAGTCCGCCCATTGTCTTCTTTGGCGATGCCGAGTCCTCCACCGGCGCCCTCGTCTCGGGCCAGATGCAGCTCGAGGTCAAGGACGAGCAGCTGCAGCTCGAGGCCTTTGGCGCCAAGCTCAACATCCACGTCCAGCAGAAGCGCCCCTTCACCAACCACTGCGGCGAGTGCACCAACCAGTACACCGAGCTGAAGCGCTGGACGTTCCTCACGCACCCCACGACGCTCAAGAAGGGCGTCCACCAGTTCCCCTTCTCCATCCTCCTCGAGGGCCACCTCCCCGCCTCCATGGACACCCCCATCACCTCCATCGCCTACGAGTTCAAGGCCGAGGCCACCCTCGTCAAGGGCACGCCCGGCTCCCAGACGCCCATCAAGTTTGAGCACAACTTTGACGTCAAGCGCTCCCTCCCCCAGCCCGAGTTCCCGCACCACTCCGTCCGCGTCTTCCCCCCGACCAACATCAAGGCCAGCGCCCACTACAACCAGGTCATCCACCCGGCCGGCACCCACAACGTCTCGTTCCGCCTCGACGGCCTCACCAGCGCAAACGCCACCAACAAGACGGTCGAGTACTGGAAGCTGAAAAAGGTGACGTGGAAGCTCGAGGAGACCATCAAGACCGTGGCCCCCGCCTGCGACAAGCACGCCCCGATCCCCCTCAACGGCGCCACCCAGCAGCAGCAGCCTCCGCAAAAGGGCGTGGCCCGCACCGAGACCCGCGTCCTCGGCGAAAAGTACATGCACGACGGGTGGAAGTCGGACTACACCAGCACCGACGGCCACGTCGACTTTGAGTTTGACTACGGCGTCGTCGCCAGCAAGCACAGCCACGGCCCGCGCTACGCCTGCGACATGAAGTCGAGCGACGGCACCGAGGTCTCGCACGCCCTCATGATTGAAATGGTCGTCTCCAAGGAGTGGGCGCCCGTCGGCAAGCCCCACCTCGCGACGCAGACGGGCACCGGCCGCATCTTGAGGATGCACTACCACGTCATGCTCACCGAGTGCCCCGGCCTCGGCGTCAGCTGGGACAATGAGGCGCCGCCCGTCTACCAGGACGTGCCCCCGTCGCCGCCCGCGTACCCCGACGAGGCGGCGCCCGTCGACTACGTGAGCCTGGAGCACCTCGATGGCCAGGCGCACAATGGGTTGGCGCATAGCCGGGAGGGATCCGTTACTGGTGGCTCTACCACGTCATGAATACCAGCACCACCACCAACAACATCACATCACCAATAGAGGAGGAGAAAGAAGAAGAAGCAACGCACAGAAACAGTTGCAGTAATTCAAGAAACAGGATGGAAAGGGGAAAACAAAAAGTTATTGGATTTTTAGGATTTTTTTTTTTTTTCAAACGCGCATTATACCCCCTGGTTTACGAACCGGGCGCTTGTTTTCTTAGAGGATTTGGAGGAGGGCGGGAAAGACATTGTCACAACTCAGTTGGATTTTTTCTTTTTACTTTGGACTTTGAAGAGATGCATGGCATTCTGTGAAATGACCATGAGAAATTGATTTATATTGCATTGCGAGGCGTTGAAGGGAGAAGGGAGCTGACGGATGGGCACATCCTTGATGATGCCATTCCCCGTCGTATGGCTTCTCAGTAGCTAGCTCGATGACGAGACATAATTCAACCAAGAAGATTTATATGCAGCATGACCATTCCACTATCTTGCAACTGCTTGTGGCTCTTTTCTTTTTTGTGACTTTTTTCTACACTGTCTTCACATACACTATCTTCACATATGCCTTGGTGTGATAGTGACTGAATGCTTTGAATCCGCTTGAGCGGCAAAATTTGCCGCGATATTTACGATGGAGAGAGGAAAAACTTCAAACAAAACTTGCCCCTCCCCCCGCCGACGAAACTACAATGTGTAGAATTGTGACATGTGAAATCCCTCGAGTCACGACTCTTCAAGGGAGTTGTCCGATGTACAAGTACCTTGCGGCTCAACCCACGTTTTTTGTAGCTAGTTTTGGTTTTCGCATTGTATTTACCCGCTACGAGTACTGCAAGACTAGGTACTCGAATGGCAAGGTTCTTTGGGACGGGAATGGCCCGAGCGAAACCAAGCGAGTTGCAGTGGCTACGTGAGGCTATGGAGTTCATCTTTGCCAATGATTACTTGATGAAAACTACCAGCTGGGGAAGGGGTGTGTGAGCTTGGAGACATTCTGGACAAAGATTCAGAATTTCAGAGAGTCTAGAACGACCCGCAAGCCGACGGTGAATATCCTTGGCGAGCGGTTGATCTGAGCTTTGGATTCAAGGGTCTCAGTATTCGGGGGCGTGGATCACCGATTTGCTGTCTGCAGAGTTGAGTTGCTGGTGTTGTTCCTGCGCTGCTGGTGAGTTTTCCTGGCCTTGCTCACTTGCACAACATTAGGTAAGTTGGGTACAGATTTTCGAAATGGGAAAGTAATTTCCCGGCATGTTTCCCTGGTGCAGTGCCACGTCAGTTTGGGGCAGCGGCACCCGTTATTATGTTTTGATGGCGCCATGGTAGTTTCGAAATGGGTGATTCAAGGCCATCTCACGATGATGCGGTGTGCGACAGAAACCTTTCGAGCGTCCGGGTGGACGGTGGGCGGTGGGCGTCGGGCGGTTTTCCGCGGGTGCACGTGGTGAAGTGAGCCGGTGTAGGGGGTGCATGATGTGTAACCGGCGCACCGGCCCGGGTGTGTGTCGTGGACTGCCCGTCACCCACCTTCGGATGACAAGCCGGTGGGTAGGGGGGCATCATCGTCAACCATTTCAGACTTGAGACCAGGCTGGGTGACTGGGACGGCCTCAATGTTGGTTCAATGAGTCAAGCCAGGCCAAAAGTCATGCGAGAGCCGAGTCAGATGGACGATGTGCGAACATCGGAGCCGGGCCCGTTTTGGGATAGTTCGCAGCGGCGTCTCGCAAGTTGCGAATGTGCGAAAGGAGCCTGCCTGTAGCATCTATTTCCGTACTAGGAGCAGAGGCGAGAGAGAGAGCGCGCTCCAGACCCGGTGTTCGGGACCGCGGGCATCCGGGTCTTGAGGGAGAGGACAAGGAGGAAGAAGGGGGGTGCGTTGTTGGAGAGCGCCACCGGGGTGGCAAACGTAGGTTACGGGCGACGGAAGAGGTGGTTTTTTGTTACGTGATTGAGATGGGGGGCAAGCCGGAGGCGCTCCCGAAAGCCGGGGTGGCTGGACTTCCATGGCACTCACTCACATTGAGAACTAAAGGGCGGCGAACAGAAGGGCAGGCCCAAGGCGTGCTCGGCGCGCTTCCACCTGGCCGGCGGAGCTCGGAGCCTCTACTCAGATTGTGTCATTCTGACTCCCGAATCCCATGAGCAGAGTTTCTACTTCCTCAGTAGCCCACCTTTCCGTGCAAGCGTCTAATACGGAAGAGTGGGGAGAGGCTCTGCACAGTTTCCGGCGTCCATGTGTGTGTGTGTGTGTGCTAACCATGGAACTGGTTGTCTAGGGGAGAGGATTTTGCTGAAGAACTTTCTCATCCATTTCTGAAGCTGGTCTTGAACCAACGCCCACTTCGAACCCGCCTCGCCCCATCGTTTTAGCTACAAGACTTTCTGCAAGTTGTGTATCTTCGCCCCCAAGCCCCGTATCCCCCAATGGATCGCCACTGGGGGCCTCCTCTCGATTTTTGGGATTTCCTTGGTGTATTTTCTTTCGTGTGCCTTGGTCTGAGCAGCAGGTGCGGGACGCCGAAAGAAAGAAGAAATCGCATGCAAACCCTTGGAAAAGAAAAGGGTAGACGCAATATTGATTCCCGTGACGAATCGTTGCGTCAGAATCCCACCAGCCAGCGATCAACGATTGTCATTGCAAAGGTCGTGTTTGCTCGGATGAGTGTCACTGTGGACATGAAATGGTCAGTCGAGGAATGTAATCGACCTACGGGATGGGAAGAAGTTTAATTGCTCTTTTGTCAGACAATCGCCAATAAATCTTCTGGCCGGCTGGCGCAATGGTAGCGCATCAGACTTCTACGATCTCTTGGCAATTACCAGAGGTTTGGCAATCTGGGGGTTGTGGGTTCGAGCCCCACGTTGGTCATCTTTTTGGTTTTCGTACTAGATGCCTTTCTGGAAAGCAAGGCTTTCTCCTAATTCAAGTACCCCTGCTGTCTTTCTGTTACAGGCAGTGTAAAACCTGCCCTGGATGGCACTAGGCTTTTCTGACTGGTATCCGTACTCGCACCCGACATTTAAGCGAGAAGAACCTCTAATATAATTAGCTTTAGCTATAATCTGTACTGCTACGCCAAGCGCCCGCTACGCTCAGCTTTACCAGCCTGTTGGCCCCTTGGGGCGGGGGGACCACCCTGGACGTATCTTATGATCTATTTCTTAAAAGAAAGTCTATTTTCAAAGGCGGCTACGGCCGCGGGTCCCCACGGCCGCCGGTCCCCAGTGTTTTTCGATGTCGCATCTTGATTTTGACCTCCTGGGGAGTTCTCATGTAGCCTCGTAATTGAACCAGGAATAGTGAGAAACTGCGTTCCAGGTGATGTATGTCCTGAATTTCCCCCCTTCTTGAATGGCTGTCTATATCTTGGTTAGGCGGCCATCGACTGAGCGTCTGCGATATGTTATGAATAGCTTCTAGACGACGGAGCAGAATCACAGAAACTACTCGCTCGATCAAGGCTCTTCTCCTTCAAAAGATTTGTGACCATTCACTTCTCCTTATCTAGCTAGGCTTGTCGTAAACATATCACCCACAAAAGAACCGCTGGGAAGTGCCCTACACGGTACAAGCGATATCAACCTTCGGTCATGATACACGCGATAGGAAACTTCGGCCGCGTTGTCGGTGACACCCCAGGCCTACGCCCCATCACTCCCCAGCTCTACCCGTTCTAATCGGTAAATCTCATACCACTACTAAAGTCTCACTGCATACTCTCATACTAAGGTAATCAAGCAGGATGCCTGTGTTTTCATTGCGCCAAACTGAATCCAGCCTTCAGCCACTGATAATATTCTGACTTGATTGATGACTGATTCTTGGCAAGATGCCATTGCCACTGTACGCCGGTCCTGCAGCTCGGCATCCCCGTCCAGAAAGTGTTTGACTGGGTTGAGGACCTGAGAACGCAATAATGTCACGATAATGCCTTTGAGACTGGCCGAGTCAGTTGCCACTTCGATGGCCCTGATATGAGCGGAAGTTGACGCAGGCATTCAATGAATGGTATAAAGGGGAAGACAATACTGTCCAAGTCTGCTTTGGATGGCCAGACAAGTCGGCATTACCTTCGGACAAGAAACAGCGCGACAAACCAAAGAATTCTTTCCAGAATGCTCTCAAGCACTATCGAAGAGAGCTGGATATGGGCCACTGTAGCTTGCTGCCTGGTCACATTCCTCGTTCGAAATGCCCTCTGGCCAACAATCCTTGACTCAGAAGAGCCCCCTATTCTGCGGCCCAAGATACCTCTGATAGGTCATTTGATTGATTTGATCCGTCTGGGCTACAAACAAAATGTCAAGAATCAGTGAGTCCTGAGCCTTCAATTCTCCTTTCTGAATGTCAAAGACGTGGCTTCAAGGGTCTGGAAACGCCATCGAGCGGGTCAGGTCACTGTGGTCACCAGTGCACATTAGGCTGACGATACACTAGCGAGAAGTTCAACATGTTGGCGTACTCGTTGCCTATATTGGGGGGCAACCTCTACGTAGCATCTTCACCTCAACTGGCATCTTCAATCTTTCAGAAACGGACCCTCAGCTTTGAGCCTCTCATTGACAGATTTGTTCGCACTTTGGTAGGCATGGAGGGCCACGGGATGGAGTTGTGGACGAACCCAGCCTTCCGCACCGCCATCTTCAAGGTTCTCTACAAAGGACTTACCGGGCCCTCGTTGAATGAATTGACCAAATCAGCCGTCAGCCATCTGGCCACCTCCCTCAACAAGATGCCCCTTGACCAGCGAGAGTCGATCGACTTCCACTGCTGGACGCGCGAGACATTGTCCAAGACCATCATGGGAGGCTTCTATGGGAAGTTGAGCCCTTGGGAAGACCCAATGGTAATGCGAAGCTTCTGGTAAGTGCTTGCGTTCCTATACAATTTCTTTTACCATGCAAGTTGTCCTGACCGAAGTCCATTGCTGATTCACAACGCACAGGATCTATCACGACGACATGCACAAACTTTTCCCCGGCATCGCTCCCTCCGTCATCGCCTCGAAAGCATACAAGGCAAGAACAAAGGTCATTGAAGCGTTGGAGGCATACATAAGAAGTGAGAAAGACTTTGGAGCGGAAGTGGCTCAGTTCACGAGGGACAGATTCAGCGCGGAGCGGACGTTTGAAATGTCCATTCACAACAGTGCCAAGATTGAGATCCTTCTGGCCACCGCTCTCGCCAATGTCTCTACCCTCGTGTTCTGGCTTCTGTCCAACATTTACAGCCAGCCAGAGCTTTTGGCCAAGATTCGAGAAGAGCTCATCAATGCGGCGGTTACCGGCGAGAGTCCAAACAAGGGAGAGGAGGTCCAGATGACACTTCATCTGGGCAAAATCAAGGAGCACTGTCCACTACTATTGTCGTGCGCGCAAGAAACCGAACGGCACTACATTGTTGATAACATTGTCCGAACGGTGATGTCGGACACCACCATATCAGATGGGAACCGCTCGTACCTCCTTAGAAAAGGAAACAACGTCCAGATGCCGCTTAGCATTTTGCACAATGATGCAAGAGTATGGGGCGCCAACCCGGAGAGTTGGAAAGGTGACCGATTCCTGAACATGGGCTACAATGCGGCATCACCGCCCGGCTTCCTCCCGTTTGGCGGGGGCAAGCACATCTGGTACGTTGCTTAATGTTTCCACATGGGTGGGCTAAACTGACCGTCCATATGGCAGCCCCGGCCGTCACCTTGCAAACGGACTTCTGCTCAACAATGCTGCCCAACTATTACTCAGCATTGACCTGGAGAGTACGGATGGCGGCACCATTCAGGTCCCAGAGGCACAGGTCCCCTGGTCAACAACCGGCATAGGAAGACCGGAACATGGGCCAGAATCCAGGGTCAAAATCAGCCGACGGAAGGATTGGGAGCATGTGAAGTGGTCTGTTGTGTATTAAGATGAGCAGTAGTAAAGACTTAAAAAAAAAAACCGGGATGCTTCTGGCTTCCTCGCAGCTGGGTTTTGGTTTGCGTGTGCAATCCGGGGGGGCTTGGCAGGGCTTCGTTGCGAGAACCCAGACTTTGCATGCTCGGCCCAAGGGTACTGATAGTCAATCAGAGTTTCCTCAGCCAGTCCTTTGCAATGATCAGGAGCATTGCCGCGTGTCTAGACAAGCCGTTGACCTGACTCGTGATCCCTCTTATCAAGACTAGCTACTGGCGCAGCGGAGGTTGGCCTAGTCTTAGGGTAGCACTCGAGATAGCTGCGTCTCCGCTGTGGAGACGCACAAGCCGTCCTCAGGTCTATTTACAAAATATTTGCCGACGTAAACAGCAACATCCGATATGGTGTAGTGGCCAACATGATGCCCTCTCATTCAGTGAGAGGTTAGGCATAGCCCCGAGTTCGATTCTCGGTTTCGGAAAAAAGCACGGCCACTGTCTCTAACCGAGTATGACCTTTTTAGAGTTTTGCACTGCTGATAGCAACTGCATGCTTCCTCCCTTATCTGTATAGCAATATTCTTGTGACAGGCAGCGCGTGTTTCAAAGCAACCAACTCAACTTGGGGTCTAGAGTTACTTAGCCAGCTGGCAATTTTGAATTAACTATTGAGTCAGTTAAGCATTTTTTTAAAAAAAAAGAGTTGTTTAGTAACTTAAAACCCGCTACAGCGAATTAAAAGGCGCCGGAGGCACCAAAATTTAGAATATTGTAATCCTTATTCTTTTTTTCCATTATTAAACTAAGTAAAAAGTAATTTATCTACCTAAAGTAAGTAACTCAATTTCATTCAGCCTAACAGGTGACTAATTAATTAGCTATATTTTAGAAGTTGACTAATTTAGTTTGTTATTTAGTTGTTGGAGCTGCTTTGATTGAAGCGCTGGTCACAGACCAATTGATATATGACAAGTCTGTTATACATAGTAGCACAAGGTAGCTCAAGGCTCTAAAGAATTATATTCTAGGAAAATGCAAAGGCAATCAATCCTCTTTTCATTCGCTGGAAGTTGAGGCTTAATCAATAACAATGCATGTAGATTGGGTGTAAAGCCCTGAGAACTGAATCTGGTTGCGGAGTGGGGCTTCACCGATACTTCTGTACGCTTCAAAGCGTTCAATGTAGTTTCCATATCCTAGGGTAACCGAAATCGAACAAGCACATCACTTAGTTGACTGTTTTTGAAATCTGAGCAGTATGTATAACACGTTACATGGTAGTAACCCTAAGGCCAGACTTCCCTTTGATTGGAATCAATGCGAAGTCAATATGTTGATGAGAGAAGGGAGATTATGAAAATAAGAAGAAACCAAGGTGAAACAAAGGAGTGAAACTAGCTGCAAGATTGGCAGGAAGAACGGTCTTCTCATACACTATTCTCATATTACTCGATGCGGCAAGTAATGCTCAGAACAGTTTGACCACTTTTACACATGTTTATATTTCTGAATGTAGGAAGAGATTAAAGGAAGAAAATGTAGGAAGAGGGTACACCAAGAGAATACAGCCTGCTTTCAGACTTGGTCAAAAGGCTGAACATCTCTGGAGAAGCCTATGGTATAGAGCTCGCCAGCGGGACTGACCCACGCGACAAGAAACTCGCCAGCAGCCACTCGATATCGCTTATCGTCGTCAAACCAGCGGGGTGAATCCATATTGGACGAAGGGTTGACATCCAGCGGTAATGATATGATATTAGCACCGTTCCAAGTAATCCACTTACCGCTGACGTCGATTCCATAACCATGCCAGCGTGGCTTTTGAACTACGACAGACGTGTTTTCAGAGTCCTCATCATCCGATGTAGCATTCAATTCTGGAATCTCATCGGTAGACTTGCTGATAAGAATTTCCCCGAATGCAGTCCTGAGATGCGCATCATCTGGGGAGAAGGACATGCTGAGGAGGCTGCGTCCGACCTTGAGAACTTGTGCACATTGCCCCGAAAGCATCGACCAAATCCGTACTTCTTGAGCTTTGTCCGCCGATGCTAGCAGGTCCGACTGCGATGAGAAAGCAATGGCAGTTATGCGAGTTTCGTGACGGAGGAGGGCTTGGCGGGAGCACTTGCTTGTTGACCAGAGAGTGAGCTCTTCGCTACGGCCTGGTACCGAGGCTATCCATTTCGAGTCTGGTGAAATTGCCAGGGCGCTGAAGCTGTCCACTTCTTCGGGCAGATCGAAGTGCTTGCCCGTTTCAATGCTCAAGAACCTGATCTTGTGGTTTGCCTCGTCCCACATGTCCTCCTCGCCGGGTAAGGATGGTGCCTCGACTATATAAGCCGCCGATTTCCAGTCAGGTGCCACCGTAATAAGGGTGCCGATGCAAGCAGGGTCTCTGAATTGCAATCCTTCCTCCAGTGTCCAGAGGCTAAAGTCATGAAAAGAGCCAAAAGCAAAGGACCCAGAGTCCGCAGAAAAGATCACAGAACCTCTCCCTAGGACAGGATCGTAACCGGCTGATTGCGAAATTTCGAGCACTCGAATAATTCTTTTTTCTCGAGTGGTCTGGATAGAAAGTCCATGAGGTAAGAAGATATGTTTCGAGTCGGGTGCTAACATGGCAGTTCCATTGTCGAACCTGGCACGCTCATCTTTCAATGTCTGGAGGAGGTCACCAGTGTAAGATGACCAGAGGTTAACTTCGTCGCTCTCATGCATCGAGACTAGTTGTGGAGAGTTTTCAGAAGAGTCCCAATGTATGAAACAACATCTTGTCGGCATGAATTCAGGCTGGGCCGATTGAGTTGTTTCGTCCTTGAGCTTTTTTGACCGCTGGATCATTGACATTGACCAGATGGCTGCCTCATCCCTCCTCATTGTGACGAGAAACTTTCCATCGGGCGAGAAAATTGCTGATTTGGAAAACCTAGAACCGGTTGACTCTACACCTGGGGTTCCAGGGAAATTTAGCGTATGGTAAAGTTCGCCGGTATCAAACGAGGAGATTGAAACGGAGTTGCTGTTCGTAGGACTCTCATATGCGAGGAATCTCGCGTCGTAGGACACGGATATGTCACCGTGAGTAGCCCCTCTTCCCGACGCCCGAAAAGTCCAGTGACCAGTAGTGATGTCCAAGGTTCGGATTTCTCCCTCAGCCTCCTGAACTAACAAAAGATTCGTATTTGGTACGAAGGAGAGAGGGCACAAAACGAACGCATTTGTGTTGAATGTGCGTAGACAACTACCTGTCGACACATCCCAGACATCAATCTCTTGGCAGGATGAAGTAGCCACAAACTGGGAGTCCGGTGAGAAGCAGATGAGTGATCGTCCTTGTGGCATGGATGAATTGTTTACATGATCATTGCGATTGGGAAAGCCTTCCTTTGACAGCTCCCGCCTGCGTCCCGTCGCAATTGTACATATTTCAGCAGTACAATTGGCATAAGAGACTGCAATCATCTCTGAATCGCGTGAAACGTCAATTTGTACCACGGGGGACCATATGTCCACCCGGAGGTCGTGGAGACGCTCGCCAGTCTCGGCGAGGTAGATAGATATCTTGCCCCGAAGTTCCGATGCAATCCGTTTGGAGTCATTGAAAAAAGCGATTGGGCCGCCGTTCCCAGCAGACAGGTCCGAGCCGCAAGGTATCTCGGTCAAACAGGCGCCCGTAGATACCGACCACATCAGGATGGAATCACCTGATTGACTGAATGCAACGAGCCTTGAGTCTGGAGAAATGGCAACGTGGAAGAATTGTTCGTTTCTGACAAGACCGGCATTCTGAACCAGAGGAACCCATCCAGACTTGTGAGGGGATTGGAACTTAATGCATGATGGGATACTACCGACGAAAGCGTTGCGAACGGCACTGCTAGTGGGGGAAAAGACCAATGCCGACCAATAAATTTGCAGAGGAAATTCGACAAGCACAGAAACGTGTTTGGAAACAAAACTGTCCGCGTCCTCTAAAATTTCAAAGAGTCTGCTATCGGGCTGCTCCTTGTTAGAGTGGCACGTTGGGTCGTTGCCGACAAGCGGCGACCGGAGGGATGTAGCATAGCTTACCTCAACCAGAGGGAGCAGTTTCTCTGGTGTTCGCGTGCCGCAATCGGCTTCCCCAAGAATGCTGAGAGCCTCAAGCCAGTGGAGGAATTTGCCTTGAAGAAATCTGTGGATAGCGTCGTCGTCCTGCAGAGGTTTGCCTGCTAGTTCTAGATGATGAAACCAATGAAGGCAAGCATATCGTACATGCGGTGGCAGCTGTTTCTCCAATACGCCATTTGCTATCGTAGATCGTTGATCAGCCGGTTTGAGGTTGGCCATGTTGTAACGCAAAGATATCGAGAGGAGATCCAGGCAAGCAAGTGCCATTTGCCAGTGGGTTTCCTTGAAATTGATAGAAAAGTCTCCGGCCACTGGACTGAGCAAAAAGTCGCGGAACGACAGGTGGAAGAGCTTCACCTCCAGCTCTTGTTCTTCAGGGATGTCAAGAACTGACTTGAGAGGACTCAGTATGCCACTGATCTCTGAAATCTTCAACCCTAGCAAGCCGGCAATGGAGCTGATTGCCAACGGTTGTTCAAGAAGGATGATTGTACCAATGACTTTTCTGAACCGTTGCATAAGTGATTTTTGTTCTTGTTTGTTCCGTTTGCTCTGGAATTGTCTCAACACCGGTCGATATGTCTCTCCGAGTTTATCGTGAACACCGCCCTCTTTGGCCACCTGAATAAGCTTCAGAAGCTGCTCCTCTGGACTGCCAAAGAGGTCGTCTCTGATGAAGCGACAAGCAATTGCTGCAAACAGAAACAGGGGTATCGCAATCTCAACAAGCGCTTTTATCTTTTCGTCCCCTGGCCAATCCATTTGCAGTTGCTCGGAAGGAATTTTGTTGTATCTTTTGTTCCACCAGGCTCTGATCTCTGACAACTGATGTTGGAGATATAAAGCAATGTCCCGAGAGATAATCGCATGCGGTGTATCCTGCAGTCGATGCTGCAAATATGATGTACCATTGATGGAATCGAATGCGTCGCGCATTGCTATCTCTGGCCTGCTGGTAACGAAAAGCTTTAAGGCACAAACGTCGGAGTTTGCAGCCTTGGAGAGTAAATTTAGCAGAGCTTCAACGTCTTTCTCATCGGAACACTCATCCAAGGCTTCAACAATCAGGACCAAGTTCTGAAAACTCCCTGACTTTGAACCTGACTTTTTGAGTGGGCCAAGGATGAGCTTGGCGAACTGCTCTTCCAAGCTTTTGGAGGAGAGATTGTCTGTTTGTCTGATTGCCTCTATTATGAAAGGGCTCAACTCAGGTCGGCGCCGTACTAGTTGTTTGGCTAGTGTGCTGAAAACCAAAGATGCACTGCTGCGGTCCCTTTCTCCTCTTTTGAAAAAGAACGTGGCGCCAAGGAGGTTTGCCTCATTCAGGCTATGAGCGACTGTTCGAGCTATGACTGACTTCCCAGTTCCAGCCATTCCACTAAGCCAGTAGATCCGCTGCCCTCTGAGTTCATGAGCCCAGTGCTCAATTTCGCGCAAGACATTAACTCTGGTATTTGGATGGCATCTTGCCTCGTGTTGATTCTGATAGCTGTCGAATTCGGCGCCTTTAGCCGCGCGCAATTTCTCGAGGGTGTCGTAATCGATTGAATCTCTGATGGCGACGACATCTTCTCCGACTGATTTCACTGAATTCCGTCGATTAGAACACATGAATGAAGATAGGCTGACATTTGTGAGACTGTCTGAGCTCTACTTACGGATAGAAAGTCCCTCTGCTATAGACTGCTCATTCTCCAGGCTCTGACGCGGAATACGACAGACCAAAGCTTTTGCAAAGGCAGCTGCCGCCATGGCAGCGTAGCCTTGCCATTGCTTGTTTTTATGTGAGTCTGAGTAATCGCAGATACCTCTAATTACCAAACAGGGAAAATGGTTCATCAACCCAGCAGCCTCCATCTCAAAACAGAGCACGTTTTTGTCCTTTGCCAATATATCCCTCTTATTTGCATCTTTCATCACCTGGTTCGCCGACGCTATCAGCCCGTGATGGACGACGGGAACCGATTCTGGAGATCGTTCCGGGCGGTCCACGAAGTCGTCAGCGCCATAATCAGCTGTGGCCTTGTTTGCGTCGTAAGAGATGTTGCTACGGAAAAGTCTATCGGACTCGGAACTTGGTCGGCCGTACTTCTGTTTGAGATTTTCGCTTTTGAGAGCCTTTTGGATATCGCTTCCAAGCCAGTTGCCTTCAATTTCGAAATCGGCAATGAGGGCGTTGAGAGCAGTCCTGAGAGCAATTGGCGGTTGATTTAGGAATCCCGTCATTTCGAATTTTCCACCCTCAACGGATTTGCCAAAGTCGTACTGTAGTACACCGCCATAGCCACCCGTCGGAGAACTGACAACGATATCGCCCAAGCGGATGTCATTCTCTAGACTTGGAGCCCCGCCGCCGATCCCGACCATTAGCCCTACCCTTATGTTCTCAAATGTGCGGACCATATCCCGAGCAACAACTGCCGCCGAGCTTTCGCCGTATTCGCCGTGGGGAAGAACCGCGATCGCGACATTGTGCTTGCCCATGCGGCCGAGTTTGTACGAGTTGTTGTCATTTTTAGACAGCGACCTAGGCTCTTCGTGGACCTCGTCGAGAAAGAGCCTGGCGGCGACAAATTCGGGAACGATAGCGCAGATCCAGCCAATGGTATAGAGCGATGGGTCAGACATATTGACTGCCGGATTGAGGTGGAAGTATTTTGACCTTTTGAAGGTAACGGCCGAAACCGTGTCATTAAAGATTCGACGCCGTAATGTGAGATGAGATCGTTTCTGATGAGCGCCAACAAGCACGAACTGGCCTTGGGACCCCGAGAAAAGAGAAAAAGAGAGAATCAGGAAAAGAGGAGATGTGTGCGGGGAGTAGGATGACTGCATATGCTGCTGTAAGATTTGGGTCTAGGAAATATGTGTGATGTGGCGCAGGCTGCAGCTGATGCAGCCAAATTGATAGCCTCGCCCTGACTGGTCAAATAACTCAACTAAACTGCAGTGCCTGTTTCAGCCCTTCGTCGTGGCTTCATTCGCCAGCTTTGATAATGTTATCAAGGTGATATATGGCCTAGGTACTTGTGACCGCCAGCCTGTGGCCAACTCTGCATCCGTCATCACACATGTAATACTATTGATTGTCGGTCACCGGCTTCTGACCGTCTAACTTCTCGAGGTGCTGTACTTTGGAACGTTTGAATCAAGAAAAGAAAGAGTGACCTGCACTAGACGAGAAGTCCCAGAATCATGCATAAATAACGAGGGGTTATAAAATTTGCAAGTAAGGGGGAATTGAAAAGACGTGTTGTTGCTGCATAAAACATGTTCTAGACCTCGGAGCGGGGACTTAGTACTCATGCTGCGATGTTGAGTTGCGACGTTTGTTTTGTAAAGAATCTTTATAGTTGGGCGTAACCTACTACTTTCTCTCACCGCATCTTGTATTCATGTCTGAGCTTTGTGATGACCTGTCATCAAAGCTAAGCTCAGGATACTTTATGAAACAAATGGTGGGGATCAAGAAGGTCGGATAACGAGGGCGGGCCGAAGATTGAAAACTTCAGCTTACGCCGTCGGGTGCCCGAGTTAATGTATTCGATGGACATCCTGCACGGAATCACAGCAACCGTAACTCTGTGATGACAGGAGATGTGCGAAACATTTACCATGTCCAGTATCCGTATAAGGCGACTAGTTCAGTGACGTTGAGAACGCGAGTCAGTTGTCCAAAGACTGAACGGCCGAGTTCCCTTCAAAAGCCTCGGTTTCTGATAATGATAACGCGTACGCCACCAGTAACGTAACGAGCTCGCAGTGCAAGTGGATCGGCCCCGCATAGCGCAATGGCATCATCGAATGAGAAATCTCACCTTCCCAAATCGAGTTCGCGATAAGACGACAAAATCTCTTCGATTCCCCCCCCGTTCACCGGTTGTCCGTCTGACCCCTTTCGCGATTCTTTGAGCGAGCCATGGCCTATAGTCGCGTGATCTAGGCATCAGCGTTGCATACACGGTTGTTCAGCATTCAAATGAGGTGAAGTTTTGGTTATCAACATCCAACATTTCTGTCTTGTGTGACCGCACAGGTTCAGACGATTACCTAAGGCAATCTCACTGTGTCTCGCAAGGTGCAAAAGAAAGAGGAGGGCAACGGGTTCTGGTCACGATTCTTTCTTATCGGCCGCGGTTTGCCTGCATTTCCCTCACCTTCTCCCACCGCCAGCTACCCCGACCTCGGTGAAGGAAGCTCAACGGGCACAAGGACAAAGGGGGAATAACAAAAACGATGAGCACCGACACCATCCCGTTCCCCGGCGCCAAGTCGCCTGGCATCACCGATGTCACCCGCCACGCCTGGATCACGTCCGACGACATCGAGTCCGCCGAGACCCCTCGGCGCGGCCCGTTTGAGCCTCAAGACGACCACAATGCCGACTTTGTCACCTCCACCGAGGACCGCGACCTGAAGCGCGGCTTGGAGCAGCGCCACTTGTCAATGTTGGGTATCGCGGGCGCCATCGGTACCGGTCTTTTCCTAGGTCTCGGCGGCGCCATCCAGACCGGCGGTCCGCTTGGCGCGTTGCTTGGCTATGCGACCGTCGGCCTCATCGTCTGCGCCGTGCAGTTCGCCCTCGGAGAAGTTTCGGCCCTCCTCCCCGTCACCGGTTCCTTTGTCCGCCATGCCGAGTTTCTCGTCGACCCGGCCTGGGGATTCGCCATCGGATGGAATTTGGTGTACGGCAACATTTTGTCGATCCCCTCTGAAATCACAGCTATCTGCGTGCTTTTTGAGTTCTGGACCGACCTGAACCCCTCCGTCTTCATCGTCATCTTCATCGTCCTGACGTTTGTCGTCGGCATTGCCTTTGTGCGCGTGTTCGGCGAGGTCGAGTTCGTCTTTGCCCTGCTCAAAATCCTGCTCGTCATCTTCCTGATCATCCTCGGTTTGGTCATTGACCTCGGCGGCGTCCCCGGCACCCCCCGCATTGGCTTCAGGTACTGGCAGAGCCCCGGACCCTTCGTGAAGCACATTGCGACTGGTGACTGGGGCAAGTTCCTGGGTTACTGGGGTGTCATGACCAGCGCCGTCTTCTCCTTCGCCGGCGTCGAGTCCCTCGCCATGGCCGCAGCCGAGACCCAGAACCCCCGGCGCGCCATTCCCCGCGCCTGCAAGCGCGTTTTTGCGCGTATCGTCCTCTTCTACCTGCTTGCGGTCTTGGTCGTTGGCATGCTCGTCTCCAGCGACGATCCCCGCCTCGACGATGACTCTGGCACCGCGGCGCAGAGTCCCTTCGTCATTGCTGCCTCCGCCGCCGGTATCCCGGCCATCCCCAGCGTCGTCAATGCCATCGTCATCACCTCCGCTTGGTCTTCGTCTAACCAGAGTCTCCTCGCCGGCACCCGTGTCCTTTTCGGCCTCGCGCTCAAGGGACAAGCCCCGAAGATTTTCCTCCGCACTACCGCCTGGGGTACACCCTACGTCTGTGTGTTGCTGTTCACCGCTTTCATGTTCCTCAGCTTCATGAGCTTGTCGAACGGCGCATTGACTGTCTTCTGGTGGCTGGTGGACCTGACTTCATCTGGTGTGCTGGTCTCGTGGTCGGCCATCCTTCTGAACCATATTCGTCTCAAGACAGCGATGAGGAAGCAGGGAATTGAGTTCGGAAGGTTGCCTTGGAATAACTCGTGGACCTGTAAGTGGACTCGTCCCGAATGACCTGATGAAACTCACTAACAAAATGGAAATTCAGTCTACAGCTCTTACGTCGCACTGGTCCTGTGCATTGTCATTCTCTTCACGAATGGCTTTGAGGTTTTCACCAAGGGCAATTGGAGCGCCAGCGGCTTCGTCTCGTCTTACTTGTTAGTTTACTCTCCCCTTGTAACGTGCTAAGTGTGGTTGAATTTGCTGACCATTTTTTTCAGGGATATTCCGCTGGTTGCTGGTGCTTTCCTGATCTGGAAATTCGTTAAGAAGACCAAGGGTGTCGTTCTTGAAAATATCCCGCTCCATGATGCTTTTGAGCAGGCAGATGCCTATCCGGAGGAGCCCGAAAAGCAAGAGACTGGCCCTATACGGTTTGTCAGCTGGATCTGGAATTAATGGCGTACGCTTCGAGGTTTGCCCATACTTAAACATCACTCAAGACGTATCTACCTCATAATATTGTAAAAATACTTCAACACACCTACCTAAACTGTATATATAAGATGTAGAAGCCGGCATAATCAGTCTGGTCTCAAACAAAGACGGTTCAACACTGACAAGTGGTTCCACGACTCCACACTTATCTGAAAGAAAATCATGACCCGTTGTTGACGGAGTATCTTGAACGTCCTAGAGCGTATGTCGTACTTGGATATACCTGAAGTAAGGAGGCACTAGAGGAATCCGGGGTTTGAGGGTTTGGGGGTTACGCAACGGGCCATTCTTCCCCGGACATTCGGACATCCAGGCCAACCCCGCAACATCTTGAGATGTGCTTGAGGTGGGCCTACAGCTTTGGTCCGATATTGTGGCAGCGCAGGGTATGGGAAGCAACTTCGGGCCTTTTCATAGTGCACAAATGCAACATCGCAACGTGGGTAACCGGAAGTCTACCTTAATCGTATATGTAAGTTGAGGTGATAATGATTCAAGCCTGCCACCTAGTCCCCAACAGGTCAGCACAGTATTCTCAAAACATTCACACCTTTGGCTGATACGGATCATGACTCCAGAAGTCGAGTTGTACAGAACTAATTCACTGAAATTTCGACAACCACGCCACTCGATAACTATCCTTCGAGGAACAGGCTTCTCCATCCCCGCCACTTAGGTAAGCCCCTTGGTTCACCAAGGCACTCGTGTCGCTTTGAGTGCTCGCGAGATCACTCTCATGCTGATTGGGCCCGACAGCTCGGTTCCTCCATCAAAGCTCATCGCATTCCCACGTGTGGAGTGGAGTCCAAGCCGGTAGTTCGCGTCGGGTCGCTTCTCGGCTCGCATGTCGGAAACTACGGCGCGCAAGCATGGGGCCATCCTCAGACCAAAGTGGTGGTGCCAGCATAAACTAGTTCCTGATCGAATGTCGAAAAGACCACCTGACAATTTCTCTAGAGCCTCTATCGATAAGTACTACCTGATGGAAGAACAAGGCACCAAGCAGCGGCGAACGCTAACATTGGCTACTTGGGACAGAGACTTTTCGCGGCTGTTTAGCGTGAAGAGCCAGATCCACTGGACCGGATAAGAAATTTGTTCATGACATCGCCCACGGGCGATTTCCGAGCAGCGCAGCCCTGGGGTCCTCTGGTCAAGGCGCGCGAGCGCGAGTCAAACTAGCAAGCATTCCCCCATCTTCCCACCCTTCCCCAAAGCCCGGGCAGGGACGGCGGCGCGAATCAGGAACTCCTAAACCCTCCATGTTTCTCCACAGGGTACCCCGTGGGGATGCGCCATCCGACGGGGTGGTAAACGAGGGCAGGATAAATAAATAGTCTTTGACAGCCGGAAGTCTTTGCTTGTAGAATGTGTCTGTGGCGTGTGTGTGTGCGCGCGTGTCGTCGAGACAAAAACATCGCAATTAATCGATATTAATCGATCAATTTCGTCGCTCGAGCTCTACCGAACAGTCAAGATCATCAGCACGGTTCCATCGCAATCATGGGTGGCTTCAAGGCTGTCGAGGATCGGCCGACGCCGAAGGAGGTGTACAACTGGAAGCTCTACATCGAGGCCGTAATCATTGCGATGGGATCTTTCCTGTAGGTTTTGATGTTGCTCAAGACCATCATTGCGGCCAACTGACTTTTTTCCCGATAGATTCGGCTACGACTCGGCATTCATCGGAACCACCATTGCCCGCAACAGCTTCAAGAAAGACTTTGGGATCAACTCGGGGAACTCCAACAACATCTCCAGTAATATCACATCAGCTTTTCAGGCCGGAGCTTTGGGCGGCGCAGTGCTCTGCTTCTTTAGTACGATATCCAGAAAAGGCGTCCCGGCCAATACACTGACTGAAGTCTAGTTACCGAGCGGTTGGGTAGAAAGTGGACTCTTCAGGTCAATGTTGTGATTTTCCTCATTGGCGCAATCCTGATGACTGCCGCGACGAACCAGCTGTCATATATCTGTAAGAAAGACCTCTTATGTACTAGAAGTCCAAGAAAACTGCAGCTAATGCTTGCTGGACAGACGCGGGTCGCGCCCTCACTGGCATCGGATGCGGTGGAATCACAGCCACGGTCCCGTCATACATTGGAGAGTTGTCGATCCCCTCTATTCGTGGTATCCTCACCGGTCTCTTCGAAGTTGCATACCAGATCGGCAGTGTCATTGGCTTCTGGATCAACGTAAGTGGGCATTGTTTGGTTACATCTGGAACCTTGCATGTTGCAATCACATGTCCTAATTATTCGACTAGTACGGCATTACGCAAACCATCAACCCCAACCTGCCAGCCAGTTGGAGAATCCCAATGGCATTCCAACTCGTGCCCGCCGGAATCCTGTTTGTCGGTTGCTTCTTCATCCACGAGAGTCCGCTCTGGCTTCTGCGTAAGAACAAGACAGAACGGGCCCACAAGGTTCTTGAGGGTCTTCGAGGCTTGCCGATCGATCACAAGTGTAAGCATTCGAAGTATTTAATGGCTGCTACACGCATGATGACTGACGCGGATATACATGCAGACATGCAAGAAGAACTCGAACAGTTCCAAAAGAAACTTGACGAAGAAAAATTAGTCTCGTCGCAATATGGAACCGGACAATGGGCATACCTGCGCGGCGTCGCGAATATTTTGTGTCGCAAGGGCATGTGGAACCGCCTTGTCCTCGTCTTCTGTGCCTTTGCTCTCAACAATCTCTCTGGAGCCGCGGCTATCAACTACTACTCGGTAGGGGGCGCTTCATTCCGCCAGACTTCGTGATCTGTCAGTGCTAATTCCGTTGATAGCCTACCCTCTTCGCGTCGATCGGTATCACGGACGTCTCTCTCTACACCGGTATTTACGGACTGATCAAGGGTGAGCTCAGTAATTGTTGGGCCCATAGGAAATTCAGTGTGCTAACTAGATGTATAGCCATTGCGTCTATCATCTACTTCATCTTCCTGATTGACGTCCTTGGCAGACGTTGGCCCGCAATCGTCTCCTCGTTCTTCTGCTCGTTGTGCCTCTTTATTGTTGGAGCCTACGTAAAGATTGGACATCCCGCCGATATCATCGCCGCTGGCAAAGAACTATCCGCGTCTACTGCTGCCGGTGGTAAGGCAGCCACTGGCATGATCATGATATACTCCATCTGGTAAGCATGACGTGATACAATGCCCTCTAGTCAAGATAATCTCTGATGTTGATGATAGCTGGTCTTTCGGCTTGAACGGTATCCCCTGGATTGTTAGTGCCGAAATCTTCCCCGGTGCTCTCCGCAACTTCACCGGCACCTACGCTGCTCTCGTTGTCTGGTACGTCAACTGTGTTGCCCTCCAGGAACCCCGACACTTAACTAACTTCCATCCAGGGCTACCCAGTTTGCCATCACCAAAGCCATGCCGTACATCTTCAGCTCCTTTGGCTACGGAACCTGGTTCTTCTTTGCCTCATGGATGATTGTCGCCAGCTTGTGGGGCTACTTCTTCTTGCCTGAGACCAAGGGCCTTACCATGGACCAAATGGATATTGTCTTGTACGTTGTTTTTGTATTGAGTGGGTGTTACAGTGAATCAATGCTGACTTTTCTCCCACTAGTGGTTATGCACATGACGCCCGCCCAGAGCCTTCAACTAAGTTCCTCGATGCGAAATTTGATGACAATAAGGCGAATCCAAGCGAGCACACTGAGGTTGTTTGAATAGAAAGAGTATAGCTTCGGGAATAATTTCGCGTCAGAGGGGTCAATGAGACTGAGAAGTAATATGCTTGGCAGATGAAGATATCTATGAACATTCTCTGAATATTTATCATGGTTGCAAAGGAAACTACCATAAGCTAAACCATCTCAGATCGTCATCCGCTGCCGAGGTTTCTGTGCCTGGCTGGTTTTGCACATTGCTGCATGTGACAAAAGCCTCGCCAACTAGTCGAAAGGTGTTTTCTAGATCAAACGAATCTCCGTCGTCGGAATCGCTGGGCCCATGGCTTTCTTGACCTTCTTTGTATGCTGGCTCTGCTTGGCTTTTCTCCTTCTGTTCAACACCGCCCTCGCCGATCTTCTCCTTCGTAGCTTGTTCTTTCCTAGCCCTTTCCTCCATCAACTGTTTCTTCCGCAACTCTTCCAGCTTCAACTCCTCTTTTACACTTGTTGAAAGAGCTGCTGGCCGTATAGCCAAGAAAACTCCATACTCTTTCACGAATATGACAAAATCGCCAATTTCAACTCCAGCAGGCGCAAGGCCCATATATCCGGTGTCCAGCACCGTAAAAGTTCTTCCCAGGGTGTAGTCCACATATTGGTCGTATGCAGCGAGGACACTAGCTCTGCGCTTGTCAAACATTCGTAAGGGATTTGTCGGCAGCTCTACTATCTTTTTATCCCGCCACCGATAGTGTTCGAAACTGGGCAGTACATCCATTTTCATGAGATGTGCAAACTTGCTGTTGGAAGAGGACTCAACTTTTCGTTTTGAAAGATGATCCCTCGCCATGGTCTCCAAACTCACCGATGACGATTTAGTGGCGAAAGGTGTTTTCGGAATTGGACCACCGTCCAAGTTACTCTCTTTAAGCTTTTCGAGTAGCTTTCGGTCTTTTTGAATAGTCTCTGCTAGCCACTTCACACCTTCCTTGGACGTGTTGTCCTGATCTTCATAGCTCGATTTTGCGAGAAGAGTTCGAAGAAAAAGATTGTCCAAATCGTCATCAGACTCATTGGTTGACGTAGTGACTCCCCTTGCGGCGTTCAAAGCCGAATCAAGGTTTGAAAGCAGAAGCTCTAAATCCGCTGTTGCATCCTTGAGATCATTTCCTCTGGACTTTCCCAGGTTCTCTCGCATGGTTGTTGCGTAAGTAACCTTACCGATCACAGCTCCCTTGACGTGAAGTAGGTTGAATCCGCCATCAGATACCGAAGCTCTATGATTCTCGCCGCTTTTGGCTCCGCCGGCTGATTTTGATTTTGGTTTCTTAATCGGCGGTTTGACAACATGGGGCAAAATGTAAACGTTGACATCGGCTGACCAATCCGGAACCCACGATGGCAGGTTATCAAATGACGGGTTCCTAGGGTTGCCAATCCCTGCGTATCGAAGAAAGGCGAAGGCATCTCCTGTTCTAACAAGTTCTCGGGCGACCATGGTGTATATAACCTCGGGCGTGCTCTTGTCGGTATAGTCCGGCTTGATGTCATATGGGCTCCCTTTAGACTTTTTCGATCGATCGAGAATGCTACTCATACCATCCAACATCTCAGTCAAAGATCGTGTCGCCCTGGGTATAGAGTTTAGTAATCTGATGGTCTTTCTGCTTTGAAGTGGATTTGTCCTTCTAAGCCCGTGGGAAAATTCGACAAATGAATCCAAAGTGTCAAACAAGTCTTTCGCGACCCCGCCCCGAGAAAAAATTTCTTCTGTAAAGACTTCACTGTGCCGGAAATTCGGATGAAACAGCGGCGCGTTGCGTTCTTTGGTGATACCCAACAAAGCGAAAACGTTGTCGACAGAAAGTGTTGCTTTAAATCTTGATCCGAGCTTCAGGGCATCTTTAAGAGCTAGGCGATCGACCTCGTCAACCTGCATATGCATATTCTCCATGATGAGCGCATTCATCAGGTGTTCGTTGACGAATATGGACAAGTCTTCATCGCCTGCTAGTCCTTGAGCCAAGATCCGGCCCAAACCGGCTGCGAAGACTTCCCAATGGATCATCGCATCTCCGCATCGAAGTTTGGTGTCTTTCGAGGCGGCAATCTCTTGAATGATCCAAACTCTATTAAACCAGCTGTTGTTCATGAGAGCCAGTAGTTCCTGCCAACCAGAAGAAGGGGATGACTTTAGGCTCAAAAGCTCCTTCTGGTTCATCTCTTCTGCAATCGCAATCCGCCGTACCAGATCGAATGCCTTCGCCGCTACTGGGCTCTTACCGAGCCATCCAATGGTTGACGTGGCCTCCTCGAAGATCTCTCGCATCAGCCCAACTTGTTGACTCTTTTCTACAGCGTTTGACTGGTCAATGCAAACGGAGTCGATCCACAGCAGATGAGAAAAACGGGTTTCGCGTAGCTCTATAAGAAGATCGTATACACTTGTAGAGACTAGAAAAGGCGCCCCGTCGACCAGTATAATCTGAGGCTCATCCCCTACGGAGCCCCAGCGGTGGGATACTGCTCGATATGGAGGAGGAGAATCCAAGGTTGAGTGAATGATTTCGCATTGTACTGGCGAGTTACGGAAGCATGGCTGGGCTCGAAGTCGTAGAATGCGGAATTCGTTTGGTCGTCGTAATGGCTTGTGCCTGAATCTTGTCATTCGCATTGCCATGCCATACCTCACTAGGTATAAGCCTATTCCGATCAAAACAGCAATCTTGAGCGAAGTGCTGATAGGAAGCGTCAAAGACCCAGTTTTGGCTGAGGTCGGATCCGTCTCGAGGACTTTGATGAAGAAGCTCGTAATCGCAAACCAGAGGCAACCCCGGCGCTCCATCCGAAGAATCGTTGACGCCTCTCCACCATTATGCCGTAGCCAAAACTCCTGATGAGGGTACTGGTTGGTGAAGAGATGCATGACATAAGCTGCCTGGAACGGAACACCTTTCGAGAACCAAAAGATTGAGCAGAGCAACCACTCGACAGCCATCACTGGCTGCGCAAATGGATCGGGCCCCGTAAACCAAAGCCAAAATGAGTAGTGAAAAACTTTGGGGAGAACAGCGATGCATGCCCACAGAACTATCGCTGTGATGATTCCTTGCTTTCCTTCTGGGACGAATCCATTGATTGTATGCCTCGGGGCGTTGAGCAGCAACCCTGGTAAGATTGGCGCAACAGCGGTTGGCCAAAAATCCGAAGACCCCAAGAACGTTTCCAGAGCAACCGATATATCGCGAAAGTCGAATAGCATTCGAATAATGATACGAGCTCCTGCAAAGAATATGGGACGCAAGATGAAAACGGCGTCATTCGGCAGGCTTGCGTATTGAGAACGGATCTGGCTGTCGGCGATGAGGGCCAAAGTGTATGGGTGAAAGTTGATGTTCGGGAAAATCCAAGCAAGGAGTGCACTCAGATAAGTCCAAGGGTAGATCTTATTGCTCAGTGTTTGTCGATACTGCAACAAGAGGGTTTGATAGATCCATCTGTGTTGCGGAGGTAATCCTTCATCGACGACGAATGTGAGGAAAGCGATCTTGATGATTTCGATCCCGTCGTAAAGGTGCCGCTCCAGCTTTCCTAGAACCTTTTTATCGTACTTGCTTGAGTCAAAGTCCCAATCACGGTCAACATGCTGCTCGTCCTTTTTCTCATCCGTAGAGCCGCCTCGAAGCTTTCTAAAGTCCCTCGCCATCCGCTTCAGCTTTTCCATTGCCTCTGCCGTCCGTCGAAACTTGATCAAGTCGCAGCTAAACGCTATTCAAAGAATGATGAGAAGCCTTGAGGTTATAGCTGACTAAAACGCTTTGGGAAAACGTAAGCGCCATATGCAGATTGCGTGTATAATTGATGGAGCAAGACAGAATCTGCATATTTGGACAGATGTGACGGTCCGTAACATTATTTGGAAGAGGTATCGAGGTGTCTTGGCTACATAAGTAGCTTCCCCTGTGTGTTTATGCCATTTCAAAGTGGTACGTTGTGGCTTGCCATCCCTACACCTCTGCCGGGATTTCATACGTTAGTGCTGCAAGGGGGCCACTGTTATTATTCCATGTATTTTCCACAACCCTGGTAACAGTGGGTGTAGTTCGCACTAACATATTGAAAATCCCTGGGAGTTAGACTCGTGCGGCTGATCTGTTTGTGCCCAAGAGGGCGTAGAGACCTGCAGGTCTAGACCTAAAACTGTTGCGAATCATCCACGAGCACTAGATTTCATGTCTTCCCTCACCGGGATTATACATTGATTGGACATACAAGCGCCGCGGCATTGACCGCTGCAGTTTTTCCATTTTGATAAAGACTTTGATTAAAGTTAGGCACATGATGGTTTAGGCATCCAAGCTGTTTGCCCGCTCGGTCATCGCCTCTCCAGCGATCAACCCACAATCTTCCTGCGATTCGATTCCCAATCTCTTTTGAAGAGCTTGTGGACGCCGAATGTTCGCATTGTGCTGTGCGCTGAGAGGAGGCGAGCAAAAGGCACCAAGGCACTCTTTCCCGGGACATCCTATAATGATTGGTGGGGTTCCTACTCGTCTCCGTACCTCGAAAGCGAAGTTCGTCCATGTAGCGACAAAAGGTGTCTTCAAGTTCCGACTCGACATTCGCATACCGCGGAGGGGATTGTTGCCTGCCCCCAACGTTTACAGCATGACCCGCGCATGCTTATTGATCATCCGTTAATGAGGCCTATACGGACGTGTTCCTTAAAAGTCTCCCGCATCGTATGCCTTCGATGAAACATGTTGATTTTAAAGTTTCACTCAGCTCCCGACGCAACCCTCCAAAATTCGGCCAATGAGTTAAAAGTACCCTCAATTTCCTCCTACCTGCAACACAGCTTTCGCTTGCCTTTAGTGCTTTCTCATCATCCAACTCCAATGTGACCATGGATCCCCTGCGAGGTCTTCCATGTCTTTAACGTGTCTATGGTCTTCCCACAGAGAGAGAAGCCCAGCATCGATCGCCAGTCTAGCATACTTTGTTGCAAGCCACGGCTCCCCGACCCCATTATACTCAATCGCAGCGAGCATATACGCCTCGCTAAGGAAACTCCAGTTATGCTCTTGATCATACAGCGATATCAGAAGCTCAGCCATTTGTGGCGTGGCATGTGACTCGGCCGAGTAGTCTTTCAACTCTTCAAGGAGAGAATGAGCTTGTGTGATTCTCTTGTCCGAGGCTTCCGTCATGAGATGAGACTGCGTACAGAAGTGGCAGCTGCAATTGAAGCCCCAGTTGGAGTACAGACGATTCTGTCGGTCGTGCCGATGTTGCAAAGGCTCAACATAACTGATGGTGAGCTCCTCGCCGGGGATGATGTCCCGGAGCGCGGTTGTACGTTGTGTTAGTGTCCGAGGATCAAACCAGTAGTCGAGGTTGGGACGGCAATCGTGATTCAGGCGAGAAGCTGGAAGATGTTAGCCTGGCAGCACAACAAGGTGGAGGCAAAAAAAGACTTGCTTTGGGCAAACAATGCATAAAAACGATCGTCGGACTGACTGCTGTTCGTGCTGATAGAAAACATGTTGTTTTTGGCGATTGCGCTGACCGTGGATACTTCATCCCCATGATATCCGTGGGTGGACAAGTTCATGATCTGACTCCGATGACGTGTATTCAACAGGTTGACAGCATGAGCTCGCATGATCTCTAGCTGCTTCCGGGGCATCCAATCGAGTGCTGTGTAATCAACCAGCAGACTGGCTGTCTCTTTCAGAATCACTTCACCCTGGGCAATTCGTTCGGTAGCTACCAGACCGTACTCTTTGCCCGGGATAGTGGCAACCTTGACTTTTGACAGCACCTGATTAGCACCGAGTAGAGAGCTTGGTTCAGTAAAGCCCGTGCTCTTGGCAACATGATTGGCACCCTCGGCCTCGGTGATGATAGCGATGCCTTTGCCTCCGTAGTCTGCCTTGACGTAAATGCAGAATTCGGGCGAATCAACCTGACCTCTGAAGCATCGAGAGACACCCGTCCAGAGAGGACGTGCTGATATTGCCGAGGAGTTGGACTGCATCCAGTCCCGAATGGTGGTGAGCGGATCTACAACATCCTTGATGCTGCAGATTGAAGGGTGTGCAAGAGGCCGGGGGAAGACGCACAGCGCATCGCCACCTTCGCCAACTCTGGCATGACCAAAAACTTCGGTTATGCCTGTGCACAATAGAAACAAGTACTTCATTGTAGAGTGTTTCAAGAAGGGAAGTCGAAAGCGGACGAGTTATGATTGCAACGGACGACTTCAAGTATTGTCCGCACGCACGCGTTGCATTTCCTTCCCTCTTATCCAAGCGAACGTATTAGTATCCATTTGACTAGACTTCTCATAAGGTTGACATTCCGACTTCAGAGCATAGCACTACTGAGGCTGACTGTCCGAAAGTTCTTACTATCTGGCTCCCTGGCTTTCTGACTGTGTTATTGAATTTCTGACTGTCTGCCCGCTGACTAAATATCACACCAGTAGCCAAAACGATTGAATGTCCCCCCACTTTGATATCTCTCCTTTACACTGCCCGTTCAAGTGACTCAATACGTATTAATCATGGAGCCAGGCTTACCTCTTGAGACATGGATTAAGTCGCATTCTAGCCAAGCTCACTTATTTCTGCCTAGGCGCGCCAGTTTGACGAACTCCTCTGTAGTGCTCGTGCTATAGGCCATTTTTCTTCAAATAATCTTGCCCGCGAGGCAACAGTCAATTGCCAAGTGGAGGGGCATCGCATATTGAGCAGGTAGAATCAATAAAACTCCTGTAACTGACTCGGTACCATTATTTCATGTGATGGGAATGGTGGGAAGGGTATCTCCTCAAGTGCCTTATCTACATGAAGCCGCCCTGAGTTTTCGTCCAAGGCCTCTCCCCTCCCCTCGAGATTTGCGACTGCAGCCCATAATATAAAGGCGTCGAAACTGCGAGCCTAAAATTGACGGAAAATGCGTTGCACTCACTTTCAACACGGTTAAAAGTTCCAGTCATGGAGTACCCTTGCGCTGATTGAATGCAAAAACCGCTGGCGGCAGAGGCTTCATAGGGTGACAGATCGTCATCACGGATGCGAATGCGCCATGAGGATGTTGCTGCTCCCCTTCCGGCGCTGTGTGCACAGAAATGTTCGTGATCAAGGCCCATAGGCGTGGGTACTAACAGGAGGCACGTTAGGTAAGCTGTCTGTTGGAGATGTTGCATCGCAACACTGTATGGGGCTACAGGACGAACCTTGTCTCGCAAACTCCATGTAATCTCGGGCACAGATTCTATCATCAATGGGCAATTGAGGGTTCCCATGATTTGTGCGTCCAAGTCAATCCTCCCTTGCTTGACTTCCTCCACGTAACAGTATTCTGCACCTCTCAGTATTTCTTCGATGAAACCAGATTGTTCCCATCTGCTCCAAAGGCTGGAATGGTCTCTGATTTCGGAGAGGAGGGTGGGCAGCCGTCGTTCACGACTCACGCGCTGCTCTTTCGAGAGTGTGGGCGACTCGCTCAGGTCGGCTGTGTAGTAGAGGGAGAGAACTGCATCCAGGCTGCTAAATCCAAGAAGCTTCGCGCAATTTCTCAAACAATTGAGCCTCTCACACAGAGATGCGCTGCTTGTTACGGAGCCAAACATCTCGTGTGGCGTTCTCGGTGTCCCATTCCCAACGAAGTGCTCACCACGGAAATCCACAGGTTCTTCAGCGTAGGCGGGGCGTTGAAAAGCTTCTGTTTCTGGCGGGGAAGAGAGATAACTCAGTGCAATATCGTTGTTCCAGCTGGGTATCTCGGCCGGAGCCATCATTCCAAGCATCTGGTCTGGGGGTGCGTCGAATCTAGCGACGAGTGGATCCGTACGGTCGAAACATCCCGGTGCCAGTCCTTTATGAGTGTCGTTTACTCTTGTATCGTTGAAAAGCCCACCGGGACTAGCGGCTATAGATGGATTCTGTGACGTGCGGGCTAAGAAACGCCACATGGTCTCGGCAACTTCTGGAAACTGCGTCGGGGGTCCGTCTAGAAGAGACGCGGATTCTCTAGAAGTGCTGGCTGAGCTCAGAGGAGGCGCCGTTGACGATGGTGCTGATTGTTGTCCTGGGGTTGTGGGCATGCTTGGCGAGCGTTTGTCCCCTGCTTCATGTTCGTTGGCGGGCGACTCTTTCTTCTCCTTGACCAGACTCTCAAGCACCTGAAGGCGCTGTTTCAGCTTTTCACCTGCCTTGATCATCAGCCTGAATTCTGAAAGTTGTACTTCATACGATACGGAGACGAACGGTGAGCACGCTGCGCGATTCGGTTTTGAATCCTCTTTTTCTCTCTGGGGTCGGATACTGTGGTCCAGTCATCATTTCCAGAGGCTGAAGTAGTCTTCTCCCTATCCATAGTCTGTACACGCTAAATAGCCGGTTTAATAGTCAAAGTATCGAGCCAGTATCGAAGGGAGGTTGTCAAATCGAATAAAGGAACCTGGAAGATAGCTCTGATGAGACAAGATAGATTTCGTTCATCAGTAGCACTTCAGCATATATCGTTAAGCTTTGACCTTTTGAGTAAAGCTACCACCTCTTTATCTACCAGTTTTGCTACTGTAGTAATGTCGACTCACGAAGTTTACTCCACGGGCTCGCATATACATTGTATTTCCTGGCTCATGCTTCCCTAATCACAATACCACCTTGAGGTCGTCTTTCGGCTAGGAAATCGGCCAAGCACTCTCATCACGTTGTTTTGACGCTCCTAGACCCTTGCAAGGGTCGTCGTCAAAAGATCCTCTTGACTCGTGAATTCTTGCTCTTCTGGCATTTGATCTACTCGGATCCGCTGCCGAACTGCGCCCTAGAATCTGGACATGGTCTGGAAGCGGGGGCATCTCAGATATCATATCATTTACCCTTGTCTGAGCTATAATCCGCTTTGCTTCGGCTTGCCTGTTTCGAAGATGAACTCCATCGGCGTTAACTGGTTTGCTTGACGCTTCGTGGCGCTGCAATTGAAATGCAGTCGAAGGTCCACAAAGTGGACCGCGATCAAGCCAAGAGTGTAACCGCAAAGGGGCTGGGTCCCGCGTTGAAAATTCAACTCCTAGATGGCAGAGTGCTTTGATTGAAGTGATATGTGGTGATGCGGCAGATTTAAATATGCCCTTCGTGCTGCCCGCTTTGAATGGGCCGTTTAGCCGATTTGGATCGCGGTAATCGGTGTGTTCAGCTCAGGATTGTGAGGGCGGAGAAGCCTCACTGCCAGGCCCTCTCCGATCCAGCAGGTTTAGTTATTTAAAAACTACTCCGCAGTAATACCCTGAAAATTCAATGCGGAGTTGACGCGTCAGATGAGTGAGCACAGAACAATGTCCGTCCGAAGCTCCCCCAGCCGACAGGCATGACTCGTACCGCAGCGGCCCGCCCCGCAGAGGCCGCAAACCTTATTCTAAGACCCTTGCCTGGACGTCCAGAGTAGCAAAGTGGAGAAAGGAGTTGGTGCACTATGAGGGTTGGCGGCTTCTTTATTTTAATCTTTGGTCGTCGGGCCGAGGCTTCTGAACAAAATCCGTCATTAGTGGTATGTCGGGACATTCTAGCTTCGGGTACTTCTTAAACGCCCCTGGACATGATGGTCGCGCGAGAGGGGTCAGCCCGGAGATAAGACAAGATCCCGGTGTCAATATAGCCAAGCCCTGCGTGTAGAGTGCTCGGCCGTCGTGGAACTTTATGCAATAATGGGCTGCACTGATGAATGAGAGTAAGGATATGAAACGATGAGCAGCCACCCGGGTCGCTCGTCTGCATATAATTACCCTGCGATTGTGAACATTCTCAAGGTGTGGGCACTAATGCACTGGTGAGGTTGACTAATACAAAGTAGAAGCAACTTGTATACCTTCAGTCATCGTTGACAGCCCAGCTTTGGACAGAACGTGCGCCTGGTCCGTTTTGATTAACACCCCCTCACTTCTACTTCGCAAAATTGAGCAATGTGCACCATGACCGAGTATGTGTAGAGTTTGTAGACGATAAGTTCATATTTTACAGGATTTAATTCTTCAGATTTAATGCCAGTGGTATTTTACTGGAGAACAGCAGTTAAAGGACCTACAGAACAGGTACTGAAGTCTGCATTTTCCAGTCCGATGCTGTCATCAGCAATCATCAAAGTCTTGTCTGAGGTTTCAAGCGCACTATCCCCCGAGGCCACCCGGAAAAAGATAGCACAATCATCAATTATTGGTGCTTATCATTTCAACGGCGGCGTGATCTTATTGCCCAAAAATGGATCGATTTCCTCAGTGAAGACATACTTGCCATCAGAATCCAGAGGATACGACTTGCCTGAAAAAATGGGATTACATCAGCATTCGACGGCACATCTCAAGGGTAAGGAGTATTACCAAGGAATGGATGAACGATTGTGATATTGTCGTAGATATCGAAATGGCGATCTCGGGCCCAGTTATTGACCAGATCCCAGTTGTAGCAGCTGTGCTCGGTGCGGAAATTTGTCAAAGGCCTTCGGTTATTGTCAACCCAGTCGTAGGAGCCGATTGAAATGTCAGCCTTGCACATGAGTGCCATCCGGATGTCTTGGACGGAGGTCGTATTAGCAAGGTAGGTTACGAGTTGTTGGGCAGGCACTTTCTTACTGTCAACGCAGTGATCAATGTGGTCCTCCAGATGTCGCTTGAGCTTCACATTGCCCTTGAAGTAGTAGTCGGGGAAGAGAGCTTGCCGAACCAGCTTTAAGCAGTGGATCTGATGATGGACATTCAGCCCGCTCCAGTAATAATCGGTCAGCTGGCCAGACTCGTCTGATAGACGGACAGAAGTTCGATTAATTTTCTTCAGGTCCTCGGCTTTGAGTCGGAGATTGCTGTACAAGACGAGCTCGTCCCACGCGGCGTCTAGTTCTGGCCTTGGCTTGCCTCGGTAGACATTGCCATCCGTGACTTCGTTCATCCACAAGGACCTTTCCGCTTTGAGCGCTTTTCGAGCTGGCGCTGGCGTTCGGAGATCAACGGTCAGCACAACACTCCGAAATACACGTGTGCAACAAAATCAACTTACACCACACCATGGTCTGATCGTCGGCGCATATCTTTTCTTCGCCTTGTAGTGAGAGTACAAAGGTGAGGAAGAGAGCAGAGTAGAAAGTGAAAACCATAAGATGAACCCAAAGATAAGGTCGTCGCAATTCACCTGACAGTCCACCAGGTCCCTCCCGAGGACGCAGAGAACTCTTTTCGGCGAGGAGGTGCTCCTCGGACCCGGCATCCGAACCGTTTTCGTTCATGATCTGGTATTCTGGAAGACCAGACATACGAGACCAGGGCCATCTAAGAAGATTCATACTTATAGATGCAACCAGGTCGCAAAGCTTTGAGTTCAAATGTATTCAACCCAATCGTGACGTCGAAGGTGTGAAGACACCATATACGACTGAAATAGGACCCAAATTGAGGAAACAGGGCGAGACTATCTCAAAACAGCGCGATCCTCCATGTATGGCCAAATCAGTCGGGCAAAAAAAGAGTATGGGGTTGTTTAATTTGAGTCTCCGGCATATTCATCGATGGGGCAAAGTATATACGGACCAAGTCTGACATAATATCTTAGTTGACATAACGCAGAACTTTTAATATGACTAAAGTACGTGTAAGCATATAGCCATCTCCACTATTAATGAGAATAGAGGCAGCTCAGCATCGTCTGACGACTGACTCATACACTGACTACTTGACTGCCTTGGCAAATTCAGCTTCTCGTGACTGTATCCCAATATGACGACCTACTTGGCATCTGAGTGATGTGTCGCAATGGTACCAGCAGTTGTTGACGGAAGGTCTGACTTTGTCCCAAGAATGAATGAAACTCTGTCAGGTGAATGACATTGGTCGAGGGCGATGTGACAACTATGTGCGCAAGCAGCGCAACGAACTTACTGAACGTCTTGTTGTGTCTTTGAGGAGATCAAGATTTGAACAAGAGTATTTAGCTCCTTCATCTCGTCCGAAACCATTCTCACCTCAATCTGCTCTCTATCCAACAGCTTCCAAAAAACACATACATCTACCTCATAAACAACAGCCCAGCTACCAAGTCTCGCTTTCAATATGAAGTTCTCCACCACCCTCCTCTTTATTGCCCCCTTGACTGCCTTGGCAGCTGAGACATTCGGTAAGACCGATGTTCCCTGACCGCTACTCAATTTGCTATTCAGTAGCACATCCATGTACTCGTTTTCTAACACTCCAATACTTTAGGTGCCCACGGTGGTGCGGTGGCTCAGGCTGGCGCCAAAGCTTCCCAGCGCAACGAGGAGTCTACTTCCTTCAGTCCTGCCCAGGACGACGCCAAAGCCTACAAGCGCGGTCAAGACGACGCAAAGGCGTACAAGCGCGGCCAGGATGATGCCAAGGCTTACAAGCGTGGTCAAGACGACGCAAAAGCCTACAAGAGAGGCCAGGATGACGCTAAAGCCTACAAGCGCGGTCAGGACGATGCCAAAGCCTACAAGCGTGGTCAAGACGACGCCAAGGCTTATAAGAGAGGCCAGGATGACGCGAAGGCTTATAAGCGTGGTCAGGATGATGCCAAGGCGTACAAGCGCGGCCAGGACGATGCCAAGGCTTATAAGAGAGGCCAGGATGATGCTAAGGCCTACAAGCTTTTGTGAAGTGGAGTTCAAGATGAAGGAACTTAAATCTTCTTCAAGTCGGTATGTTATACATGGTTGCCAACGCTACGATTGATGAGAGATGAGACTGACTGACGATGATTAGGAGTTCCAATGGTGTTTGCCCTGAAAGTATATTGCATCTAGACGACGCAATCCCTGAATGTCATGTTAAAGTTCTTTGCTCCGTGCATGGGCTTACGCGACTTTCTTATCCTGCTTCCGTCTGCGGTTCCTTCAAACTACTTATTCAGCAGAGCACTTGTCATCGTCAACTCAGAGGGGGTTCATCAATCTTTTCACGTATAGATCGATAGTCTTTCATTCATAACCTGGTCAATATACTATTTCCCCCTCCACAAAAGCGTCCATAAAAGCTTGTTCAGGCTGTCTAGCTTGGTCTGCATTTTCAATCTTCAAGACATTTCACTTCAACCCCTTCGTGACGCATTAATTGAGGTCTAGTAGGCCCCGAGACTCCTCTCGCGTTGAGAGACCAAAAGTCTTCCAACCTTTTTATCAAGCTTTTGTGCACTTTTAAGGAAACAAACTTGTCCAAACGCCTTCCCATGCTATTACTTTCATGGACTACTTCGTGAATGTACATTAGTCATAACCCCATAACTGAAATGAAACCCAGCGCATTAGTTGAGCTTGGCCTCCTCGAAGGCCAACGGCGCAACCAAGTCCGAAATCCAAGCATGCTTCTTCTCGTCGGCGTACTGAGGGTAGGGGCGTCTGCAATGGCAGCTGGCCAAGGGGTATCCGTGCGACTTGGCCACAATCCACTTGGTGCCGTTGATACCGCCCTTGGCAAACGCCCATTCCATCTGCGCCAGCTTGAGCTGAGCAGCGGACGCCTCTTGGATCTTGCCCGCGTTATAGAGGTCGAAGATCTTGATGCAGTACTTGGGGAAGAGATTGGCGATGCCCGTGATGGTACCGTTGCTGCCGACGGACAAGGCGGGGACGAGCCAATCGCTCTGGCCCGCGAGGGCGAAGAACTCGGAGGGGTCGAACTCGGCGCGGACGCGGGCGACCTTTGCGATGCCGCCGCAGGTGAGCTTGACGCCGACAATGTTGGCGTGCTTGCCGAGGCGGGAGAGCATTTCGGAGTTGACGTCGAGACCTGCAGCGACGCCGGGGAAGTTGTAGATGATGATGGGGATGGGGCTGGCGTCGGCGAGCTCCTCGAAGAAGCCGACAATGGCCTCCTCGTTCATGGCGAAATGGAAGTAGCTGGGGACGAGCACGAGAGCGTAGTCGGCGCCGGCGGCCTTGGCGAGCTTGGTCTCGTCAATGACGGCGCGGGTTGACTGGCCGCCGCAGCCCAAGATGATTGTGAGGTCGGGGCGGCCGGCCTTGACGGCGACCTCTCTTGTGGCCTTGACGAGTCTGGTCTTCTCATCGTTGGTGAGGGTGACAGCCTCGCCGTTGGTTCCGGCCAGTACCACTGCAACTTTGTCAGTTTGGTGTCTTGTGGAAATTCTGGTCATGATCAGTACATACCCCCGTGGAGGCCAGACTTGACCAAAAACTCGAGGTGCTTGGTCTGCACGTCCCAGTCGATCTCTTGACTGGCATCGTCGCCGAACCAGGTCAAACTGGGCACGTGAATACCGGCGGGAAAGGCCTTTGCAGCCATTGTGAATGTTCTGGTAGGTTATGAGGTTGTGGAGGTGTGGAGAAGGTAGGAATTGAAGTTGAGGAACTTGGCAAAGGAAGCAAGAGAGGGTTTGGGTATCGATTGGTATACACAAGCAGAAGAAAGATCAAAAAAGTTTGAATGGCAACGGTCGATACAAGTATCTCATAAAATCTGTGCTTTAAAGTGAACAACCCCGCGGTGGGCATCGAGACGCGGGGCTCTTCAGGGTGGCATGTTTCCGACCAGCCGACCTTCCCCACGGGCATGAACCGAGCATGCAAAGCGGGAGGGATTCTTGTGGAGTTGTGGTCTCGGGAAGCGAGCAGGATCATGAGTCGTGAGCTGCTCACTCCGTATACCCCACGAACTAAAATCCCAAGGTCGTCTGATTGGAGAAAATCGTGCTTCTCCAAGGATTCATGTCGGATCCGGACAAAGAAGAACATAGAACCTAAGCCTGGGAAGTACCCGATCGGAGTGGGCCGGCGTCGCGGCCGTGGGTGGGTCTTCCGATCGGGACCCACATTGATCGGGTACGCTAGTGTCGGGCCCGTCGGTTGCAGCCGATAGGTGTGGTCACGCAGCACTTGTCCATTCAGAATCTGATGCTCGCTAATGAGTTCGAAAAACTAAGATCGCTGTGGCGGGGAACAAGGTTTGCGGATAATAATGCAAATTTTGCAATGCAGAGACGTGAGTTGAATATATCAACCTAAGGGAGATGAACAATCAAGGGGTATCTAAATGTTAGCATCGTATCACCGATGAAATAAGCCTACAAAACGGTCGATGGGGTGACGAAGTCGGAAAAGCCATATATTGTTACTGCGTCAGGAGGTGGGAAAGGGAGGATCGTGCCGTAGGCCACATCTTTGCTTAACACGTCCCCACGCAGAATCCATATATCCCAAATTCGACTTCGTCATCCATGGTCCTGACGATTATTCCACCTGCGATACAGTGCCAACACAAACGCTTCTTGCGAATCCAGTGTTGGCCAATTAATCCTGCTTCTCGAGTGCATCTCTTGATACGCCGATCACCGAATATGCATGCCTTCTTGATGCCTTGGCCACAATCTCGATAATAGGAGTTATGAGAATGTCGAGAACCAGAGCGAAAGGTCGCTCAGACTATGGCAAAACCAGAGTCAAAGATGGCGTGCATAACCGATCGAATGTCGACCCGGACCTTCTCGGCGTCCTGCCTAGCCTGCACCTCCTCCAGAACCTGGGCTGTGATCTTCGCGTTGCCCGCAACCCTTTCCATACGCAGGATCTGTGTCTTGATCCATACACGCTCTTGGGGGTCCTGCTCTTCCGACCCCAGCATCAATAAGGGCCAGAGCATGTTGACTGGCAGTGAGTTGTCCGCATCCAATGAATCAACGAGCAGTCGAGCCAGGCGCCGGACCTGATGGAGAGCGTCGGTGGCTTCTTTTGTCAACGGAAACGATTTATATGCCACTCTATGTAGGTGTACTTTGCTTGCATGGTAGCTGGCAAGATAGGTACGAAAGGCGCGCGTAATGACAAAGGCGAGGTGTGGCGAGACGTGAGGCTCCGTCAGCTTCCCCGCCACGGCAAAGTCCATGAGCGGGGGCCGCTGTTCGTGCAAGGTCCGCAGATCGGCCGCGATGGCGGCGCCAATGTTCATAACCTCCGTCTCGTCTTCGACGGTGCCACGTGACCGATGCCAGGGGTCAATCTTTGATATCCGACCCATGAAGCTCTGGACCTTTTGAAAGAAGACAATGCCAGGCTGATAGAGAACTTGAAACAAAACATCCTCAATGTCGCCGTCTCCAAAGTCTTCCCTTGTCGAGTCGGCACCACCTCCGTCGAAGCTGGCTGGCGATGCTTCGACTAGGAGCAGCTCATCGTCCTTGGACAGCAGTAAGCCCTGTCCACCAGCGGAAACGGCGCGAGCATCGAGTAAACGCATCCACTGGAGAAATTGCTTCTCGATGGCGGCAAAGCTGCTCTTTTCGCCTTGCTGGAACAGCCCATAGGCCCGCTTGAGGAACGAATCTGCCGCCTTGATCTGTCCTCGAAGGATGTCGACATAAATCAGGAAGAAGAGCGTCGCGAGTAAATGCTCCCTGCGTGAGCCGGGAGTATCGACGGCGGGTGACGATTCATCCCCATAGGTGGCCACCTCTGACACGGCTTTCTGATAATGGTCCCCGAGACTGGCCAGCCAGGAGCCTTCGCGACGAGAGAGCATCAGGCTCGAGAAGGCGAGTACCGACCACTTGACCATTTGAGAAGTGCTCGCCATGTCGACGACAACCTGGCGAATGGCCAGCCACTTCTTCTGCGTCTCGACTTCGGCGAGAATAGGTGGTACCACGACGCGGCTGAAGTAGTCCATCAGTTTGTCGTCCTCAGTCGGTTCATGCAGAGATATGGCCTGCTCTGACTGACTGCCAGCATCCGGCATGGGCGATGGGTCGGGCAGCTCATCCATAGCCGTTCGATCTGGAAAGGTGAGATTCGGGGGGCTACTCATCAGTGGCGGTTGCCGGCTTCCAAGAGGCTGAACCCCGAACTGATTCCTCTATGGAAAGTCAGTGTCATGAGTCCACGATAAGCAACTGACTGCTAGTGAAAGGATGGCTTACGAGAATTTGCCCATCAAGGCTCATCTGCTGGCCTGGCTCAGGGTTGACCTGCTGCCAGGCATCACCAGCGTCCCATAAGAAGTTTGCATAGTCGAATATTTCATCGACGGCCTGCATGGGCTGGAACACCGACGCCGCCGGCGATACGGAGGCATCGGTGGCATGGGACGGGATAGCCGGGCTACGATCTGAGGCGGAGGACCCCGCGGCGGCCAACATTGCGTTGGCGGCGATGCTATTCGACTGCGACCGCCATTTGCATTCTAGGTTCAAGCGTTCGCAATGACTGCACCGAGGCCGACTCTCGTCGCATTTAACTTTTCGGCGTCTGTGGGTCGAGCGTCAGCGAGATGAGCCTTGATCAGTACGGAGTCTTGCTGCTGATGTCGGGTCGTGGCCCACGTTGGAAGATTGCCCGACGACCGTACCCTCGGCTGCCGGGACCGGACCTCGAGCAGGTAGAGTCAGTGCCAGTGTGTGAAGAAACTTACTTGCAAGTCAAACACCCTTCCCTGGACCTGATCGATCTCCTCGCCATTCGGGAGTAACTTGGCAGAACCGACGTCCCACTATTCTCCTGCATGCTGGCGGTTGCGATCGCGTGCGGGCTCTTTGACAGTGGCAGACATCCTCTCCCCTTTGCCCCCCTTGAAGTTTTTTTTCTTCTTGGTGGCTGCTACTCGTACTGCCTGCCTGTCTGCCTGTAATAGTTTGGTGTGCCGCCGTTGCGCCAGGTTGGAGTGTGTGTGGATGAGCGCGCAATGGTTTGTCCAAAGCTGGGGGAACGGAACGCGGGGATATTTCCCCCCCATTTCAACTCCACGATGTGGGGTGTTGCGGAGCGTGTCCAAATCCACCCCTCCCTGAAAATTTTCTGTGCCGTTGTCGGCTGACTCGTGCGTCGAAACTTCCTGCACTGCTGGGTGGTCTTTGGATCTAGTTCCTAGACAGATGTGAGCAATGCCAACTTAAACAGCTGCGGAGAATCTAGCGCGGTTTCTAGGGTTGCTAGAGGCCGAGCATGGACGGAGATGCTGACTTTTCGGCAAAGATGCACCGCCACAAGCCACAGTTGGAAGGCCGGACGGACGTGGGAAATCCTTCACGTCTACTTTGATGCCATCAACCCAGGGCGTGTACAACAATCAGATGGAAGTTCTCGCTCACCTTATTTTCAAGTACTATGGTATTGACTGAATAGTTCGAAGCTAGAACTGGCTCAGTGTTGACTTCAGCAGCACACTGGTTTAGGAAATCAAGTAAAATTATGTACAGTCGAGTAGAGTTATTGATTCAGGAGGAGTGACAAAGGGCACGTGTTGTCGAGCATGCAATCGGACGGCAGATTAAAGAGCCGAGGGGATTTTGAATGCCTCAAACATCAAAGATCTTTTGTTAGATGTTCCCCTCCCTCAAGGAAGTTGCCCGATGGTGTGTGGCAGCCAACAAGGTGTCTGCCTCCAAGAGGAGCAACGCAGTTGTAGCTCGTTGGGGATTATTGTGTGTAGCGGCCACCACATAAGTACGTTACTCTACCCCAACCCAGGTAATTCTAGGAGGCCTTTGCAATGATCTACCGTTTACTGTAAGATATTCCCATCTGTGCGCCAACCTCAGTCCACGAGCTTCACGCAAGAGTTGCACGTTTCCAGAGTTAAAAGACATTTATTCATACCTACAGGAATAACCAGTGCTATTCTAAACGGAGAAGGTCGCAATCTATGAGCCGATCCCTGTCAGGCGCAACCCACATTCACGTTAGTAATTCATCAGCCAATACGCGACGAGAGGCAATTTACGAGCTCACAATGATTCAATGTGTTGTGCAATGCCGGCATAAAGGAAGCAGCGCCTCCTCAAGAGTGTATCTTTTCCAGGTTTTGCACGCGTTGAATGGGAGGTTGAAGTTAAGATGAGCCAGCCAATGCACGGAAAGAACCCCCGTGACCTGTGAGAGTTCCGCGCCAAGCCATACGGCCCTCCGTCACCAGCTCTGCGGGGTTCTCAGACCCCAAGACCGGGGGTGGCTGAGCACAGCTAAAATTGTGGAAATATATGATACCCAGCAGTCTGGAAGGTCTAACCGATGCTCAAGTTGGACGATGGAGTTGGACGATGGTCAAATGATGCGGCGCCAACAATTGAAATAATGGAGAATCCTTCAATGTGGGGAGTCTCTTCTGCATGCACCGCGACATCACATGAGCGCTGCTGCTGGCAGGTAATGGATGAACGTGTGTATACGTTGTACGCCCCGGAGAGAATTGCGAATAGCCCGCGCCAGGAAGCACTCCGCCGCAGAAAATTTAGCCCTGCATGCCAATAAGATCTGGGGCGAAAGCGGCGCATACGGGTTGGACAGGAGCCAAGCCAGACCAAGAAGCCATCAGCAGTTTTGGGCCGCTCCGCCGAGATCATCGGGGGTTATGAGTGGTTCCTGATGGAGCCGCTTCGTGACAGCGCAGCGGCTCGCGTGGTCTCGGAACTCAAACTTGACTACCGATGAGGAGGTTGGGGGTAGATCCAGGCCCGCGCCGGGTACAGATGAACTGCCAGATGGTGGGAGTAGGATCACCCCGGTCCCGTCATGCCTTGTCATCCATACCTTGATCCAACTCTAGCGAAGAAATGCTAATTTGCTCCTTCCGGTTCTTTGGGTCCCGGGAACGCTCTCGGTAATCATACCTTAGATTTCAGCTCGTTAAATCAGCTTGGATGCATATCCAACTTCCTGCGCCCGGTTCTCCCCGTTTGTTTTCGTCTCGGCATTCCTTTTGAATTAGCGCATGGCATCCTTAGCTGCCAAAGACTATACTTTCATTTTTCCTCCTCGATATCTCATATAGCAACTTGGTTGTAGACTTCACATATTCTTTCACATGAACCAAACCCTATAGAATGTGGAGCTTGCCTGATGAGTTGCCACCGTAAGGGCACAGATCATCAAATTCCCATGTTATCATAGCGAAGGTGAACAGGAGAAAGCTTACCAATACTGCTGGAATTGTGGCGGAATCCAGAGATCCAAGATCGCACTCCATGCGAAGTCTTTCCGTTTCCTTGGTTAGAATTACTTGGGTGTTGTTACCCCTCATCTTTTCGTGGTTCATGCACATAGTTGGTGGGCTGTGTAACTACCTTGAAGGCAACGGAAAAGAAACTTGGCACACTTGTGTTGGGACTGGTGAGCGTAGTTAGAGGCCCTAGGATTCGGTCGATTAGTCAATATAGTAACAAGGTCATTGAAAGTAAGCAAGCACTCATAAGGTGAAGAAGTTAAAAACGTGTCCATCTCGTGTGTTTTCCGTCCCCTCCCCCCCTTCTTCTGCGTCTTTCTTGGCTGATCCACACATCTGCTGACGCCAAGTGTTTGCTGCCCAGTGTGTCCAATTGTACAGGGGCAAAATGGTATCACAATCAAAACTGTTGAATGGCTGGTTCGTCCGGGAGGATGACCTTCTTTTGTTGTCCCCGCGTCAGAAACCCGACTCTTCGTTACGGGACTAAGGCAAGTTTTAACGACGGCCACTGCACCCAGTTTTTCCCCATGGGGGTTGTCGCGGGGTAAACAACACCGCCGATCCTAGACCGTTCCACAACGCTGTTCCAAACCTTGATCTTCCATTCGATGGAGGGTAGTTCAAGCTTATTGTAGAGTGGGACGTCATGGAGGTCTAGATAAAGCTTGCCTCCCCGCCGGGTCCCCACGACGAAATATTCTAATTACCGGATACTGTTCCTCTCTTAGACACCTCCCAGGGTGTTATATTCTCCCGCGTGTTGCGCTCCGGTCTCACTATACTCGTTTTTCTCGTGGTCGCCGGTCTTTTGACATTGTTCGCCCATCATGGGCTTCTTTAGCACCCACGCGTCCGGGACGCTCGATCCCCCTGAGGTGCGAAACTGGCGCATCCACTTGATCGCCCTGGTCGCCAGCATGTCGGCTTTGGCAAGTACGTTTTTTCTTTTTGATTTCATTTTGTTGAATTATTTAGAATCAGGGACATACATCATGTCCCTTAAGGCATACTGTGTCAAATCTCGTGGACAGCACCGTAGAACCCCATCCCGGCATAGCTCCGACAAGGAGCAGGGCGTGCTCCAAGTCACCGCAGATCTTCAAATCGACCTCATTTTCAGATCACCTACTAACTTTCTCTATCAGTGGGCTATGACACAGCAGTCATTGGAGGGACCATGGCACTGGACTCGTTCCGACGTGATTTTCACCTTGACGAAGTCAGCTCGACAACCCGCGATACGATCCAGGGCAACATCGTCTCGACTTTCCAGGTATGGACTCGCGCGAGAATTCAGCCGTCACAACACTTAACATTGTCATTCTAGGCTGGTTGCTTCTTTGGTGCTCTCCTCACGTTTCCCATCGCCGAGAAATTCGGTCGCAGGAAAACCGTCATGCTCGCCGGGACCGTATTCCTCATCGGCGGCACGCTGATGACCGCAGCCAGCGGAAGCCTGAACTTGATCTACGCAGGTCGTGCCATTGCCGGTTTGGGAATCGGCGCATCGTCATTGACAGTCCCCGTGTACATTGCCGAGACGGCCCCGCCTTCGATTCGCGGCCGACTGGTCGGTATCTTTGAAATCGCCTCGCAGGGAGGCGGCATGCTGGGCTTTTGGATCAATGCAAGTTTCCTCACCACAAGATTCTTTGTAACTTCATGAAACAAAAGTTCTGACATGAGTGCATAGTACGCCACTGACCGGACGATCAACGTCCACTCGCGGGCCCAATGGATCGTGCCCCTTGGACTCCAGCTCGTCCCTGGCCTGGGACTTGCCCTGGGCATGATTTGGTGCCCCGAGTCCCCCCGTTGGCTCGCCCGCGGAGACCATTTCGACTCTGCAGAAAAGATCTTGACCCTGATCCGCGGCCTGCCTGCTGATCACGAGTATATCCGTCGCGAGATGAACGACATCCGCACCCAGGTCGAGCAACGTACCTCTCAGCGCATGACGAAGAAGCAAATGTTCCAGAAGCTCTTCCAAAAGGGTATTCGTAACCGCATGGGTCTCGGTATGGCGCTCATGTTTCTTCAGAGCTTCACCGGTATGCAGCCACGACCACCCCCCCCCCTTTTTTTTTTTTTTGAATGGCACATGCTAAACGAAGCCTAGGTGTGAACATCATCACGTACTACGCCCCTCGCATCTTTGAGAGTCTTGGAATCACCGGTACATCGACGAAGCTCTTCTCGACTGGCTTTTATGGTATCGCAAAGACCTTTGGTATGTTCCTCTTCACCTTCTGGGTGGCCGAGAGAGTCGGCCGACGGAAGGGTCTTTTATGGGGATCTGCGCTCGGCTGCATTCCAATGTGGTACATTGGGGGATATGTCATGGTAAGACTATTTTATGATTGTCTATCATTCAGAGAAAGAGTTGCAGTGCCATCCTGGTCGAGTTGACATGCTCCGGATTGCTTGGGGGCACTAGGTTGTTTTTAGATGCTCTCTTTTCACTCTCGGTGCTAACAATGAACGTAGAGAGCAGACCCCGCTGCAGCTGCCGCGGCCGGCGTAGTCACCCGAGATGGCTGGGGTTACCTCGCCATGGCTTGTGTCTACATCAACGGAGTAAGTCGCCGAGATGTCGAGCCACCCTTTCCGGTGTGGAGGCTGACATCATGATCAAAAGGTCATCATCTGCGCCACGTGGCAGGGAATCACCTGGCTCTACGCTTCTGAAGTGCAAACGCTCGAAATCAGAATGCTGGCAGTCTCCATCACAACCGCCACGACCTGGCTCGGAAGCTTCATCATCGCTCGCTCCACGCCCTACATGATCTCTGATTTGGGCTACGGTGCATACTTCTTCTTCAGCAGTATCTTAATGCTCATGGGTATCTGGGCATTCTTCTTTGTGCCAGAAACAAAGGGTTCGTTTGCTTGTTCAATTGTGGAATACTGCGCAATTGCTAATGGTGATCAGGATTGACCCTCGAGGACATGGACGCTCTGTTCATGCACCCTACCCACAAGACAGTGTGGGCCCAGATGAGAGGCAAGGCCATAGTCGCTCCTGGTCGAGCCAGGTCTCCCTCCATCACCGACGAGAAGTTGGAGGCAAATATTGAGGCTGCTCAGATTGAAGAGCGATCCAAGTCATGAAACTACTGAAAGCCTTGCTCCGGCCCGACAGCCGCAGATGAGGCATTCATTACCATTTCTGTCGCCCCCTTTTGTCTTGAATCTTGGAGGTAGTTATGATGGGCACCAATTATTCCTGGGGGGAAAAGAGGCCGACAGCTTGCCATCTGCTTCAGGGCTAAATTCTCCATACTTTGGGAGCTCGTGAAACACATTGCGTCGTGGATATAAAGACTATAGTGCGCCTTACACCGGCCCAGGTCCTCGGTCCTTGGTGATTTGCTTCTTTCTCACTAATGAGTGAGACCGGTCTCTAATTCAACATGGGGGACCACTTTTCTGTCTGCTTCAACAGCACCGTCAATTAATATCAGGAAATATTCTGCGTGATGTTTCTTGCCGATTCAAGTGGCTTTGACATTGCCTAAGCAAATCTTTACCCTCTCATCGCCATCAAATTCGGGTTGTGTACGTGTCTGGGAAAGCATCCTTCGGTGAAATCCCTTTCCACTGTTTCAATGATGAATACTCGGATTCTAGAATGATGTGCCATCAACAGGGCCTTTATTGGTGTAACGTTACCATTTCGAATTTTTATAATTGGATTCTCTTGGATGCAGTCAGAGTTGTCTACATGTATATTACAATATCATACAACACCAGGCACAACAGCGTCTGAGATACCTACCCCTCAGTTATGATAACTGTTTCCAAGCGCTTTTCTCCACGCCTAAGGGTTGAATGGATCTGCAAACTTTTGCACCTGACTCGATATTCGAGGCGCATGACTAGGTCGGATCCTCTCGAGACCAATTTGCAAATGAGATCGCTTTAAATACCAACTTACTTGGGATGTACCTACATGTACCTAGCACGCTTCGCAGACTCACGAGATAACGAGGCGCTTAGATGACACCTGCGAACTCACGAGTTCAGCGCTGAGACCCGGGCAGGATTTCTTTTGTATCGTTGTGCGTCGATGATTCTGCAAGGCGCGTATCCGTACATGTACTTGTTCATCCAAGGTAAACCCCAATTGAGAAGGACTCTTGCCAGCGCCAAGGTGCCACGGGCCCAATCCTGGCGGGGGATCAGTGAACTCTGTTGTCCCGCTCATTTACGAGCCGGGCCGGTGGGCGCAGCAAAAGGACAGTGTGGCCAAGTCCAGAATCCAGAGATGGTATGGTATGGTGGCCGGGGGGGCGCACATCGGGCCTGGGACAAACTATAAACATCAAGGTTCCGAAAGTCTAAGGTATGGTAGAGAGCTTCCAATTGGTTCAGCAACTCCTCTCAGCGAGATAGGATACCTTACCTTTCCAGGGCTCCGTCTGTGCTGACTCTCTGCAAGTCTCTATGAGTAGAGCACGTTTCTCGCCTTCAACTCATGTCCCACAAATTCGAGTGATGCAATTTCATGTTTCACCTTTTCAGGATATCGATTCAGGGTCCAAAGTACCCACCAAACAGCCCCCCCCCCCTGGACCCCGGTTGCTTGGCTAGTGCCATTGAAGTTCTAGAACTGGACTGAAGGGCAGGGGTGGGAGCAGGGCAATGTTAGATTGCGCATGCAGGAAAAGGAGAAACGTTGGATGCAAACCCGTTGGCTGAAGAAGGTATGCAGATATGGATAATCAGACGGGAATTTGGCCGATCTTTGGCCCCCAGGCCAATTGAGTTTTGGTTTTTCCCCTTGCGCTTTGGTGGAATGACGCGACGACAGTTGAGGTGAGAAATGCGCGACACAAGTCAAAGTTCCGCACTAACAGGCTAGATCTAGCTGAACGGCCGATAATGGTTAACCGCCTTTTTTTTTTTTTTGGCCCTCCCGGGTTGAATATTAAATATTGAAAATATGCATGTCGTCCGTGGAGGAATTGAGTCTCTGCATCGACAGCAAAAAGAGCCTTCGATATATCATGCAGCCACATATCTTGTTGTCAAGGTATCGCAACTGGCTGTTTGCAGAGCATTAGCACATGCTTTTTTTGGTCTTCTTTTGGCTGAAGAAAGAAGAGAATGACAGAGGCAGTACCGAATTCCGAACCAATCAGAAGCTTCAAAAGATAGAGCTCATAGCTTCCTTCGGAAAGTAACCCCCCCAATGGACAAGAGAGCAGAAAAAAATGGGGAGAAGGAGTTGAGGACAAGGTAGGGTGAAGAAGCTGACAAAAACGTGGCCCAATGTATTGGCACCAATTTGGCAAATAACTATATCCGTACGGCGCTCGCATGATGTTGCCGCCGCTTACCCAGCCTTGAGCACTATTTCACAACGAGATGGGCCGTTTTTCTTCCCCTTCCCTGGACGCGGTTAGTCAGTGACATTGGGAGACACTGCCGGTTTCCCAGCAAGCGAAACAGAAACGCGACATGGGTTGAAGAGATTGGGTACCCGTAATAAAGCACTGGTCACCTCCTTTAACGGCATCGTGTCTTCCCACTTTTTTATTTTTATTTTTATTTTTATTTTTTTGGATTCTCTCCCCGTTTTGAAGCCCCCTCAAAAAGTCCCTATTCCTACCCGTCTTCACCCAGCTTCAAATGGGTTGAGCAGACGATAATTCATCGTTTGACCGCCCCTCCTCCTCCTCCTCCTTCTCCTCTCCTCCTCCCGTAACTCTCATTCCTTCTCATCGTGCGCGCGCGGGGCCTTGGCATTGAGATTGAGATCCGAGACCTCACTCTTTTTTTTTTTTTGATAATTATTTTTCCGCCACACATGCAATGAGTAATCTCATCCTCGCCCCAGACCTGACGGTTCACGATACAATTGTTCTGCAGAACCTTATTGACGATATCGAGCGCTACGACGACAAGCATCTCGCACCCACCGATGGCGACGAGGGGTATGCCAGTCAGGAATCCTTGGGTGAGAAGTCCAAGGATAATGAACGTGAGCTTAGCTTTCCTTTCTCTTTCCCCAAACGCCCCTCTTACTCCCATCATGTTCCCACACCACCCCAATTATTCTGAATCGCCTCATATTCTTTTCCCCCAAATGATCGTCTCCGTTAACAAAAAATAAGAACCAGCCTGCCGCGGAGTCTCATCCCAGAGAGACGCCAAGGACATCCGCAAGCTAAAGGGGCTCAACGACGCAACGAGCCAAGACTTTGAGCCGAGCGTCTTCTCCTCCGTCGACCTGCGCGACCTCCCACGCAAGCTCCCGGCCGTCGTCCATCAACATGTCGTCGTGCCCTACGTCGCCTGGGCGCGCACGATTGTCCGCCACGAGACGGACGTCATCATGCTCACCCACCTCATCCTCTACTTCACCACCTCGGTGCCCAGCGCCATCCTGCTCTTCATCCACTTCACGCCCCTCCACGGCCTCGTGCACATGCTCATGCAGTTCTGGTTCACGGGCACCTACACCCTCATGATGCACCAGCACATCCACATGAACGGCATCCTCTCCAAGAACTGGTCCGTCCTCCGCTTCATCGACGCCGCCTTCCCCTACATCACCGACCCTCTCATGGGCCACACCTGGAACACGTACTTTTACCACCACGTGAAGCACCACCACGTCGAGGGCAACGGGCCCCACGACCTGTCGTCCACCATCCGTTACCAGCGCGACGACGTTTTCCACTTTTTGCACTACGTCGGCCGCTTCATCTTCCTCATCTGGTTCGACCTGCCGCGGTACTTTATCCGCAAGGGCCAGATGAAGAACGGCCTCAAGACGGCCTTCTGGGAGCTGGGCAACTACGCGTTCCTGTACACCCTGTACTGCCTCCACAGCAAGGCGACAACGTTTGTCTTCCTCGGCCCCCTCGCGCTCATGCGGTTGGGTCTGATGATTGGGAACTGGGGCCAACACGCCTTCGTCGACGCCGACGAGCCGGATTCGGATTTCCGCTCCAGCATCACCCTGATTGACGTGCCGGTAAGCATTGCGCCAAGAAGGGGGATTTCTTCATCCCCGCATTACCAAGGTATGACAGATCGTTGATGGCTAACTATATTGGAAAAAAACTGTAGAGCAACCGCTACTGCTACAACGACGGCTACCACACGTCGCATCACCTCAACCCCCGCCGCCACTGGCGCGACCACCCGACGTCCTTTTTGCAGCAAAAGACGACGTACATTCGCGAAAAGGCGCTCGTGTTCCACAACATCGACTACCTCATGGTGACGGTCAAGCTGCTCCAGAAGGACTACCTGCACCTGGCAAAGTGTCTGGTGCCGGTCGGTGAGCAGATTGGGATGACGCTGGAGGAACGGGCGACGATGCTGCGGCGGCATACGAGGAAGTTTGAGGAGGATGAGATTCGGGAAAAGTTCCGGGACTACAAGGCGAAATGAAAAAAAAAATCCAACGTCTATTTCTTTTTTGAGTCATCTCAGAACCACGGCTGCTGTGCTGCCATTGAGTAGGCCCGGCTGGAGATGGTGACCGAGGAGGGAGCGTAATGGTTTCTGGTGAGGCTCTCTCACATATATCAGCGTCGGCATTTCTTCCATTTCATTGCATATACATGGCGCAAGCGAATTCCGGAACCCTCCCCTCTTAAAAAAAAGTATTGGAATTACTAGTCGATAGACACAAACCAGGTCTTGAGGGGCTGGAAACAGATTCGAGAGACTCCCTCAGCTCTCCCAGCTGAGGCATTTTGAGCCACACATGCAAGACTTGATACCTTGATCCATAGTGATGGCGCCAAGATTGAGTTGACGCTGATATGCGCAGCTTAGCAAGGCTCAGCCAGGTCCTCAACGAGGGTGTGAAGGTCGATCATTTGATGAACTTGGACAGGCACATGCAGCCTCAGCGTCCTCGGAATGAGACATGGCTCATGGCCCACGCCGACAAAAAAAGAAATGTTGCTCATTTCTTTACGAGACAGAGCTGTCTCGGCCCATGTGCAACGGTCAAATCTTCAACGATGCGGGAGGTTCCGTGCGCGTTCCCTTTGGATCCGGCCGCTACGGCAGTGGCATGCGGAGAATTTGGTGGTGGTATTTGACATTATTGTCGTAAGACGTAGGGGGAGGGGTATTACATGGTATCTCGTGTGGTATATCAACAGCATTTCCTGGCACCTTTTCTTCATCAACGTCAGCATGAACCCATCATGAGGCACGTCCAGACTAGCGAACCAGCCATCCACAGCATCAACATCCCGCGGCCCGACGCGCCCTTTTGCATCGGCAAAGGCACCGCCAGACTGGTGCTACCCCCAGGACTCGACACCTTTTCGCCCGTCGACGCGACGACGACATCCCCGGTGGGATACTGCACATTATACACCGGCGCATCCTTGAGCGCCACCGGCATGCCGAGCGCGTGCTTGCACGTGGGCTGGTTCGCCGCGGGCCAATCCAGCGTGCACTCCTCGTCGTACCCCCAGGCGCAGACCGCGTCGAGGGTGTTGTACAGCCCGTAGTTCTCGGCCACCCAGCTGCCCGGCTGGTCGAGGCAGCTGGCGAGAAAGTTCATGCTGTTGGACGCGCTGAGCGGCAGCTTCTTGTTCTTGGTCTTGAGGAGCTCCTTGCAGTCGTCCGCCGGCAGCTCCTTGTAGTCCATGGCCAGGGCGCCGCCGGCGACGGGCGCCTTTTTGGCCGAGTGGCCGGTGTAGAGGTAGTTCCATGCGTCGTAGCTGACGTCGTGGGCGCCCTGGGACTGGTCGATGCGGAGGAGCTTCACGGTGCGCTTGCCGTCGGCGGTGCCGTCGTCGTAGGTGAGGGAGAGGCAGAGGTTGTTGCAGTCCACCGAGCCCGGCCAGTAGGCGACGCGGTCCGTGTTGATTTTGCAGCCGAGGACGCCGACGGAGGAGGAGTAGCTGTCGTGGGGGGTCGCCCAGACGGTGCCGTCGGCGGCGACATGGTGCGGCGAGGAGGCGATCAGCAGCAGCAGTTGCGACAGCGATGAGAGAGCGGCGCTGCGCATTGTTAATAGAGAGAGTGGCAGGGGAGAAGGGCGGTCCAAACAGGACGCCCCTCCAAAACGAATGAGTGACTTTGGTATAAGGGCGAGGCTGCGATAAGGAGTGTGGCCAGCCGCAAATGCGGCCGATATGCGACTCAAAGGAGTGAGGTCATTGATAATCTGCGGCGTGCGCCGGTAGTGTGTGATGTGTGTGGGTTGCAAAGAAAAGGGAGAAGATGGGAAGGGGGGGCTTTCATTCAAATCGCAAACGTTAGGCGCGCGACCCCCGAGACTTAGTGCATCCGATCCTCCCCCGGGATTCCAGGGACAAGAAGCTCATCTCGCTTAATTGACACTTGTGATTCGCCAATTTGCCCCATGATCAGATTGTAAAAAGATGATAGGGGTCCACGGGTCCAAGCGACAAAGGTGTGGTTATGTCAGCATTCCTTCCCCTTGATGTCAACAGTTTACACGGATATAACAAGTTCTTCTCGAGGTGACTAAGGCTGGACCTACGAGACAAAAGAATCTAAGGGATACAATTACCATAGGATTTGGAAACGAATCTGTATCACTCCTAGCAGCCGGATTGTTGACTTCAGTCGTATTGGAGGATGGTGTGCTCAGATAATGAGATTCGGGAGAGTGAAGCGCGGCCGCATAGTCGCGATGGAAAAGAAAGATCATCGCTGTGGTATATATAGGCCTCGTCTATCCGTACTTTCTCAGATTGGGTACCCTTTTCAATCTGTGGCGAGAAGTCTCTCCCGTGTGTACTAAGTCCCCATCGGTGGGAAGCAAAGTGTCGGATTGGAAGCCCAATTCGACCTCGAGTCAGCGCCAGCGCAGGGGCCATCTGAGAGTCTCTATATCAGCGTTCAACCGGCGATCCAACCCACGGTTGGAACCTCTCTTTTCCACTTCACGCAGAGATCAATACGAGTTAATTGACCCTTCGTCACCACGGTTCGATCTGACAATCACCCCTGTGATACGTAAACCAACACAAAGGGATATTCATCATTCCCAGTTGCTTGCTCATGCTGCGCTTACGAATACAGACTTTCTATTGGCTTTCCGTTTACGGGCTAACGATGAAGGACGGCTCCGGCTTGGCCGCAAGACCGAAACTGTGTGGTAACATGCCAACATTGAGACCGACGTTTTGATTAATTCAAGCGGTCCCGAATTAATTAACCTCTGAAATATTCATCGGGGCCGCCAGGTGATTGGAGGACTTGCAAGGTAGCTGACTCAATATCTCTAACACTCTATTTACAATGTAAGAGAGTTCTTTTTGAACCTTGATAATAGAATGTTGATCTTATACCACTACCGCGTATTTATAGCTTTCCGGAGTCCGATCAACAACACCTATAAATCGAGCAACCTCGTCCGTCTCATCCGAATCGCCCTGTAACACCTCCGCCGCCTATCCCACTCACTCCACTCACAAAGCAGCATCTACAGCTCTTCAAACTCGTCGCGATGCACTTCTTCAGCCTCATCGTTCTCGCTAGCACGGCCCTTGCAGCCGCTCTGCCCGAGCCTCAGGAGTGCAACCCATACTACAACTGCTGCACCTACAAAGAGACGCCATGCAACAACCGCGGCGACCACTGCACGGCAACCTGTAACGTATGCCAACCGAAATTTACACGCATCAAGTACTTTGATTCACCCGACACTGGCTAACATGCGTGCATCTTACAGGAAGAAGTTCGCCGCGGTCTTTGCAATGACTTGGGCAGCGGCTCCCTTTCATGCAGCACATAGGGGTTCAAGATATCGTGGCGACTAGGCAGCGGTGAAAACGTTTACGCATGATTGCATAGAGGGTTTGGAAGCGTTGAGCATTTGAGAGCGTTTGGACATGGTATCATCCCATCATTTTACATTGACTTTAGCAACGGCCTAGGGTTCAGAGGAATGCCCCGAAATCGTCGCCGCAAGCTCCACGACGATGTCACGATCTGTGGGAGCACGTCGTGTAGACACAACATATAAACATGCTAGTTGAATCAAGGCCTGTCTTTGAAAAAGGCAGTTTGGTAGTTTGTATCAGCTCAGTATTGCTAACGTCAAGTTATACTTGAATATGTACAGTGGATGATGTGCATTTCGGTGTCGAGCTCACTTGAAATTATACAGAACAATAAGTAACGCTACTAGACCAGATAATACCTATTCAAGAACATATTGGACTTAAGCTCAGAAGCATCCAAATTCTTGTACAAGTCAGCATGAATGAGTCCTTCAAGAGCGAAAAGTTCATTTGGCACCTTGGGCTTCGCAACACCGTCCTCTCTATACCAACCGGAGGTGGTTTTGCTATTAGCAATGACGAAAAATAGCCTCGAGCTGATCAGCCGGTTCCAGCCAGAGGCGTCAGAGTTGACCATGGAAACCCAGCTTCGCGGTCTGCAGATTTTCGGGGCACTGGGATTGTTGGCTCTGGGCGTGCGGTAGTATGAAACCAAGTCACGGAATGACTCTGGCATTTTCGGCAGAGCCAGTCGCTGGCTGGGTCATACTTTTTCCTGCAAATATGTGAGCAATGTCAACCTTGTCTCCAACAATGTCGCTGTTGTAATCCTTGACTGCAGCCTTCACCTGCGTATGGAGGACGCCGAGGTTGGTTGAGTCCTTGTCGAGACCGTGTCGCGCCATCGTGCCACAGCAACAGCCCGGCAGATTTGGTGACGGCCTTGAATTGGAGATGGTCCTCCATAGCAAAGGAAACATAGCCTGCTGATGCGCAGATTCCAAGGACACTAATTTTGTCAGAGTCGGTTTCACCGCAACCGACGAGGTAAGTGACTGCAGACTTGATGTCCTCAACCCTGACAAGAGTCTTCAAGGTAGCGTTCACGTTTAGATTCTCCTTGAAAACTGCGTCAAAGGTGAGGAAGAAAGGAGACCGCGATGCTGATAAATGGACTCTGATCTTTGTTACTTCCATGAACGTGAACATGAAGCGTCTGCCTGCTAGAATGTTAACGCTTGTCGGCATCGTATCACAGGTGGCTAGCCATATGGTCAATTGGGCTAGGAAGGGTCAAGTGGTATTATTGAATGATTCTCCGTGAAGTGGAAGAGGGAGGTTGAGGCCAGGGCGTCCTATCTCAGCCGCGAATTGATATGGGCCATGGAGGTGGTCCCATTGGGTCCCCTGACTCGGTGGTCGAATTGGACTTCGATTCCAACAACGCGAGTATCAGTGAAACCAGCAAGGTAACGGAGAATGCTAGGAACACTATCATTTCAATTTTCTTCTCTTCTTTTCACATTGAAAAAACACAATACATGCCCTCTCCAGTAATCCTTTTGAACCGCCCTCCGCTACTTGTGCATCTAGCTTCGGCGAGCAAACTCATTCAATTATAGGATAAGAAACCCTTTTAGGATTTGACATTCAATTTAAAGTAGGAAGATTGAATCCAGAAGCCCACCTGATGACTTGTCTGAGGCATTGCCCTTACCCATACTAACATGCCCTGACTTGTGATGCATTTGATTTGCTTTCCATATAGACGACAATCAGTGCCAGTAACCGTGCCTTTATGAATCCTGAGCGCAAAATTCGATTCTTCAGTAACCAAAAACTTGACTAGAATTAGATCACCTTGTATCCATCGCATTCTTCTGGCCACAAAGGTTTAGTCGTTTCTCAGGCACGCAGCACACAATGCATGCAAGGGTTTAGCTTCCTAAGCGCACGGGTCCTCACAGTAGCGCAGAGCGAACAAGTGACTGAAGTAATAGCTACGACAGTCTCCACTCCGGGTCTTTTGCGACAATCTCAGACCCGATTCATTCGGTCCTTATGTTGGATTGGACAAAGGTCCATCACGGTGCAGTCGCAAAATTTCCCGCAAGCGGTATAATGGGGATATCTAGCCTTAGCAAATAGCACGTTATTTGGGCCGGATTGGGAAAATTAGGCTCTGCAAGTTGCAGGCGGAATCGACTCTAGAGTTTTTGAATCGACGCAACGGTCGACGGATGAACCGGTGCTCGGACGCTTGGATCGACTGAACACAGTCCTGAAGCTTGAACCATATATCTAGCTAGTCGCGGGAGCTAGGGCCACAGCCAAAACAGCCCACGCGTGGCGGTGATCTTCTTATAGGTAGTTCAGATTTGGCAAGATAGTGCGGTTTTTATTGTTCCCGTCTATCATAAAGTTGACACCTGTGACACTAAGCTTCTTCGGTTAGTTTTGCGAGCTTTCCTGGCTCTTTGTTTACGGCCCGGCCGTTCGACAAGAGTCCGGGCCTCTGAATTTACCGCTCTCCGACCGTTTCCATGTGAGACATAGTTGCAATCATGACCTTAACAGTTGCGGATGTTGTGACGCGAAAAGGTTCCTGGGCGTGGGATGCTTAAGGACTATGACCATATTTCTTGAAGTTCGATGGCAGGCCAGAGTGGCTCTGCCAGAAGATGAGGTGGATCATTCTCGAGCAGGGAAGAAATTGAATTTGCCCTGGATCTCGGCCCCACATCTGTTGAGAAGCCGGCAATCTCATCCCCGCAAGATTATATTAACTACCTTACCTATCCGTACTCCGTACTTGACTCTGTGAGCGGTGAAAGATCCCAAGTGGGACTGGACTTTCCAATCAAAATCCTCCCATTTTACAAGCTTGTACGCAGCGTGAGGAAGACTTTGCACGACATATTTCTTCTTCTAGACACATTTCTTCTTTCTGACCCCTCGACAGGAACAGACGCACCGCTATCGCTCTTGAACACGAGAGAGGCACATGCTTGAAGATGTCAAAGCTTACGAGCTGCATCTGTGTGTAAGACTATTCGTTGATGAGTAGCAGTCAGGCCGAGGCATTCGGACATTATCAACATCCCGCCACGAGCAGAGTTCCAAATGCGGAAAGGGAGGCTACTGACTTTGACGTGCCTAGCGCTCGCTCTCTGATCGCTTCATGTCCGCAGCCACCCGCAGACTGAATATTGCCCTTTCGAGACTCTGGACGCTGTGCCCCGCAGATCGCCAGCTAGTAGTTCCTCTCATTCCTCGCTTTCGGCAACTTCCATAACCTCAGTAAACGGGCAAACATCCATGAGAAAAGAGGTGTGTGTGTGTGTGTGCGCGCGCGCGTGTGCTCAGACTCGCACTAAAGCACCCCGCCGAGATGGTAGTGTAAGCCTGGGTGATCTCCCCCTTTGCAAACATCGTTCAAGTGGATTCTGTATTCAAGCTAAGATACTGGTGGAATATCCCGACCTACCCGCCCCCTCAACGGTTTTTTTGTGTGCGTTGCTTGCCTGATTTGTACGCGCGGATTCCACGGCTGCTGTTTAAGTCGAAAGAACCAACCTCGATTCTTTCTCACATCTCTCGATCCGGAGGCCCTCGCATCTCGGGCCCATTACCATGGTAGGATACCAAATCCGAACGACGTGTGCCTCGTGAATGGCTGGCTCCAGTGCCGGTGCCAGGATCCGGTAGACGATCTACATCAGCCGACCTGGTTCGGGATGGGATCCATGGAGTGCTACGCCCACCGTCCAACGGGGATGGATGCGCATCAAATCTTGAACTATCACCCCGCATTCCCCGATTGATACAAAACCCACGCACTATTGGGAACGTACAGCTTGGCCCTGCCGCCCGCGTCGTTTCCCGTGCAGCAAACACTAGCGGCCCACGGCGCTTATGCCGTCGCCGGAAAGCCACCATCACGGCCGCCGGGCACACAGTGTCTTTTCACACCCACTGGTCCAAGACCAAGAGGAACATTGATGCCTGATTGGGACAGAGTTCCTGGTTCCTGGTGTCCGTCAACGGGCTGTCTCACCATCACATGGGCAGCCAGAGCAAGATTCTCTCACGCCGTCCGTTCCGTTTGACCACCTCAGGTGCTTTACCCCTTGTTCCCCTGCGCTTACTTGCTTTCGATATGTCCGACTAAGCGTGAGAATACCACCATTTTCTGCCGCCCGACATACCGAGGCGGGACGCGGGGCACGATTGTGACTCTGCAGATTCCCATGTGAATTTCGAGCCTCGTCTTACGTCCATAAGGCTGTTTCGTTTTCGCTTGCTGTGCCGCAGCGGGATCACTGACATCCCCGAGCAATGGGTATCTTGAACTACCGTGGTCATTCGGCCTTCTCCCCGCGCAAAAGCGTCCCAAATAACTCTCTACATCCCGGAAATAAGCCCCGCTACCCCATGGGGAATGTTGCATTCCCAGTTGTCCAATTCAATGTATTTCTTTTATGCTGGGTTAACTCGGAGCATGAGTAAGATAGCACGAGTAAGATACCCGCTCGACTAGTGAGGTCCACGACTCAGTCAGCGGAGACTGAGCTCCTCCTCTTCCCACTGCCCAAGCTCATTTCAAGCTCGAAAGTGACCCCATTCGCATTTAGCTCAATGACGCGGGCCACACACAGACAAAGTTACATGCCAAGGCTGTTTATACTGATGGTGGGTGCGGACTTTTTGTTGTCCATTGATCCATCCACCCTAGATGAAGAAGTCAAGAGCTTGCCCTTGGAATGTCGCGTCTAGGTCTCTGTGGAGAGTTGGACTTAAATAGACCACGGGAGCCCTCTCCACGATGTAATTCTCTCTGAGCCGTTCGAGGCAGCACATCCGGACCGTCTTCAGCCAAGCTCCATCGACTGGGTCTACCCTGTGGCTCGCACCTAGTCCCATCTTTTCTTTGGTCATTCTCAGTTTGTTCTGTGGACCTACGAGACAGACGTTCGTCTCTTCACCATGCAGCTTCCCGTCCTCGTCTCGTCCCTCTCCCTCCTGGGAGCCGCCTTGGCGGTGTCGGATCATGTCCAGCCCTTGGAAGACAGGGCTGTGGCAAACGCGACAGTCGTTCTCCAGACGGCGACCGTTATCGGAAACGTTATGAACAATGTTGAATCCTTTGGTGGCATTCCCTACGCCAAGCCGCCTACCGGGCAATTGCGATTGAAGCCTCCCGTGCGCCTCACGGGGAACATTGGAACCTTTGACGCCACCGGCCCGGCCGCTGCCTGCCCTCAGATGCTTTCCTCCTCCGACAGTGAGAACATCCTCTTCAACCTGCTGGGAAGCATTGCGAATCTTCCTTTTGTCCAAAAAGCGACTGGTCAGACCGAGGACTGCCTCACCATCACGGTGGCTCGTCCCGCGGGCACCAAGGCAGATGCTAAGCTGCCCGTGCTCTATTGGATATTTGGGGGTGGATTCGAGGTACGTTTGTCATCCGAACTTTGATGACTCCTTCGTCCAATGTACTAATCTCGTCTTGAATAGCTCGGATGGTCATCGATGTACGATGGAACCGGCCTCGTCCAGCACGGTGTCGATATTAGCAAGCCCTTTGTTTTCGTCGCCGTGAACTACCGCGTCGCTGGTTTTGGTTTCATGCCCGGTAAGGAGATCCTTGCCGACGGTTCCGCAAACCTGGGCCTTCTCGACCAGAGAATGGGTCTCGAGTGGGTTGCGGACAACATTGCCGCCTTTGGTGGTGATCCAGACAAGGTCACCATCTGGGGCGAGTCTGCCGGTGCAATCTCTGTCTTCGATCAGATGGCTCTTTACAACGGAGACAATAAGTACAACGGCAAGGCGCTCTTCCGCGGTGCCATCATGAACTCTGGCAGCATCGCCCCTACCGATCCTGTCGATTGCCCCAAGGGCCAGGCCGTGTACGACAAGGTTGTCGCAGAGGCAGGGTGCGCTGGCAAGGCCGACACGCTCAACTGCTTGCGCGAGGCCGACTACAATACGTTTCTCAACGCCGTCACGTCCGTCCCTGGAATTCTCTCCTACAATTCCCTCGCGTTGTCCTATCTACCCCGGCCGGACGGCAAAACCCTGACCGCGAGTCCCGACGTGCTGGCCAAGAATGGGCAATACGCCGCTGTGCCCATGATTATCGGGGACCAGGAGGACGAAGGCACCCTCTTCGGCATCTTTCAGCCCAACCTGACAACCACTGCCAAGCTCGTCACCTACCTCAAGGACTACTACTTTGCAACAGCCACCGAGGCCCAGATCGAGGCCTACGTTGCCACCTATGACGACGGCGTGACCGCCGTCATCAACGGCAGCCCGCACCGCACCGGTCTCCTCAATGAAATCTTCCCCGGCTTCAAGCGCCGTTCCGCCATTCTCGGCGACTTGGTCTTCACCCTGACCCGCCGCGTCTTCCTCAACCTCGCCACCGCCGTACAACCCGGTGTGCCCTCGTGGTCCTACCTCTCGTCGTACGACTACGGAACCCCGATCCTGGGCACCTTTCACGGGTCCGACTTGCTGCAGGTCTTTTACGGCATCAAGGACAACTATGCTGCGCGCAGCATCCGCACGTATTACACCAATTTTGTCTACGCCTCTGACCCCAACGTCGGCCTCAACGGAGCGTACCCGGCCTGGCCCCAGTGGTCGCAGGGCCAGACTTTGCTGCAGTTCTTTGCAGACAAGGCCAGCACCCTTAAGGATGACTTTAGGAAGACGAGCTCGGACTGGATTTTGAACAATGCCGGAATCTTGTACATCTAGTGCGGGCACAGCTTGGATGGAGACCGAAGTTGGTGGACTTGAGGGAAGTGATGTGAGAATTGATCATGATTGACGACGTGGAATATTTGGTTACAGCATAATGGAATCTAAAAATTAATTAGTACCAGGGATATCAATTGTCAAACCTGCACTCACACGCTGCGCTCTTGATGCATATCGCTTCTTACTTGGTGATCAACAGTAGCGGTACAAGGTCTCTGGGACTGGGACTGTATGACTACTATGTCGAAGATCCATCACCCTTGCACATTGCTAATAATAGTCCGAGGCTCGCATGATGGCGGCAGGAACCGCGCCAAGGTAGAATCAAGTATCCTGGAAGAGGAGATCGTGCCGGCACACGTTAACCCGAATCTCCGAGCCAAAGAAATTGACGTTCATTGGCGATCGTCACCTCGCCGTTGATCTCCTTCAGGCTGGCTCTATCAAAGTATTGAATCTTGCTCCTGGGAGGCGCTCATTTTTACCAGGTATCCGAGAACAGTGAAGTGATTTCTAGGCTGATCATTCTTCGGGATCAACTTCCAAGGTGGCAGCTGATACTTTCGTTCTAAAGTAGGGGATAATGGCCACTGGCGCCATGTCCGAAGGAACGCTGCACCAACACAACACGAACGAATCGAATTTTCTCATGAGAGGCTATATTGCTGACACGACCAGATATATGCAAAACCCCCCTCACAAACCCGGCTGGTCGTGGTGTCATTGACGTTGCATATGCCCATCGCTGGAGTCTCATCGCCCAAAGACCCCAAAAAGGCTGTCAACTTCCTCGCCCGCATCGATCACCATTCACCTGCTGAGGTTTCCACCTATCGTTTGCACGCGGTATCAGTTTTTCACGCGGCATCAGTAAAAGATCAGAACGTCGACATCACCTACATCGCCACCCCGCATAGCCACTACTTCCAGAGCGCGATTCTTGCACTTCTGGCGGGGGGCGTCCGCTGCGCGAAGGCCTTCACTATCACTGCTGAATAAGTGCGATGACTATACAATATTGAGCGAGAGAGTGAATTCTTCTAAGAAGGTGTTTGGACAAGGTTCTTCCTGGTGAGGATCGAGATACGCCAGCTCGTAAGCAGCGAAGCCATCGACCAGGTTTACCATGTTCCGGCAGACCTATCTCGCGCGAGCGGCAGCAAAGAGCCTGGAAGCAAGAAACGTGACTCGTCCTGTTCGGTCCTGGCACCTACTCATTGATCAGGGCTTTCCAAATTCTCTACCGTCTACATCCCGAAAACGAGAAAGAAAAATCCCAAATACTGTCCCCTGTTCAGAAATACTTGACGTGCGTTGATGAGTCGGCCTTGATGATCCTCAAATTCTTTTACTATGGAATAACGGGAATAGCCACATCATCCCTCCGAGTGGCGATTGATCTTGGCAGCCTAAGTAACCCAGTAACTGGAATCCAGGGCTCACTTGGAGAGAATCAGGTGAAGCATCCAGCAAATGAAGCGCGATAGTTAAGACTAATTACCAAATCAGAAGAGGGGGTTCGTCGAAAAGGCCGTTGAATGCCCTCAGCCACAAGATAGCGAAAGGAGATGGGGACATGTTACATTCTGAGGCCGCGCTCTGTTTCAGAAACGGAAAGTTGGAAAGTGACACGATACTGTGGTCCAGAAGCATACTGATTATGGAAACTAAGTATGGACAAGGCGCTGAGGAACGCCAGAATTGATTAACACGAGTTGGTCTCTACTGCCAAGTTTGACCCGTTCAGTCCGCTCAACACCGGTGGCTGATTGCACAGACATAGATATTGTGACCGCGCTTTGAAATACCATCAGCCACGGCTTTTCTCCCTTACATCAAAGATACAGTAAGAACTCAGAATATAGCATGCTTCCAAGTAGTCATTCGGCATTCCTTATGTTCTGTACCATGGAGTATTCCAGAACCAACTTCTATTATGCGTGAAGAATCATTAGTTGCCTAATCGGTGAATATAATGTCCAGTGCGTTCAACCTGTCTCTGTCCTATACTGAGTACTGCTGTAGCTCCATGGGGCTATCTTTCTTATCATGATCAGGATAATCTCGACAAGAAAAATCACTGAGAACCCCAAGTCTTCTGCAGGTACTCCTCAACAGTGGTCGGCTTGAAGTCAGGCAGCAACTTGTTCCACTCATTGGAGGTTGCCCAAGCTCCCTCAGCAACCGAGATAGTCGCTCCAATCACAAGGACATCTGTGAACTGCTCTCGGTGCTCTTCAGGAATTCCAGGAACTTCAATGGGCGGGAAGAAGTCTGTCTTGACAACGCCCGCCTTGAGATCTTCAAGCTTCAGTCTGTCGATTTCGAAGGGTTTTCCTAGGGTGTGGCCAATGTCAGTCACTCAACTCCACAGGGCCATTGAGAATCGTAGAGTAACGGACCTCTGTACTTTTCTCCCAGACGGATGAGCTCCCCAATAGTAACTCGTTGGCCAGTGATGCCACCAACAATAGGCCATTCGCCTTTATAATCGACGGCCAAGGCAGTCACCTCCGCAATGTCTTCAATGCTAGTGACCGACAGCTCGGCATTTTCAGAGCCCTCCAGAAAGAATGCGCGAGTGTTCTCGAAGTCGATGAAGGTGGCGTAATCGATGCGATAATGCTTGACGGTCTGGTGAGGATACGCCAAGTAGTTCATGAACGCACCAGGCTGGAACAGGCTGTACTCAATCACCTGTGATTTGGTTAGAATGCAAAGGGCCAGAATGTTCGACCTTCGACGTAAAAATCACCTTCTTGCTCTTGTTGACATCTTCCAAGTACTTCTTCACTTCCAGCTTGTTGGCGTACCAAGAGGTGTACTCAACCACATCTGCCAACTTGTTGTTCCTAAGATGCGCACCGTTAGCGACTACCTAAACGGCAGGAGAAAGATAATTGAGAAGAATGTGACTTACGTTGCCCATTCACTTGGAGCAAAGCGTTTCACTCCGGCCTTGATCGATGCATCAATGAGACGCTTGGCCGTCTCCGCGTTCGGATCGGTGTGAGCTACGATGAAGGAGAGAACAGTCTCAACGCCAGTGAGAATTTCGACTAGCTCATTCTCCTCTTGGTAGGAAGTCTGGATGTACTTCACTCCCTCAAATTGGGGCAGAGAAGAAGGATCCTGAGGCTGTGATCAGAACAAAAAACTTTTCAAACTTACACACACATTGTGCTATTGCTTCAAACTTCACCGGGCTAGGTTGATAGCTTACCTTGCGAACCAATCCAAGAATCTCGTGCTTCCCGGCGTCGGCTAACTTTTCGATGACCTCGAGGGCGAGCTCTAGAAAGCACCACTTGTCAGTCATCACACTCAAAGGGTTGAAGTCTGGTCCCAGCGAGGAAAGGGGGAAAGCTCGGATGCGTTAAACACTCTTTTTGACTCACTTCCGGAAGCACCAGCGATAGCGACTTTGACCATTTTGATGACTTATGGGTTCAGATTGAAACGATTTGGGGATTGTAAATAGACTGCGGACGAGTGTATCTGGATTGTTGGTAGCTTCCAATTGCATACTGGAGCTTTTGAAGCTGAAATGGCTTCTTATATTTGACACAAGTGCTGGCACCAAAGTCCGTCAGCTTGATGGGGCAGTTCGTGAACTTCTCCGCTCCGAAACCCGCTATCGAGCTCTCGCGAACATCATTTCCACTCACCATGGCACGATTGATGTATGGACGAAGTAGGATAAGCCATTGGTCCAGGTCAAAGGGCGCAGCAAGCCGCTTCATCAGTTCTGGCGCACATTGCAAAACCTCCGCTGTGAGTTAGTGAAAGACATTTGCGGAGGGATTCATTATGGAGTTCACTGAGCGCTTTAGGTTGGCGGGGTTCCGCAATTCCGCAGCCGTTCAAACTCCGCTGTCAGCATCGGCTCAGCTATCCGGCGTGTCTCCCCGACGCCGCCAAGATGGCCTGCAATCCTTCCGCGCCGACGGACTGCACGTAAGCTGCCGCTGGTACAGAATCAAAGGTATCGAAAGTGAAGAGCAGTTTTTTTTTCCCATTGCACATGGCTTCGTTGTCTTCATCTTCGCCAATTACTTCATCGCCTCGCCGCTCTACCAGACGATGGGAAAGAAGTTGAGCGGCAATGAAAGAAACAAGAGGCACCAAATTTGAAAACAGTGCACTAATGTCATTCCATCATGTCTGACGCGGTCTTACTCTCTCTATCTCACTTTGCCTAGTTCAAAATAACCAAGCTTCTGCACATTCCCCAAGCTTGTGATTGCGCAAGCTGCGGAGTGGAACTGGCGTCGCGGGTTTGTAAAACTTTCAACGTCAAGCCACGGCCTCTCATGAACGCCATATAGGGCTCTGAGAAAATGGTCCCGCTGCTGAACTTTGGGAAATGACAAAAAGCGGCAAAACTGATGTTTTTGATGTTTGCTATTAAGTAGAAGCCAATCAGATGCAACCGGCAATACGCTTAGCAAAGAATACACGACTCCCGTTGGAACTTGACATATCAAGCCTCGAGACATACACCATACATTCTTCTTCGATAGAATGTTGGTTCCATTCGCTCGTTTCCTGGCTTCAATTAGCCACCGCCTGCCTGGAGATCTTGAATCTGTGAGAGTATCGGGAATATGAACTGGTGCAGAACCCCCTGGTAGACGCCTTGAAAAGCAACTTGCTTAAGGTAGATAAAATAATGCGGGCTTGGGAGCCGATCTCAGCTTTTCTTTGTGAGACACCAAGCAAACATGTATGTTTGTTAACCAAGAGATCACCCGATCGCCCGATCCTTCGCGGCAATGCGGCCCTTTCAGATAAGAGCACATGCATGATGTAAGTGCAATGTATCTCAGCTGAATTGACGAAGACTATCACTCCAACTTATTCTTTCATTGGGACTGCTGCCTAAGGTAAGCACACAAGTGGCGATTGTCCTAAGCAGGCTGTCCTCCTCTGCTCACCGGATGGTGTGTCTCTCACCTTTGAATAACAAACAAGAGGCGATTCTTGTTTAGGTGTACCTATGAGGCGGAAAATCAGACCTTGGAGGTGCACCGTGATGAAATGAAAGCACTTCACGAAGGCTTGGTTCTGGTGAAACTGATTTCCCATGTCAAGCAGAAAGTTCATGCATGTTTACCAGCCTAAATTGAACACGAATCCCTGATGATAGCAAGAGTAAGCTGCCGATATATCAGCGTGGCTTTGTATTCCGTGCCACTGGTGGACATGGGACTTATCCATCAAGTCATCCCTTCCTCGCCGCCCGGCCATGCAGAAAGGTCCGGCAAGTTTGCCAGCCTAGCCAGCCTGGACTAGATTCAAATTCCTTATTCTAGTCCAACCGAACAGTATGAGAACAGCCGATTAGGCAGCGTCAGGCATGGCCGACTCGGGGAAGCATCAGACTCAAGTAGACTTCGAACAGCTGCTTTGCCAGTATAGCTTGAATCTGTTCTCCGCGCCGCTGGTTCACTTGAAGCTATGTTATAACTTCCAGGTATTCTCATGCTCCGTGTTCTCCCTCTTTCCAACTCATGCCTATTCAAGTTCTAACCACGCCTAGTTACCAAGGCTTTTTCACGGAAGATTCTTGAAAGCGACCACAATACTTCCAAGATGGACACGCAAGGACCCGCGTCTGCGGTATGTTCAAGCAGTAACCTCTGGCTTATCAGCTTGTATATCTCTCGATCGGGATGGCCCGACCTTCCTTCAAAAATCCCTACCTTACATCAGGAACTCTACACCCAGTTGTTGGGGGTACTGCCCTGTATCATTAACTAATTGATGAGTTGTTCTGTAGTGCGAGAGACTGGTTGAAGCTGGGCTAGGGCCACGGCTCATCTACCCCCACGAAGACGGATATCGCGAAAAGGTGACACCACACTGGTCACTCACTGCTCAACTTACACCCTATTGCGTTGTGCAACCACACACTACCGAGGAGCTATCCCACGCAGTGGCCATACTGGCAAAAGCTGAAAATTGTTTCTTCGCGGTTAAAAGTGGTGGCCACTGCGCGTGGCCCGGGGCTAGTAATTGCGAGAATGGCATCTTGATCGATCTTGCCAAATTGAACAACGTTCAATACGACGCAGCACGCAACATTGTTGCTGTTCAAGCTGGATGTAGATGGAAAGATGTATATCAGGCCATTGAGCCTCATGTTGTTACTGTAAACGGCGGGCGCGATGCTGCTGTCGGCGTCGGCGGGCTTCTGTGCGGCGGAGGCCTTTCGTGGCTGCTGCCACGATATGGCTTCGCATGCGACACTGTCATTAACTACGAAGTCGTTCTAGCCAGTGGAAAGGTCCTCAACGTCAACAAGAACGACAATGCTGACCTCTTCATTGCCCTGAAAGGTGGAGCATGTAACTTTGGCATCGTCAGCCGCTTCGACCTGGAGGCTTTCGAAGGGACAAAGGTTTGGGGAGGCATGCGTATTTGCAACACAGATTCCACCTCTCCCAGCATTGAGCACTTTGTCAAGTACGTTGACAGCGTTGAGGAGGATTTAGACACTTCTTATGGAATCATGTGGGGGTGGCAGCCGTCCTTCGGAGCCAACATGCTTACGTTCATGATGTGCAACACCAAAGGGGTTGTTAATCCACCGGTGTTAGCAAAGGTCTTGGAGATCCCGGCCAGGGTCAGCACGGTGCAAAGCCGAGGTGTAACTGACCTCGCTCTAGAAATGACACCGCCATTCTCATATCAGTAAGTCGTCAATAATACCGAAGGCATCGAAGATTCCTCCTCCTGGGTCTAATTATCGTTCTTACTACCCAGTAACAAGTGGTTATCGGCCACGTTCAAGAACGATGCAGGAATCCTCGAAAAAGCCGTCGAGCTCCACGCCGAATGCGTCGACAAACTCAGGGCACAAATTCCTGCCAACGGCTTCAGCACCATGTGCTTCGCACAAGCTCTTCCTACACTCTATGCAAAACGCAGCCAGGAAAGAGGCGGCAACGTTCTCGGGGTAGACCGGCTGGGTGGGAACTGCATCACGTTCCTAGCGGCTGTGCACATCAAGGACAAGGAGCATGAGGAGTTCGGATTCCGTGTCTTGCAGGAGTGGTATGACAGTCTGATTGGGTATGCGAAGCATACCGAGGTTTCCTGTTGGGAGGACTGGCTGTACCTCAACTACGCCGACAAGTCACAGAACCCGCTGCGAGCCTATGGCGAGGATAATGTCAACAAGATCCGAGCCGAGGCTCTCAAATATGATCCTGACGGCGTCTTTCAGACGAAGTGCCCTGGTGGATTCAAGATCACGAAGACCTAGAGTTCTAAAGCCTAGCCAACAGAAAGCGCCAATCCCCTGGACAAGTAGTCACCATGTCCACAATGTAGTGAGGGTTGGTATGTTTCCTTTTCTGCATTCAGTTCAATAGATACATATACGAAACTACGAATACGCAGCACTCCTCTCGTAAACGACAATAGTACCCCACCAGTGTCTTGGTCTTTGTGGTAAAATCAACCGAGGATTGTAGGTAGTTTAACATTGCATTCTGAGATGATCACACCAAATAAAGGCGAGTTAATAAGCTTAGTGCTTACGGCTCCAAGGCGAATGGTTGAAATTGTGACATCGGCTGGATAATCTAGAGTTTGGGCCGTCTCACCAGCTGGCCGGGCCTTCGTTGGGCCTGCCGCACTGCTGTAATCTCTCGACATCGATGTCGTCGCCGATCTTTCCTGGTGTAGGAGCCAACTATCAGGACCACCCATGAATGCTGTTTCTTTACACTTGTGAGTGGAACCCCACGACGTTAGATGGTAACCCCCCCGAACTTGGCAATGAGGTAATGAACGACCTAGCATTCTTCAACACTTCTGAGGCCGAGGACTTCGTTAACCGAACTGGACCCTTTACTCATGCTCGTGGAAGCGAAATTATCTTCAGATGATTGTAAACTCCTGTAAACTCCAACGTAATACAGGGTGTTATCAGAATGCTTACCATATGAAATCAGTCTTGCTGCAGTCAGTGCCCTCAGGGCCCAAATCTTGGTCCACTTGCTGACCGCAAACAATTTAATTTTCAAGAATCATACTTCTATCAATAGTTTTTGAAACAATCTTACATTTCAGTTTCAGCCGAGGCCTTATGGATCTGTGTCTGGTCCCCTGCGGAACTCGATCTTAGTGTTTTTGTCGCTTGTTTGCGTAGCGCAAGCCAACTTTGGAGATACATTTCTTCGAAGACCAAAACACTCTTCGCGCAAATATCGATCTGATGAATGGTCTGGCTCAACCACCGAACTTTTTCCATTGCGTAAGAGAGCACCGGAACCTCGAAACTTGTCTCTTGAGTGAACGTCGTCAATAGTAAATCGGTCCCCAGTATGACAAGAAATACGACGATAGAGCTTGTAGAAACAAAGCTGTTGTCAATCACCGAACTTAGCGTGAGGAAAGATTTAAGGCTTCATTGGATTTCAAGCGTCTTCGCGGATTATTATATGCCATTATACGAACCGCGGCGCGGGTAAACACGACACATAGAAATCCATGTCATGTCTAACAATTTAGTGGTGCGACACCAAATCGATGAAGGTGAATTCCGACTCCCAATCCAGCAATCTAGGTAGCTAGCGACGTTCTCGTGGTAAGTGTGGGTTGTCAAAGCCGTAGTCTCCAAGCCTTCAGTACCAGCTTTTCGCAATACCACCGCCTCCAAACTAGGCGCTTTCTTCGTCGTCGGATCGCTTCTTGTTCAAATCCTGGTCGACAACATCATCCAACACAGCCAGGCCATCCCTCTCTGCACGGACTCTAGCTCTCTTCAGGCGGCGAGTGTCGGACTCAGTCTTTCTCGTAACCCACCATGTGATCAGCGTGACAATGGCACAGCATACAACTAAGGCCATGGCTGCAGCGAAACTTGTCTGATACCGCGGTGCGTATTTGGACCTGAAGATCTGGGGGCCGATGGCACCGCCGATTTGACCGTAACTGTTGACAAAGCCGATACTAAAGGCTGAACCTGTAGCTCGCGAGGTTGTCTGCACGCGCCACGGCCACATGAGAGGGAAAAAGGCAGAGGTGAAGGCGTTTCCGACGAGGGTTGCAGCATAGACGGCGCCGTTGGAAGGGTAGGCGACCAAGACTCCATAACAAGCTATCACGACAGCGAAGACGCTGAGAGGATAAAGGGGTCGCGGTATGGTTCCTTTGTCTGCAAAAAAGCCCGTCACACCAATGACGAATATGGACAAGAGGGAGATTGGCAGGTTGAGTAGCTGGGCTCGGGCTATCGTGGTAAACCCGAGATTGGCGATGACCGTTGGCTGATAGAAACGGACACCAGATGTGCCGACTGTAAAAGTAGCCCAGATAAGAGTGAAGAGCCATAAACGGCGGTCTTTGAGAGAGTCCACAATTTCGCTGAAGTTGAAGTTCATCTCTTCAGCCCTCGGGGCATTGGCTGGAAGACGTGCTTGGATGAAAGCTTTCTCCTTCTCGGTCAGCCACTTTGCGGTGGGAGGGACTAGAAGAACGTAACGTTAGAGTCGCAACTTTAGGCATAGAACTACCAGGGATTTACAACGTACAGTCAGGCAGCAGAAAATAAACTGCTGTGCCTAGAACTAGAGTGATGAGCCCTTCCACGAGGAACAACCTATGTGAATCCTCCGTCAGCATCAATCCATAAAATAGCTCGACAGACTGTATCTTACCATTGCCAACCGGACAATCCTCTTGATCCAGAGACGGTATCGAATGCAAACGCGAGAATACCACTAAAGATTCCCGAGAGATTCCCAAGTACATCTGCCTCGCTTATCAGATCTCACACCGTGAATTGCTAGCATTTTACTTACAAAAATAAAGTAGCCGAATCGACATTTCATCTGGTCTGTACCTGTCAAGATGTTACACAAACGGTCGATTGGCGTAGCTTCTCCAGAAAGCTTACCAATAGGTCATCTGAAGTATCACACCTGGGAACATTCCCGCTTCAAACTGTCCGTTGTTAGAGATATTAATTGATCAGTTTGTGGCCCAGTAGATGTACTTACTGCACCAAGGATGAATCGGGTGGCGTAGATGCCACCTTTGTTGGTTACAGGAACGTGGCAGAGCAGTGCGATACCCCAAGAAATCATGATCCTTGATTGCCAAGCACTCGGTTTGAGTCGCTTTAACAAAAGATTTGATGGCGCTTCCAGAACAATGTAGGGCACCTGACCTAGTCAACTGGGAAACCCCCTAGAAGTTTGCGAGCGGCTCTTACATAGTATAGGACGGTCAAAAGGTTGTATTCATCAGAATCCATACCCAGCTGCGTCATGATGTTTCTTGGCGTTCCTTTGTTCATGATCCTCGCGTTCGAAATGTTGTCTGAGTCGATATTCTTCATTAGAAAGAGCAGAGAGCATATGGTCATTATTCTGAGGTCGACGCGTCTCATGAGATTTTTCTCCTCCTCAGCCGTAAGCAGAGAGCGAGCTCTCATTCTCTCGGCATCGAATCCAGAAACACCTCCACTCGTCGCTTCGTCGATCTGCTCACCACGTCGAGCAAATGTCAGACCATCTTTGCTGGCCTCACCGCTGTCTGGTAAGGGTCTCATTAGAGCTGAAATGTTCTTCTTGTCGGCCATTGTAAGATGAGAAGAATCTAGTCGACCAGCCAATCAATAGCAAAATTACTTTCAAGACCAGGAGGCATCGGAAGTATATGAGAAGCTCTGAGACTGTTTAGGGGCCACAATCAATTCGCTGCCTACCCAGAACTTCATTAGTCACAATACTCAGAAGTGTGACGGAAACAAGACGAGCGTGCATACATCTCCCGATCATGTCATCGCTCCCAGAATCGCGAGTCACCAAGATAGCAGGGGCAGCGTTTGCCATCATTGGCTGAACATGGATTATATCAGGTGTGCCAAGGCAAGATGGGCAGCGGTACTTGAGCCATCGGGGGAACTTTCCGCGATAAGCATCCCTTTCGCATTGTCTTCCGTGCACCCTTTCGTTGAGATGCGGTGGTGTAAGGGGCCACCGGGGTTGAGATATCGGCCATTCACCATTGTATTACTACATTTCTCTGACAAGAGTGATGTATTGTCGAAGCGGACGAAGTCCGAGGAAGATCCTTGCATTCGCAATCATACCCCGCGATGGCGAGATGGGGCTATCACACCCCGACATCGTCACAGAGGCCGAGTGCGGAGACGAGATGTTGGCGGGACATAAGATAGTACATGTTCCGCCATGTTATGGACTCGTGGATTAGTGAGGGAGCAGGTGAAAGAACGTCCAGATTAAAAGTTACTAGTTTTAACCTTGTTTTGTCTACTCGTATAACTTCACATTCAACTTCCGCCATGGCAACAGCGGTGCAAATAATTCCAGAGGCAACTCAAAACCATAATTACAAGACTCTTCCCGTGTACCAACAAGTTCCAGAGACTAAATATGAGCGTGAGCATAAGATTTACCATTGTTCATCGTGTGTAATTTGAAGCTTATGGACCCATGTGCATACTCAGTTGAGTGGGCAGATTTGGTTACACTTGATCTTTCCAAATTCGACCAGCCAGGTGGCAAGGAAGCACTCGCTAAACAGCTGTTTGATGCCATTCAAAACATTGGTTTCTTCTACATTGTCAACTTTGGTCTCAGCCAAGAAGAGGTTGACCGCCAATTTGCGATTGGAAAATCTGTCTTCGAACTCACCACCGACGAAAAGCTAAGATATCGCGCCGACTTGGAGAACGGTGGCTACAATGGCTACAAGCCTCTTGGGTTAAGAGTGAGCATATAAAACATTACTATACGAAAAGTTGCACAAAGTTTGTTACAAGACTGACTATTAACTTCTATTCAGGAAATCAGACCTGGCGTTTTTGACAACACCGAAATCTTCAACATCCCAAAGTTCATACCTGCCTATGAGCGCCCACAGCCTGAGGTGATCAACGAAAATCGAGCAGAAATTGAGCATTTCGCACGTCATATTCACAGAAATATCGTGCGAAAGCTTCTTGTCTTGTTTGCCATCGTGTTAGAGCTGCCAGAAGACCACTTCGCCGCCCATCATCGCTATGACGAGGCGTTGTCGGACTGTCACTTGAGATACATGAAGTACCACGCACGAGATGCCGAGACCAATGAGAAATTGGAGAATGTCTGGGTCAAAGGCCACACCGACTTTGGGAGTCTGACTCTGCTTTTCAGGCAACCTGTTGCAGCTCTGCAGGTTAGAGGTAAAGATGGGAACTGGAAATGGTACGCTGAACTCTACCCGAGAAGAGAACTATTGCTTTATCGGTTTGCATGTGAGCCATATTGACACGGAATAGGGTCAAACCATACGACGGTAGCATTACTGTCAACGTGGCCGACGCACTGGACTTTCTCAGCAACGGATTCTTGAGAAGCAGTATCCATCGTGTCGTTGCCCCGCCTCCAGACCAGGCCGGGATTGATCGCCTGGGTGTACTGTACTTCGTACGGCCTGAAGATAGCCTTGAGTTGAGGCCAGTTCAAAGCAAGGTTCTGGAAAGGCTGGGCTATGATTCGAACGAGGACACGAATTTGGCCGGAATCACAGCCGGTGAATGGGTCAAGGCTCGTGTAAGGGCTGGAGTCAATCGCAACCAAGCAAGAAGCGAAATTTCGGAGCAGGAGATTGTGAGAGGAGTGAAGGCTAAGTATTACGACTGAAGATTTGCGTGGGAATTACGGTGCGGTTTGGTCAAGCTGTAATCAGCCAATTGAGCTTCACTACTTCGCCCAGAGTAGATACGCTACCGAATAATGCGGCTAGCAATTCATTCTCAATATCTATCCCCCATTCGTATTACCTTGAGGCTTCCATGAAGTTTTTCCTGCATTCATAGTGTTTGGAAGGCACTTATAATAGGGCAGTCTTCACTGCAGACCTGTTAGGATTCGACTTTCGTTTGAGCCAGAGTTTTCGATTAACTTATTTTATTTGCTTGCTTGTCTGCTTTATCATCTCTCATATCTCCTACTTTGCATATACGTTTTGACTGCTTGCCCGGCGTTCTGGCATTCTACCATTCCAGATCAGACAGTGAGTAGATAGCAATCGCATTATGGCATGGCGCGATCCTTAATTGCGAGGTTGTGCTTCATGACATGCAAGCCCCCATAGCTACTTGCATGTCTACAGTTGGCACTTTGGTTCGGGTCAATCCATATCAAAAGTGGGGGAATAAAGCAAGAACAACCTTCTTCAAAAGGACGGAGGAAAAGACCCCGGCAATAGTCGTCAGGAACCTACTTAGAAGTAGGCAATCTCTCTATGCCTCGACTTGTTTATTCTGGTCATGCCGCTATCTCACGCTTGTATCACGGGATCCATCAACGCTTGACCAACTGACCAACTGGGGAAGCCTTTCTCTCAAAAGTTTGTCGTTGGAAATGGGCATAAGATGCTCAGTTATGCAAAAATTTGAAATGCGGGACAGCGGCCTAAGGCAGATGACCTTGATACTGTATCAAGAGATTTGCTGAAGCAAACGAGGTGATGAACACCTGTGATTAAACAGGAATCATGTGACGGTCATTCTACATTTGTGAAATGAGCCGACTCAAGATTTCCTGTTGATTAGTTCTCATTTAGCTGAGAAACTGAGCACGTCAAAGCATAAGTAGCCATCCTCCTAGGACCTCTTAGGACGTTCAAGTACAGTCAGATTGTTGTCTGTGATCGGGTCGGAGAGGCTATTAATCGTCATTAACATACTGGTCAAAGACATCCGAGTAAAACTTCCTCCCGACATCCCTATGACTTCGAATCTTTGTCCTCAGCTGGCTTTCACCCCACGTATCATACTTGCCCTTCAAAAACGCCGAATCAATCTCCCTCCCTTCCTCCGACTCGTACGCCAACCCCCGCATCGCAGGCTGGGCAAAATGCTCCCTCAGCGACCCAACCGCCTCCTCTTTGGTCAGATCGCGCCGGACGCCCTGGAAAAACGGCACGCTAAACCTCTCGAGGGACCCAGAGAGCACGCGGTGCGTCGTGGCTTTGCACACCCCGTTCGTGACCATCTCGAACGCCTGGCCAATGTTGACGACGAACGAACCCGGCAACACGGGCACGTCGATCCATTCGCCGTTCTTGTTCAGAGCTTGTAAGCCCTTGATGTGCGGCGGCGAGGCCTGGAGGAGAAACGTCCACCATCCGGAGGAGTCCTTGTGCGGACCGACGCCTTGGTGGCCTGCTGCTTCGCCTTCCGGGAGGCCTGGGTAGTGAACCAGCTTGAGACGGTGCTGGTCGGAGAGGAAAGGGAGAAAGGTATCCGAGGGAAGAGACAGAGCCTTTGCGACCAGGACGAGGAAGCGGTTTCCCAAAAGAGTCATTTCTGAAATGTACGATTCGACAATGGGGCGTAACGCCGGGTATGAAGAAGGCCACTGCGACACTGGTTTCAGAAGGACTAGAGTCTAGCACGGGCGACGAAAGCCCAAAAGACAAAACGTAAAATCTCACCTGGTTTGGACCGCGGAGTCGTTCTCTCAGCGGGAGACCCTCTAGCCAGCCACTTGGTAACTCGGTAGCGAACTCGACTTGTTCTCTACGATCGCTCTTCCCTGCCGTCGTCTCCGAGCCATCGCCGCTGTATCCCAGGAAGTGCGGGGAATCGATCAGTGCAATCTCGGCTTTTGCCTCTGGTGGAAGCGCAAAAAGCTTTGGCAGGGCATCGACGATGTTGGAAATGGTCTTTTCGGGCACGCCGTGATTGACAATGTAGAGAAACCCGACGTTGGTGAGGGCGTGGCGCAGCTGATTGAGTACGCGGGCCTCTGTTGCGGGGTCTTGGGCGAGGGAGAGGTCTAATGTGGGTATTTTGCTGAAGCTGCTTGCGGATGGCATGGTGAGCGAGGCGTCAGTCTGATATCCTCACGACTTGTTGGTTTGCCGTTTCGGTGCGAACCATGATATCCGGAACCTTGGGTATTCGGCGTTATTGAGAGGTCCGTTGCCGGCGCCGGATCCTGGCGGGCGGCGGGAGTGGTGCGAATTTGGAGGATGCGCACGTCATGCATACAGAGAACGAAGCCTATTAAACACTCGGGCGGCAGATTCGGTCGGGTTGACCCTCCCAGTTAAATCTGATATGTGCGACTTGTTAGTAGTGAAGTCCGCCCCCTTGTCTGCCAACTTCTCAACAGCCAAAGTCACAGCGGCGTTCTCGACCATTGGTAGAGGTTTACTAGACACCTATTCTCATAAGGTCTACTTACGGCCGGCTCCGTTGAGGTGCGGACTACCGAGTTTTCCCAGCCTTCCCACCAAGACTACAAAAGAAAAGAAATGTCACCACACGACAAAAGGTTTCAATGCCCAGAGGCGGATTCGAACCGCCGTCAACACGGATCGCTGTATAGAAGAACCACAACGTATCATCCTAACCAACTAGACGATCTGGGCGATTGATCGTGATGATTCGATGAAGATATCATCGTGGGAACGGGCTCATTAGCCCTAAGCGGCCCCGCAGCGGGACTGCATTGCATCGAGTCACGGCAAAAAAAAACCCCACGTTGGCGGAACTCAAATCATGCATGAGTTAGTTACTTCAGAGACAGCATAGTAGGTACTTCGATTATATGATTAAAAGTAAAAACATGCCGTAAGCATGTGTGTCGTTCCCCAAGCCAGCCCAAAGGGAAAAAGGCTCATGACTTGGTCACTTGGCACTGCGCCGACGCCGCCACAGACGGATCAGACTCCGACGTCGCCTTGAGCGTCACCACCGCCGTGCTCGCCGCATCAGACGCGGCACCCACCGAAACAAACGTCGTCTTGATCTCGCCGAACTTGGCCGTGACGAGAGCGTTGGGCAACGCCACCCGCCAGCCGGCACCCTCGACCTCGGCGCTCAGCCTGTAGACGTCCGAGCCCAAAAAGGCAGACACGTCTTCGGGGTGCTGAGCCGCATCGGGGTCGACGGCGACGTAGGTGCCACTGTTGGTCAGCTGAAACGAGCACGTCACGCCCTGGCTGGTGGCCGTGCTGTTCTTGGCGCCCGTCACGGCGCCATCCTCCAGCGCGACGTCGTGGGTGCTCGCGCCGCCTTCGCCGGTCAGGGACCGGATGGCGACGGTATAGGAGAGGATGCCCTCGTCGTCTCGATGGCGGTCGACGATGTAAAAATGCAAGCTGTTTGGCACGTCGATGAACTCAAATTCGCTGCCCGAGTTCGTGCCCGCGTGGAAGAGCGCATCGGCGAGCTGGCGGTAGTCGCCCAACGTAATCATGGCCACAGAGCCGTTGGGCCGGTAAAAGTCGACGAGTTCAATATCCTCCGGGTTCGCGTCAATGACCCACTGGAAGGGCTGGTTGTCGACGTTCTTGGACTTGCTGAGCAGGACGCCGGAATCGGGCTGGAACGAGTCCGAGCCCATGCGGTCCACGACTTCAATGTCGTAATTGTCCCAGCGGCCGCCGTCGCAGAGCACTTCGGTCGTGACGTTGCAAGCTGGGGATCGATCGCCGTCCATGATGATGCGGACGCCCATCAAGCCGTCACCGGGGTCGACGGACCGAGCCACCAGGTTCGCAACAGCGATTCCTGAGGTTGCCAGGCCCTCGCGCGACAGCCACAGGATGTCAGTCTTATCAATCAACCCGAGCTGGAACTTGTCGCGCAGCGTGTGCAACGAGCCCATGGACGCGCCCTGGAGCGCCGGGATCTGCCAGCGCGTATGGGGGCCGCCGGGACCGTTGAAAGAGCCGCGCGACATCATGGACCACGGCCCCGTGTACGCCCTGCGCAGAGGGAGGCCGTACGGGTTATTGTAGTTGTCGCCGATATCGAGCAAGTGGCTCAGCTCGTGGGCGTAGACAGCCATACCCGAACTCTCGCCCTGGGTAGACGAGCCACCGCCGGCATTGGGCCAGAGCGTCGACGCCGCCGCCCACGACGACCACGGGACGTAGCGCGTGCGCGCGTAGTTGGGCTGCGAGCTGTTCGCCTTCTTGGGCGGGCCGAACTCGTCCGGCACGTCCTCGGGGCCGTTGAACTTCATCTCACCAAACTCTTGCCACGTGGAGGATTCGTCTTGGCCGGCGGAGAGGATGAAGACGAGCTCAAAGGCATCGGCGGTGGCGTTTCCGACCTCGGCGCGCCAGGCGGCAAGCGCGTCGGTGCGAATGTTGAGACCGCACCTCTCTCCCTCGGGACAGGCACCAGGATTGAAGCTGCCGTCGATTCCGTATTGGTATCCGTTGCCAGATAGTTGGTAGGCGCCAAAGGCTGTCAAATCGACTCCGAAACGACCGACCGAGTCCTCCATCCAGTACTCGTGGAGGGTGTGGCCATTGTTCAGCTCATTCGGCGTGTTGAGAAGATCGCGGTAGAAGGCCGGCACATTTTCCCGGGGAATGTCGGCACCTGCAGGCTGCGGGTTGTTGAAGATGGTCGAGTGCGCCGGCTGAGTGATGACGAAGGGCCTGTCGGGGTAGTCTACGACGACGAGGGCGATGTTGAAGTTGCGGCTGGAACCCTTGCGCGCCGGGTCCGACCAGTTCGTGCCGGGCGGTGGGACGAAGTCACCCCAAGTCATGTTGTCCGGATTCACCCAATCCTGGGGGTCAATTGGCACGAAAGGCACGTATGGGCTGCATGACACCGCGGCGACTGGACCGGCGATGAAGGCACCAAGGGTGGCTCCCAGGACAGCCAGGAAGCCGGTGTTGCCATCGCGAAACTGCATGTCGCCGAAAACTGAGTGGAAGTTTACCGGAGACGTTCGAAGCAGCCACCAGCAGATGCTCACGGAAGCCAATAAGGCAAGAGAAGAAAGAAGCCGACGAGGGAGACTGTCGATAGATAAGTATCAACGGCTGACGCGACACGGTCATTGAGGTAGTACCGACCTTGTGTCTCTGACCTCATGATGGTTCGTTCCCCGCCCCAATGCTATCTCATTGCGGATCTCTGAACCCTTCAGTGAGGTATCATTTTGCTCTTTACGGGAGGAAGAGTGACTTGTTTGCCAAGAAGTCTTAATCTCGTCGTTGCCCTGGTGCGATGGCACCTGCTGCTTCAGGAAAGAGTCCATGTCCACTTGGACGCGCTGATCAGCGACCACATAGGACTGTTTCCGAGTGACTTGCAGGAGGCTCGGGTGCGCCTGGCGGTTCAATGCGGTGAAATGTCGGATTCTCGCGCTGATTGCGAGGGAAACTACGTGCGGACTGCTTGGGAACCCCAGGTCGATGTAAGGTTGTGAATTGCAGTGCACGATAGCCGTGTAACCTCAATCGATGAGTGTCTGTGGGGGTTTTACGAGATAAAGTCCAGGAACCGCTGCGGCCCGGTTGGGGTAATCGGGTTTACCTGGCGGGGTAGGCCGACACCTCATGCAATTTCGGCACGGATGCGACCTTGGCCGGCTGATGTAAGCGGTCGGGCCCGCTCCAATCCCGGCTACCTTACCGAAAGCGAGGAGACCCCTTTATATGCATCAATACTTTAGTTGAGAGACGTTGAAACAAGAGTCTTGGACAGCGGCATTGCAGTGCATTGCAGTGCTTTGCGCTGTAGTTGATCACGTTTGTCCGTTTTTGCCTTGCTTCTCTCTGCAACCTTACCGTCGTAATCCCAAACGCGCGGCTGGATAATTTCATTTAATGACAACGTGGACAGTTGTGTAATCTGTCTATGAATCTCATTTGATTGTACTTCGAGAAGATTTGATATGGAATACCATTGTACCAATCCCGTGTTGACAAGTACTCAATCCATCCAACGGCGATGAATTACTCACTCAGTGCGTGCGTGAATTGGAAAGTCAGTCGAAATCTCCGCCTCATCTCCGACGGCGTCCGCTGTAACTCCTGCCTCCAACACGCATAATCTCATCCAACACCATCCAGAACAGCCAGCCCTTTACGTTCTCGTAAGCCCACCGTCTCGTAGACTCGGGAGTGGCATGATAACCGACTAGCCACAGCCCGGCAATAATACCACAAACAATACCCCGTCTCACCAATTCGTTTCCGCCAAACTCCGCCACGCCCAAAAGCATCGCCTCGCAGATGACATAGGGCCAGTAATTGCTGGGATGCCACACGAATCCCGTGCCCGAACCAGTCTCGAGGCGTCCATTTCGAATCGTCGTGTTGCTGGGGCCGGGGAGGAAGACGGCGAGAGGGGACGTCAGCCCCGCGATACGCCACTGGAAATAGCAGGCCGACAGCATGATGATGCCGGCAAAGAGGCGGTCGAAGAGGGAGCTTCCGTCAATGTTGAGGACCCAGACGACGGGCGTGAATGGGACGGCGGCGGTGTAGAGGAGGGCGATGAGGGGAAGCGCGGCAAATTGGCGGGTGAGGATGCTGGCCTTGCCCGGCGGGCCGGACCAAGCCGTGGACGGCGCGGGTTGTGGGGCCGGTCGCGGACCCGGGAACGGCGGATCGTCCACCGGTGTTCCGTCGACTTTGAAAGACACCATGCTGGGACTTGGGTGTTACTCGTGGGTTCTGAATCAAAGGAGTGGTTTGCTCGGGTCTTGAGTTTCAGCTTTTTTCTGTTTTACTTTTTCAATCCGCAGAGTTCGGGGACAGGAGTTGTTGGGTGGATTTCAGTTGGTAAGTTGATTGAGCAAATCTCCCACTTATTTACCTTTGAGGACCAAGATAATATTTATATCCGTCTCCTTGAGCTGGTCCGTCTTTGGTGGAGGCTGTTGCCTACCAAACCTTGACCAAACTTTTGAGGCATGCGGACCGTGATATTGATTACGGTTAGTTTCTGGAGGATTCGACAAGGATCCTCAGCCACCATTAGGCAGCACACCCCGTATTTAGCCCCTCAGCTCATCCGACCGTTGCACCATGGCAATGTTACACTCGTCCAACCGGTTGGAACCCGTTGGAAATGCATCTTCAGGGGTCGGGTTGGGCATACAGAAAATAAATTGAAATCAAGCCCTTCAAGTCAGAGCGAAAAGTTTTTGATATTTTAAATACAAGAATTGAAGATTGTGTGAGTGACCAAGGTCACGTGATGGTGTTACGATCCTGGATGCTTGAGGCTATTTCGACCTGATTGATGGGTCGTCAGCCACAAGCTCCGTTGACCACCACCACCACCACCCTAATATGCACAAAAGTGGCTTTAGTTTATACAGAAGAAATTAAATCGGTGTCTTCCAGCATCGAGTTCACTGTCTCGGCGGTTGTACCACCCTCAAAAGTCCTGACAAAACCCATCTACTGGTATGTCTTCAGGAGCTCGTTGTAGTAGTTGTATCCAATGCCCGTCTCGGGCTCAAAGGAGAACATGTACGAGCCCCACATAGGACCGGCAGCCCAGAAGCTGGCTCCGATCCACACGTCGCTGTTGTCCTTGAGGAAGTCGAGCAGATTGGCGACGGCCTCCTTGCACTGGGCGTTGGCGCCGCCGGCGAATTCGCCGAGGACACCAACCTTCTTGTTCGTACGGAGCCACGCGGTGGCGTCCTTGACACGCTCAACGCCAATGGTGGTGGAAACGCATTCGGCAGCGGTACCACTGCTATCGTTGTCGAGGTACTGGTGCATCTCGATGGCGGTCTTGTTGAGAGGATCCGTCAGACCCTTGATGTTGTCGTTGACGGTAGTCCAGCTGTGGGCACCCGTCCAGGAGTTACCCTCAACCCAGATCCAGTTATCGACGACGGCACGGATACCGTCAATGGCAGCCTGGTTGAGCTTCAGGACGAGGTCCTGGTCCATGGAGTTGTACTCGTTGTTGGTGTCATAGATGACGTTGGGGTACGACTTGAATTGCGTCGCCAGGTGGGTGAAGTACGTCTTGAATCCGGCGGTATCGGTGATGATGTTGTTGTCGAAACGGCCGTAGTTGTGGGCATCGAGGACGGCGTAACCGCCGGCGGATGTGATGTGGTCGACCACCTTGGTCAGGCCGGAGAGGTAAGCGGCGTCGAACGTGCCCGTGAGGCCGCTAGGGGAGAGACGTTCCATGAGGTAGCTGATACGGAAGGTCGTGTATCCATCGTTCATGAGTGTCTATCACATGTCAGTTACATTTCCAGCCTAGACTTTGCACCATATTTACTCACGGTGATGGTGTTCAGGTCCGGGAAGACGTAGTCTTGGCCCAAGACACCGGGAAGGGCACCGGCACCAAACTCGGCACCAGACTGGTTGATACCGAACCACTTGAACTTTCCGGACTTGCCGGGGGTCGCAGGAGCGGACGCAACAGGAGCCGGAGACGAAGGAGCCTTGGTGGCGCTGGGGGCGGCAGAGGTGGACGAGGGCTTGGCAGCAGTCGGGGTAGGCTTCACCGCAGGAGCGGAGGGCTTGACCGCGGGAGCGGAGGGCTTGACAGGAGCAGCGGAAGGCTTGGCAGGGATGACGACGGGGGCGGTATGAGTAGGCGTCGTCGAAGCTGGCTTGGTGTCAACGGGCTTCGGGGATGGTACGGCAACAGCCGGAGCCGAGGTCGAAGAAGATGAGCTCGTCGTCGTGGGGACATGCGGCGCGACGTCGCTGGCGTGAGCCGGTTTGGACTTACAAGACCGTCTTGTTGATGTCCTCAGGGTGGTGGCCTGGGCCTCGGCTTGGACGCCGCCAGCGCTTCCTTGGACGCACTGGCTGTAGAAGTCGTTTTGGACTGTGCACGTGTAACCGGACACGCAGGTCGTCTGGCCGGTGAATCCCTTGCCGCCGCACTGCATGTAGGGACCGGCCTGGGCCATGGCTCCGCTGACGAGCGCAGCACTGATGATGAGTCCCTTCATGATGAATTCCGGATTCAGGTAAAGGAGTGTGTACGTCTAAAAGAATGACTGAAGTTTGAATAAACGCGGTGATGCAAAAGAGTGTAAGGCCCTGAACGAGGGGAAGAAGAAACTTGGTGAGATGCAATGAACAGCAGTTTCCCTCCTGTCAGAGAGCAAGCCTGGCTCAAGGTCTTATATTTGCGTTACTCCTGGAGCTCAAATTACCGTCCCAGTACAAACTAAACCGATCATGGTGCCGACTGGCCGGAACGGTGAAGGTCGAGATCCCTGTTATGTGGATGCGATTCGTGGGGCCACCCCCTCCGCTTGATCGCCCCATCACCCTCTCGTACCGGCGTGAGTGGTGACGTGAGGGGCAGAATTACCTGGCTGTGGGAACGCAAGGCACGATCTGGTGGTAGTACCAGGATATTGCCTGTTCTCCCTTCATTTTGTTTCTCCTCCTTCATTTCCTTGGCCGCGTTCTAGACTGGTTCCTCTGGCGGCTCGCCTGGTGGTTCGTCTGATGTGTTTGACCATGTTGGTTAGACTTCCCCGGGAGCATTGGGCCAACCGGGCTGGTAAATGAGAACCTTTCATTCTCAAATCAGCGCACTCCCTGGATGAGATCATCCAACCATCGGAAAGGATTAGGTTAAGGTTCGAACGTGGCAATTTCAGATATAGTTGAGACATTAGACAATGCTTAAGTCAATACCATGTCAACGATTCCATGCCGATCGTTATCTGGAAAAGAAACGCCCTATCCAGACATGAAGTCGATTTATTTCCTTTATCCAAGCTGCCAAAAGTCTTGGCTCTGCCTGGGTGAGGACGATCTTTCTGGGGCAGAGCCTGGCCAGCCCTTCGTGCCGTTACGCCGTGCCGGAGCCGAAGGGGCTGGTGGGGCTCTATAGGCCGGGCATCCGAAGTGTTTCGGATTTAGAGTGCTCTATTTCTTTTGATTTTTTTTGTTGTGTTTTGCTGTGAGCACCCACGGCTCACACACCACATCGGGAGAAGCCGCACTAGCTCCGCAAGGGTATCCCCTGGCTCCCCAGATAGTATTTCATCTCCGTCACCTCTCTTCATTCAGCTTTAGCAGCTTCCATCCCTGCCTTCCCCTGGCAGCGGCGTTTATCACATTACTCACCTGTGCGACAACACACTGCATCTAAGGGCAAATAGCCCAACTGACAGCACGGTGTGCTGATTGCCACTCTCCGCCCCTATCAACTGGTCATCCCTTTACATCAAGGTCAAAAAGCAACTGGAACGGACCCAAGATTTCATGGCTCCTCCAGCGGCCAAGCGAAGCAGTCACATGAAGGTTACAGACGTTGTTGCACTCCAGTAAAGTCAAATCGCCCTTGGGTGAGACGTCGCCACTAGTTCTCATGGTGTGACATTCAATCTGCGAGGGAGGATCTTATGATGTGCATTATCCAGGACAGGGTGAGTATAGATAGATTGCATGCAAGTGAACAGCCCTAGGGCCTATATCCGCATTGCCAGAGCCTCAAATGGTCCTGTCGTAACTTGTAGAAGAGGTGCTCGAAGTGCTTACCTACCTTAAGTAGGTACGCCAAGGCAAAACCATATCGAGGTGTCCAGCAATATGGCTGCTTTGTAAGATAGACAAGAGAAATATATCAGAACTTCTGGGGATACTAGTGTAGATGGTAAGCCTGGAAGGGGCATCATCGCCCATAAATGGCACTGGGGATGTTGCGAGATTTTGTGAGGGTCTCCCCGGCTAGCGTATCCTTGCATAGCATGAATTTGTACGGTACCGAAGCAATTAGGTGAGCTACGTTTATATGTTTCTTTGTTTGTTTAAGAAAAGGTGGATTCAGGAGGCTACATCATTTGTGCTATCTGATTTGCTCCTAAGTTCAAGCACCCTTCGCTGGCCAGATTACATAATCCAATCCCTGTCTCCCACAACAGCTTCAAAAACCCCAACGTAAATGCTCAACATTCCTACACGGATAGGAAATTCGCAATGCCGCCAACACGAAGGATTAAATCCAGCGAGTCCAAAAAATGCGCTGATGATGTAGTGTATGGGGCAAGACTAGGCTTCAATGCCGGGCCATCCCCTCATCCCGGTGCAGCCAAGGCGACGCCGGCGGGCTGCTCCGCGACCGGCTCACAGACGGGAGTACCCCATCCATCCACGCCGGACAGTGTCAAGACGGAATCTCCCATCTCGGTGAAGTCTGTAGCTGCAGTCCGATCAAGAGACGTCGGCCCCTCCGTCTGTCCAAAACGCCGCGGCTGCCGTGTACTTTGACGCCGATGACTTCAGTGACGATGGGGATCTCAGCTTCAATGAAGCGGCACCAGCACCGAAGCTGACGCGGACCTCAAACCCGAAGACTGCAAAAGCACCGCGGCCCAAGGGACCGAAAGGATCCATAAGCGTTTGCTTCCAGTATGAAGCTGAATGGCAGAAACATCGTGTCGAGTGGCTCGGCCATGCGACGAGGGCAGTCGGTTTCAAAGACATATTGACGTCGTGAGTTGTCTCTGCCCAATGAGCTTGGACAGTCTGAGATACCGGGTCTTGCCAAAAGCTGCAAGCCTCGTGGCGTCCATACCAAGACTGACTCAATACGTCGCCAGGGCACACATTGACACGCTGCTCTCGTTCACCGAGACTTGCGAACGGCTAACCTCCTTCTACTTCACTTACCACGACGTCAACCGCGACGCGACTAACTCCGCCACGGAACTGACCGACGACGATGTCACCAAGATTGCCCACGCCTGTCCCAAACTCAAATCTTTTGCCCTCCCGGGCGCCTCGGGCCTCACCGAAAAGGCGTTCCTTGCATTATGCGAACATTGCCCTGACCTCACAAAACTGCACATTAGCGCTGCCTCAAGAGGCAGTTTGGTGACCGGCCACGATATCGTGTTTGAGGCGCTGACAGAACATCCAGAGTGGGTGCCAAAGCTGAAGCAGCTTCGGATCGCGAAAATGAACTGGACAAACAAAGTACTGCGGGTGCTATCAAAAGCGCGGCCGAAGCTGCACATCATATTGTCATCAACAAGTGAGGTCAAGAGATGGGGCGACTGGGAGTTGGAACACTATCAGTCTGAGTGGTGGAGAGGGAAGTGCCAGGACAACAATGGAGTGGTTAAAAGGGCGCAGAGGAGATTTGACAGGATGACTGAGCGTGGCTTTTGATATTAGCAAGCATTTTAAACCAAATTGAGGGCGAAGAAAGCCGTGCTATCTGCAAAGTGCTTAGATGGCTTAGACAGACGCAACCTAAGGTAAGGTGCAGGCACGAACAGGGAGAAGTAGTAAAACACTCATCAGAACTTTCTACACTTTGATTTGCCCTCTCTCTCAAGGTGCAAAACCTGGTGAGCCAACCCCAAATGGTTCAGTCATAGGAGATCTGATGCCCAGAAGAAGTCAAGGAAGACATGTACTCGCGGCATAGCTTTGAAAAAGGGGTCCAAGTCTTGCACAACCAATAAACAAGAAATCCCGATTTTATAAGTACCCTGAAGAGAAGAAGTAAACAGTATGACTCCATTGTATCCCCGATCCCCATCGCAACCTTTGAAAGAAAAGGAATACCGGTTCCTCCATGCTCTTATTTTGCCACAGGATTGACAAGAACAGTTCAAATCTAACATTTGAAGTCACAGTATCAATCCAAGTGGCTCTTCCTTCTGTGGCACCAACAAGCATAAAAAGTCCTGGAGTGAGTCGATACGCGACCTGGGTAAGTCTGAGTTGCATTGGCGGTGCTTGACAAAATCGACATTTTCTCAGAGCGTTGGTCTTACAAGTTCAAAGGGGAACAGCCCCAAGTTTTCACCAGAATTTGACCAAACGCCCATCGGGTTATACTCACAAAGCCTATGAAGAAGACAGATGAGTCTTCACTTCCCTAATCTCTTAAAGAACCTCTAAGATTGAAAAGCCCATGAAGACAAGTTCACGTCGCACCAAAGGCAGCAGACTCATTTTTTCGTAACGTCCACACACTCTGCGTTGCCCCCAGCTGAAATACCTTCATGACTTTGGAGAACAGCCCATAGCCCTAATTATTGCATAAGATTTCTGATACATTTGGCTGGCACGCATTGGAAAAGTGGTGCGTCTAATATGGTTTCTGGAGGTTACCAAGACGGGTTAGATATATCCATCCCCTTCTTGGCCTTGGCTGGCGAACAGAAAAGCACATACCAAGAAGACCGGTCATCCAAGCCAACCACCTTGATACTTTCTTTACCTAGGCCGTTCAGGACCTAGGCTGTACAATCTCGTAGTCGCGACAGCATTTGTCTCTGGAGATCAGCCAGTAAGTCGGACTATGAACTTTTTAATAGAATTAGAGTCTCGTCAATTCTACTATATTTTTACTCCAGGCTGCAACCGGAGCTAACTGCACGAGCAAAGCTGCCCTGTCCCGCCACCGACATCACTTGCGACGCATAAAGTGAGGAACCAATTATGAAGACTCTAATCTGAAATGAATGATTCTATTCATAAATTATTACGCAAATCGAGTCCCTGTCGGATCTAAATAGAGGCTCTACGTCTAAAAATCGCAGGTTTCATGATTGTGCCCAATCCCTGATCTTTTCGAATATCAACTTGGCGTCTTGTTCACTCGAGGACATCTCTGAGTAGTATCGCTGAAGATCATCTTCGGTTGGCAGTGTCGCCCGGTAATACGGAACGTTCATCTCAAAAAGCTGTCTGGACAACTCTCCGTAAATCTCTGGGTGGCCTTGAAGTGACAGAACGAGCCCCGAGTCGGAGAGTAGAATTTCATTCTCAGGTGCCAGTGGCTTGAAGCCGCTGGGCACATTCTGCACAAAACGCTTGTGGAATTTCGTGATTTTCTATTGAAATGGGGGTGTCAACAACTAGCATCCGGCGACTGATCATGCGTCGTAAGCGTGAGAGGGGACTTACAAGTGAGTCCTTGCCAAATACTGCTTTGCCGTCGTCGTTCAATGCTAGAACCTGTACGCCGACCTGTTATGGGTTCGCTTAGCTTCAAGAGCACGCCTACAAGCTCGTCACGTTATTAAATTCCGATGCTTACTCTTGGATGTTCAAAACTCCCGACTTTGCCGGAAAGAGCTGTTGCAATCGCCTGATGACCCCAGCAAATTCCGAGCAGCTTCGTCTTCGTGATGTGTTGCTGCCCCACCACGTGTCGGATCCATTCCAGGGTGGTATCGACCCAAGGCTCATATGTCGCCTGGCACAGGTTGCTAAGTCCACCGGTGATGATGATAAGATCATAGTCCGCAGGTGCAGGCAGGTGCCCATCTTCCTTCATCGGTCGGTATGCGTCAATGATTGCGTCTGGAACCTGTTGCAGTACGTTATCGCGGAACGACTGCAGCATTCCCCTGTGCTTTGGCTCATCGATCTCGTAGGCTTTGACGATGGCGACCCTAAAAGGGTTTGCTTGCGGTAGTGAACCCATGTTGATCCGTAAACTGTTGTTTTGAGCGTTCGTGCCTTGTACGATTTGAAGTTTATGAGCAGGGAAGTCAAATCTAAGATGTGTGTAGAAGCCGCGGCGGAAGACACTCTTGATAAGAATGAAGTGGGTTGCTCCGTATTCTTGACTCAACCCCCTCGGAGTTTCGGACTCACAGATAAGCTAAGCACGCTTCACAAGCCCGGCAAGGTGGTCTGGCTAAACTCGGAGTATCCACACCATCTCCGGCAATCGGACGCTGGAACGTTAATTACGAGGCCCCCCAAAACCAGAGCATTAGTAATGAAAAGAAGCCTGGCCCGTGTTATCGATCGTCTGCCACAAATGCCGCTCTGCAGCCGCCAGTCGTGTGCAAGTTTACGATCTGCCATGTACGCCCTGCCATGTAGATGGCTGGTCATACTTCGTATTTTCCTTGATGAAGCATAACCTCCGCCCTCCGGTTTGTAGCCGCTGCAGACCCTCATTTGTAGCTTCCGCTTTGGGCCCCTGCATAGGTGCACGAAAGACCGGAGGCCTGAATTTTTGGTAAGGGTACGCGAGGACAAGATCCTGCTTGGTTTGTTGGGTCCTGGAGACACCTCGGGAGTGATGTGGCCGAGCAAAGCCGCGAACTGCATTCTTTGAATTCCCGTCCATACCCCACATCCCCGGTGCCCCGGATCCTGAGACAACATTCAACGGCTCCGATTGCCGAATTAGGAAACTTTTCGCCACATTATAATAACCAACATTCGTGCCCCCAAAATGGGCTGTAAACAGTATAAGCGCAGGGGGGGAAGAAGGACAGTAAGGGTAGTAGGGACAGTAAGGCAGGGATAGTAGGCTATAAGTTTAGAGCAGAAAATGAACAACACTCATACGCTAAAGGCAATCTAACATATTAAAAACAGGCAGCGTTAAGATGCTTTCATTTAGTGGATAGACTTGCTTGATAAACGCTAGGCCCTGAATTATTTCCCTCTATCCTGGCGTATTCTTGTTGAGCTCTATTAGCGACCTGACTTCCCCAAGGCCCACCTACCGACTTCAACAAAGACATTGCTCGTCGGTGCGTGTCAGCGTGACGACAGTAAGCAGCGGTGTAGTAGAAGAGCGCCACCACTCCTATGTCCAAAGATATTTTCCCATCTTCAAATTCATCCAAAAAAGCAGAGAGTTGTATGGCCAGTCCATGCGAAGAGCGCTCTTCTGAGGAAAAAGAAGATAGAGAAATCAACTCTGTAATAGTTCGCCATACTTTGAGTATCTTAACGCGGGGGTCGGAGGCCAGATGAGGTTGCTGAGAAACGAAAAGTGCAAAGTTGTCGGACCAATGGGATAGGGGCTCGGCGACGGCCTGATACGTTTCCCCCTTATTCCTTGCGCTTCTGGGTGACGCTACGAGAACATAGGTCAACAGATCGAGCTGAACATTCCGAGCGTGTGCGACGGTTAAAAACTCGGGTACGGCTTTCTCTGGGGTTTGAACCACCTTGGGTGGCACGCTGGGTGGTACCGGCAACATTCTAGATTGCAGGACCAAAATATGGAAGATTGGCTTGATCTGACTTCGTATCAGGTGGCCACCTGGCGACCCGAATGAAGTGCTATCAGATGACGGTTCCTTGTGGGATATCCACGTTGCGAGGATTTTGAAGCTGCTTGTGAGATGTCGAACAGCATCCTGGTAACCACCCCGTAGCCACTCGAACATGATACATAGGATAGAGCATACAAGTGTTACCTCGAGAGCTGACCATCCTTTATGGTTCATGTGCGTGTTGAGAAGACCGACTGCTTTTGTGTAATCAGCCTCGGCGTGCTTGCATAAATTGACGCCACTGGTATTGGAATGTACGACCGAGCCACTTTTTAGGTACTCATGGAGGGAACCGATAGCGACAAGCATTTGGTGCACACACGGCTCTCGATAGCTGAGTTGCAGTATCGTGGTGCTCCAGAACTCTACGTCAAAGTACCCAGCAAACTCTGGAGCCGAATGACCTTGGTAGAAATTGATTGACCGGCCGGTTTGCGGGTTCAGGTGATAGATGGCATCATTAGGGTTGGGCCGGGGGGTAATTGCTACGTATGCGTAGTTTGCTGTGAGCGAATTGCGTCTTTCATTGCTCGCGTCCGTAATGTAGTCGCAGACTCTCCCCGTAGAGCTACATCGAATGCAAGAAGGACGTTCCATGCCACATCTCACATGTCGAAATCTGTGCCCGAAGAACATTCACTCAGCTTCTTATCCCCACTATTTCAAGCGCCCCGTCTACGCAAGTACACATGGACTGCATCGATGAAGAACGTGTTTTTCAACACTGTGCTTGGAGATGCAACCAACTGGGTTACAGGTCGGTTTACTTACCGACAAATCCCACAGCCGAGGCGAGTGCGAGTATGCTTAGCCCTCTTTCGTATCACCTTTGTGACAGATCGATCGCTGTTGGTACCCTCGTTGGAGACTGAGTCTTCGTTGGTTGGCGCGGGACTACGCCATTTCAAAGGCGGTAACAGCACCATGCTGGTTGCACAGGTAGTTGTGCGGCGTTGTAACGCCGGGGAAGTAACCGCGTCTAGGGTGTCCTCTCATTGAGGACCAAGATCCTCCAGCACCAACGGCTCTCACGAAAGAGCTGGGAATTGAGAATAAATGAAGCGGGTGAAGATGTCGACGATGCGATCGAAGCTGAGTAAACGGTTGATGAGGGCAGCCAGGCTTCAGCCCCGCTTCTTCCGCAAGCAAACTTGCTATCGGCCGAGTATCACTTTCATTGGTCGAAACATGCCTTTTGTCCAATCATAACTGTGAAACGATGATACCAAGATCCACATCTAGTTGAATCGCTCTAGATCCTTCAAGACCATGGACCAGGGGAGACATTGCGCACCACAGGCATTGGCCATCATTCCCGGTTCCGACAGAGCGAGGATGTCGCCAAGAGCCCGTCACAGCCCCCTGTGATGTGGCTGATGAGGAACTCAACCGGATGAGGTGGAACAGAGTCCCAAGCATCCGGTCGGAGAGGCAGACTTAGAACCGCATTGGGCGTACCTTATCAATATCATTAGCACATCATCGAGAATGCCCTGCCCAATTTTGGCCAGAATTATCGAAGAGAAGAACTCTTCATTTCAGATGTGAGAAACTTTACTAGTAGTTGCCAATGTCAAGCCCGTATCGAGAGGTTAGACTGTAACCTCATATTTCTGTCATATTTGGGACGAGAAGGCATGGAAACGTTCGACCACCGTCGACTTGCAATTACTTCATGTTGTCGTTATTGTCATAGTTTTCAAAGAAGGCATGACTGAAATTGAAACAAGTCTGCGTTTCCGTGTAGCGCATTTTCTCCCTCAAGTTTCCCCGTTGTCGGACTCGGGAAAGTTGATATCTTTTGTGGTTGAGTAGTAGCAGGCGATCTTAGATAGCATTGCTTCAAGCTACGGAAAGGCCATCTCACACTCTGGTGAGGCCGTGGCCGACTTTCCTACGGAGCTCCCGCGCATGACCAGGCGACAATGCAAGCCATCGTTGTCGCCAACGGCGACACTAGGTGGCCAGGTCTTGTTTGTGGAGTCGATGGCCAAGGCCGCCACCAATCGGGGAACGTCCTTGTCTGCAAGTGGAACTGCTCGCAGATAAGATGGGACCTCTTTCACCAAGTCCTCGAGAGTCGGAACACCTCCTCTACCCCGTCTGGGTGGGCCAAACCCTTAATGGCAGCTTATGGTAGCACCCAGATTGGCGGTATTTGAACAAGCTTTTTTGAATACATGTTTATGGCAATCCTTAACGCGAATTGGCAGACCGTACCCTTTTGATCCCTATCCTCTGTCATCTGTTCAGAAGGGCTCATTAACGAAAATGACAAGGTTAACTAAGAAGAGCCTGTGCAGCTAATGGGAAAAGAATGCTGTAAACCTAAAATTTCTCTTTCCCGAACTGAAAGCGTCTTAATGTTTGGACGTCCCATTTGGAGTTGTGCACCTAAGTTGACATTGCTACAGAATTCCTGATATGACGGGTGAGGCGGCTTATGTAATCGACAAGTTCCGTCACGGACTCGGGCGGCCGGTACCTTATTGCAAGAACTTGGGACCAAACACCATGGGAGCTGGGTTTCGCAACAATCCGCAGAAACCCTCACGCCGTCTTCCAGTAAATGTTCCTGCAACACTAGTAAATCGCGAGCGCGTTGCTCTGTGAGGCAAACTTGCACATCCGCCCAGCATGCGCGAGTTCATGAGCTACGTGCAGAGCGCGTTCTACGACGCCACCGGCTGGAACCGCGACAACTCATACTCGTCGCTCAACGCAACTGCAGATGGTACGCTTGATCAACAGCGCAGGGTTTATTTGCTACACCTGACGGTTGACTACGGCTGACGTATACGCAATCGGCAGCACTCCTCAACTTCCCGACACCGCAGGGCCTTCGCCTCACACTCTCCTCCCTCGCGACCCCTCACTTTGCGACATCATACCAGCTCGGCTCGGTAGGCGTGGTCGACGGGTCCATCTCCTACCTCTACGCCTCCGTGCCCCTCCGCGCGCACCTCACCCCGCAATCCGATGCTATACCGTTGCCGGCGTTGCTGCGCTCCTACCGCCCGCTCGCCGACCTCCCACATCGAACCGTCACGAAGCCATATCCCCTCCTTAGCCCGGCCGCCGCCTCCCTGCTCTACGGCCGTCTGTACCTCCCCGAGTCTATGCTTGAGGCCCTAGTTGTGAAGAGAATATCACCCGCGCTGCAGTTCCAGCTCAGCGCTGTCTCGGGAAAGTTTCTGCGCAACGGCGGCACGGTTCTGGGACTGGCTCAGTACGACGTCGGCAGGTACGTCATTGAAGGTCTGGGCTCGTCCGACGGCGGTCTGCTTGGCTTCAGAGGCGCTTACAATTTTGGTGGTGATACGGACCACATCCAAGCTTCCAGGCCAGGCAGGAAACCGAGCGGACACACCGACGAAGCCAAGGAACGCATCTACGGACGCTTTAGCGCCGGCGGGGAGATCTATTATGGCCTGCTGAACAAATCTGGCGGCGTCAGTTTCGGAGGCCGTTTTGCGACGCTGCCGGAGCATCGGGGTACTCCGCTGACGGCGACGATGACGATCAATCCCCTGATGGGCAACATCAGCGCCAGCTATGCGGTGGTGGCTGGCAAGCACTGCAGTCTCGCGACGAGGATGGATTTCAACGTATACAGCTACGAGAGCGACTGGTCCGTGGGTATGGAGCTGTGGCGCAAGAACCTGACCCGCAACCTCGAGCCTGCCCTCTCGGCCGAGAGCTTTGTCAAAAAGGACCGCAGTTTCCAGGCCAAGCTGGAGTGGAGGCTGGACGCGCCCGAGGCGCCAAAGCAGCCGACGCTTGTCGTCGAAGAAGAGCAGGGACGGAAGAAGAAGCCGAGCGAACGCAGCTTTCAGGCCAAGTTGGAGTGGAGATTGGACGACAATCGTGCGCTGGATGGGACAAAGGAGGCGGCGGCGGCGGATGCCGGCACGGTGGGATCCAAGAGTGCGGACGAATACGGCAGCGTCATCAAGGCGCGGCTGGACCAGAACATGAAGATTGGGGTCTTGTGGGAGGGGAGGGTCAAGTCTCTCCTGTTCAGCCTCGGCAGCGCCATCGACCTGCGCAAGCTCGACTCGCCGTTCCGCACGGTGGGTGTGGAAATCCAATTTTCATCGTGAAGGGACTATTCCGTGCTTGCCACATTACACTTACCCACTGGCAATCTTCCCGATGCGATAGTAGCTCCGACGTCTCGAACGTCTCGGTCGCAGAATTAGGCAGTTGGCGCGTTGCAGAAGTTCCCGGCATCCTGGCGCGGCTGCAGTAGGTATTCGTACCTAGCACCTGAGGAGCACCGCCCGTCAAGGTTGGACTCGACAGATACCGGCTTCGTGGCTAGGGGTCCCTTGGACGCAACCCGAGGTGACGCCGCAGCTATCGGTGCAGGATGGCATCGGAAGAGCCATGGTAGCTGCATCAAGTGGAAAGAGACAATGCAACGTCGTCTGTGCCACTTTTTCTGTAGGAACTTGGAAAGGCAAGCCGGCCGGGCGGGACCAACCAGGACCCAGAAGCGACTGGACGCCGGGTTTCGATGTCCTTGAACTTGCGAGAGGATTCCGACCTTGATATCTTGGATTGTCCTTGGCGAGATCATGGAGGAAAGCAAGCGACCGGCTTGGCCGAAGCTTGACTAACAGAAGCGGCCTTGGCCAAGCTTTCTTGGCGGTGTGGTGACCAATGTTGGAAGAGTCACCTACATTTTAGTGCTACGGGAGCGTGCAAACATCTATACCACTGATGGCTTTGCTTGAGACGCAATGAAGACTGCTGAAGGCACTTGACACATGGAATTCGAGATAACGTACAAAGATAAACATCAGTCATCAAAGGTACGAATACCAGGATGTCTAAAACTTGTTCAGCGGCGTCAAGTCGGACAGCGTCTTATTCCAATAAATGTGTTATAATCATGGTTTGACTATGTCGGTGTTTTGCCCCTTTCGAGCGACATCGTTCACCATGGACAAGTATCTAATAATGAGCGCATTCCTCGCGACCACGAGACATCCCACCTCATTCCTGGATGCTGTCAGCTCCCAACTGGCACCATCCTTGGTCCGTTCCGCTAGCTCGCCGCGGGTGCCCCCACCCGATCAGATTTTGTGCTAATTTATGCCGCCGCTCATTGGTCTGCAAGCTGGCCATCAAGGTTCTCCGCACTAGTTTAACCATCAAGGTCCTCACTCTCATAGTCGGCGCATGTGCGTTGGCCGACGTCAAGTCTTTCTTTGCATGATGGCGACAGCTGACTGGTATCAGGTGTAATTGCAATTTGTTGGACAAGCCTAGACAGACCAGCGCAAGTCGAATAAACTGTGATACAGCCTGTGGTAATTTTGCCTCGGTAGGTATTTCATTCAAGAGTACGGATACCCAGAGACACGCAACTGTGACGAGCGTAGAATAGCAATGCTTTGTTTCATGAATGCGGAAGCTGCAGGGGAGAGCAGGTGCTGGGTGTCTTTGATAAGGCTCCCATGAGGCGTGAGGTAAGAACAAGGTGCGAAAGTGGATCTGCATCGAGGTTTAGCCATCAAGGTCCTCATTTTCCATTTTGCGCATCCGCCTGTGCCCGTCCCTGCGCCTGCCGCCTGCGCCTGGCACCCGTGCCGCTCTGGTCAACCGTTCCTGGGTCTTTTAGGTTCTCTCTGCAAACATCGTTCTCAAAGGTACCTCTTGCTCGGTATCACCGTCCACCTCGAGAAGCGAACCGCCGAAACTCTAAAGATTAGACAACTTTCTTCGACAGTCCAACGTTCGATCCGAGGCCATTCACTTGTCGAGACGGTTTCCCGGCAAGTCTAGTTGTTTTTTTTCGTCCCTCATCGTCTAATAATTCCCTCTCGTAAACTTCCCTTTCGGCATCGGACACCCTGCGATAGAACATCGAGCGAATCTCAAAGAGGAAAACAACACACGAAATCCACCTTGACGTCTCCCTTTGATCAGCGGCGCCACCTCAAAGAACCACAGAGAACCACCGCCGGACGTCAAATTCGAATCAAGATATTTCTCTTCCTGTGGTCTGCAAGGTGCCGGTTATCCCGATTGCTTTTTGTGGTTCCTCCGTCCTCGTCAAGTCCCCCCTTGTTGCTTAAGCGGGGGGTCCCTCCGTCCTCTTATGCCCTCCTAGCCCCCTTCCGCGACCGACAACCATCCGGGTCCTCGACACATCTTACACGCCGCACGCCGCCACCGCAGTCCACTCTCCCCCCTCCGAGAATCCTCACAGATATTCCCAACTCCTTCATCGCCTCCATCAAAGCATCCCCTGCACTTGTCGCATATTATATACAGCCCAGCGCCTGTCCCGGAGTCTAAATCGTTCTTATTTACCAAGACGCCAAGCTGCGAGCCAAGACCTGCGAGGATCCATCTTCCAGGACGCACACCTAACGCCCTATTCGTATTGCCCCTCGTTGTTACTCCCTGTCGCCATTTCACTGCGACTCTTCGACGACCTTGGCCTGTCGTGTCACGTTGATTCGCGCATCTAGCCGGCATTCGAACCAGCTTCTCGGAAACGCACAGGCTTCGAATCCATTCTGCCGGTACTTTATACGTATTTCCGGTCGATTGAGAAGCCGTTGCTCCAACTTGCGCAACCGTTTGCAACGCATATTCGTCCACCTTGTTGTCACAACCCTCCGGCTACATACCTGTGCTCGGTGACCAAGGTCAGAGCCTTAAAAGCAAGCATCCGTCGCTGGCCTTGCCATCATCTGCAACGTGATCAGCAAAGATGAATCCTTTGGAGATCTCAGCAGCGAAGCTCCTCGCCCTCCGCCAGGATGATGGCACCGGTTCTGATGCCGTCAACGAGTGCGGCGCCGACGCCGTCGATGTCAGCAACAAGGGATTGCGCATCGCCTCCATCTTCATCATCATGATTGCTTCGCTTCTTGGTGGTTTCCTCCCCATCTTCCTGGCCAGGACCACTAGAATGCACGTCCCCAAGATGACCTTCTTCATCTTCAAGTACATCGGTACCGGTGTCATTATCGCAACCGCTTGGATGCATCTGTTGTCACCCGGTGTCGAAGCCCTGCACAATGAGTGCTTGGCACCAATGCTGGGCGACTATGACTGGGCTTTCGCCATCGGCCTGATGACTGTGATGGTCATGTTCCTGATTGAGCTGATCGCATCCAACGTCGCCTCGTCTGCTTTCGGAAGTCATGACCACGAGCTTGGCCACAGCACAAGCATGGCAAGCAAGACCAAGGACAATGGAACCGATAAGACGAGCGCTACCGAAGTTTGTCCCCACGACGTCGACACTGAGAGGGGTGTCAATTTTGTAGACCCCAAGAAGGTGCCTGGACTCCCAGACGATGTTAGCTACCCACCCGGGGGAAGGGATCATCTCGGCCACGCTCGCGACCACACTGAAGGAGATAGCCACAACAGTCTCACCGGCCAGCTGCTTGCCATCTTCATCCTCGAATTCGGTGTCGTGTTCCACTCCATTTTCATTGGTCTCGTACTTGCCACCAGCAACGAGCTCGTCGTTCTTCTCATCGTCCTCACTTTCCACCAGTTCTTCGAGGGCCTCGGTCTAGGCTCTCGGCTTGCCACTGCCACTTGGCCACCCCACGGCCGCTGGTGGCCTCACATCCTCGCCACCATCTACGGCCTATCGACCCCCATCGCCATTGCCGTTGGTATTGCCGCTCAGCCAAACAACGCCAAGACGCAGACTCTTGTAAACGGAATTTTCGACTCTATCAGTGCCGGTATTCTGATGTATACGGGTCTGGTCGAGCTGCTGGCGCACGAGTTCATGTTCAATCCGCAGATGAGAAACTCACCGCTCAAGGTGCAGCTCTTTGCCTTCGGGTGTGTCGCGCTCGGCGCTTGCGTGATGGCTGTCTTGGCCAATTGGGCCTAGGTGTGATGGATTGGCCATGACGGTCGTTGTGCCGAAAACAAGTAATGAACAACCGGTGAAGAGACTGGAAATTGGAAACGGATTATAGGGGCAATGGGTGAAAATGATACCCGGGTCGGTGAGCCTGCGTTAATTGCACGGTGTGGAATATTCCCTTCGGAGGCATTTTGGATTTTGCATTGGTGGGGGTTCTGCATACGCCTCTCAGGCAGGCATATAATTGGGATATAGATAGAAAGAATCAATGTGTGCGATCGCAAATGCCTGAAGTCGAAACTGTCACTGGTGATGCTGCGAGCGCATGTTAGCCTGCTTCTCAAGACGGAAGAGATTGAGTATAATAGCCATTGTTGTCTCAAGCGCAGCCTCCACATCTTGACACCCTCAAAACATGACGCGGAAGGGCACGAGACTTCGACAACCACGAAAATGACTTCATTTGAACGTTTCTAAAAGTAAGGTAAACATAGAATCTTGAAAGTTGAACGCAACTTAGGCTGGCCTGTCCTGAGCCCCTCATTCACTCGAGCGTTAGCCCCCCGCGGGGCAGGATATTTCAAGCCTAGCGGCCATGGATCTTAAGTAATCAGCGCTTGGACCCCGGTGATTGGTTCGGTGACAGGCCGGTGTGGTGGGAGAGAAAAACATTTCGCTGGAAGTGCACGTGACTCTTGGCCCCGCAGGGCTTTCTGCCCTGCGCCAAGCTCTGGGAACCACCAAAAAATTACCATCGCAGCTTTCGTGCATTTGCACCCCCCGACTTATTGACCGACCGACCTCATCGCCAAATTTCATCGCCCAGCGCCGCACCTAGTCCACCCTTCTCCCCCCTAATACCCAACCAAAACCGCAAAAATGGCCGGTGGAATCAACGTTCGCGATGTCGATGTAGGTTAACACCACGTTCTTCTCCCTCTGGAGACCTCTCAGCCCGCCAAGAAACAAAAATCGCAAGATTTCTTCGAAACCTCGAATTGCGACCAAGATCACCTCAAGAGTACTATCCGATGACACCGCACTTGCCTACACCACATCTCGAAAGCCAATGCGCCCACTGCACTCCGGTCACGATCTCGCGGTACCCCCCGAAGCTTGATTCACGTCGAGGTTGTTGAAACATACCCTCTTGGTGCATCTTGCGGATGTCGCGACCATGACACATGGGAGAGAGAGAGATGTAAAGTGACGAAAGGAGATGCAACGTAGGCCGGGCTTTCGGGTTGTGGTGGTCACGTCGGCGAGGGATACGACTGAGGGAGCAAGATACACAATTTGAGGAAACGGAGCAGGCGCGAGGGAGTCGAAAGACTTCTGATGACGGAATCATGCTAATTGGTAATTTTTTTCTCCGGTGCAGGCGCAGAAGTTCATCAACGCGTACGCCGCTTTCTTGAAGCGTCAGGGCAAGCTGCCCATCCCCGGTATGTTTTCCTCCCTACTACCCCTTCTTAACTATGTCGAACATGCCATGCTAACGATGAATGCTGTTAGGTTGGGTTGATATCGTCAAGACCGGCCCCGCCAAGGAGCTCCCTCCCCAGAACATTGACTGGTTCTACGTCCGCGCCGCCTCCGTCGCCCGCCACATCTACGTCCGCAAGACCGTCGGTGTCGGCCGCCTTCGCAAGGTCCACGGCTCCGCCAAGAACCGCGGTGTCCGCCCCTCCCACCACGTTGACGCCTCCGGCTCCGTCGACCGCAAGATCTGCCAGGCCCTCGAGAAGATCGGTGTCCTTGAGAAGGACGAGGAGAAGGGTGGCCGCCGCATCACCCAGTCCGGCCAGCGTGATTTGGACCGTAAGTTTACCTCATGTATATGAGTTATCTCGAGCACCATGCTAACATACCACAAAGGTATCGCCCAGACCACCGCTGAGGCCGAGGAGGAGGAGGAGGATGACGAGTAAATTATTCCCCCGACACGATTCAAAAGCTGTTTGTGGTAAAAAAATATGAGGTTCCGGGTCATGGCTACGGCAATGGGCATTGGGTTAGGCGTCTGAAAATGGATTACGGGTTTCATGATTGCAACATTTGGAACCACACCCAAATTCAAGTTCCGTCCTTACCTGGTGTTTCGATACTCTTGACATGTAGTGTGTGCTACACGCCCGCAGAATCCACGTCGGACCTCGCGTTGTCTTCTCACTACTGTCGCACCTTCCCTTTGACGTGATGCTACGTGAGCTGCCGCGCGTCTGAGCTCCTGGCCTCCAGATCTACATGTCACCCACCCCCACGCACTCTCTTCTCTCCATCCAATTTCTTATGCTCGTCCACTCCCTCACCGGTATCACGAGATTCCTATATCCCGGTCATCACTTGTGATTCACGCGTTCGCACACTCCTTCCTTCCGGCGAAGCTTGTTTCTTCCGATACTCATTTCAGATCGCAATAGCCCACTTACAATGCCAGCCTGCGATTCGATCCCATAATTTTATCCTTCGGTCAACGCCAGGTATTCGGTCAACCTTCGAGTAGTCTACCCTCTCGTACCGCCGGATATTGAGCACCTCGCTTCATCCACGCCTCACTCATACTTCCCGGCCCTTCTCTTCCTCGATAGACTGCGGTATCCTTCTCGCCTCGTCAAAACTTTCCCCGAGTGTGTGGCGACTACGCGCTAGTACCGAGCTCATATCTCGTTTCATCATTCGCGAGATCTGATTTAGCTCACTCGTTTCCAATCAACAACGTCGTTCTTCACTCATCTACGTACGATCTTCTTTCTCTCGCTGCCTCTTCTTCTTTTCCACAGACCTCTTTTCGCTCCAACTCCCCGCGATTGGTTTTAAAATACTGGTCGATCGCCGCTTCAACCTCCTGTACCCTTTCCCAACGGTTTCCTTCTATCCTACCACTTCGCCTATCTGCTTTCGACACCGCGCGAAAAGGCAAGCTTTCTCACGACCCGTACTTTCCTCAGTTCACCTCGGTCTCAAGGTTCGCGTTCACGACGCGCCTTACTTTCCCCTTTGCAGCTTTCTTCTTGTCCTCCAGCTCATCACTACTTAACTTGACGATAAGATAGAAAAGCTTCACTGAAGGATTCAGAGTCCAGCTCGTCTGAAACTTCCACCCCCGGGTTATTGAGCCGAGGCGCCTTCTCGCCAGACTCTATTTTCAAGTTGTTCCCATCGACGCTTGAAAAATCAACGAAGACAACAAACAGCATGGATACACGCTTGACAAGTATCGTCCATTCAAGCGAGGATTCCCAAGGAGTCGCCGGCACTAAAGAGAAACGAAACCCCGCTGGTCCTGGTAAACATACACCCTCCCTCGGTCACGCACAAACGCTTGACTAACATCTCATTAAGTCATCGTCTTGGAACGAAGATCTTGCGACGTCGCGTTGCCCACCGTCGAGCTCCGTCGTTCAAGCCAACTCAGCCTCAGCATGTCGGACCGCGTGCCTTCCGCAAGTCAAGCTCCAACGACGTCTACAAAGAACGACATAGAGCACGTCGAGGTCGAGAAGGAAGCGTCCGTCATTGAAGACGTTGTGATCTTTGACAAACCGACAGAAAAGATCTTCTTTTTGAAGCGGATGGAAGAGGGGCGCCCCCACTTTGATGTTCTTGTAGAAGTTGGACAGGGCCAGATGCGGCTCAACGCCAAGCAGGCCGAGATTGAGTACGCAATCTGGGAAGCGAACGAAGATCTTTTCATATACCGGCAGGCTGGGCCGGATATCCGGATCCTACAATCTCTCGGGAGCGTCGAGTATCGTGGTGCCAATGACGACAAATACGTCAAGCACAAGTTCAGTATCAAGACGTGTGGTTTTATCGGGCACCGGGACGCGAACCGCCAACTGAATATCATGATGCTCGCGGTGAGCGGAAAGTCCTTTCTCCCCCACAGAGAGGCGGACAAGAAGGACTTTCTGCATCACTGCAAATGGCACAAACGTGTCAAAAACATGGCCCGTCACCTGAACTTGAACCTGCGAACTTTTTACGACGGCGCAGGGAAGCCAATGACTGCAGAGAATTGCGGAGATTGGCGAGCTGGTCACGTCGAAAAGAAGCTAGCCACTCACGTGGCTTACGCTATGCTCAACTTCTATGACATTCAACCCAGCAAAAAGAATGATGTCTCGCTAAGGGACCTGGATCAACTTCGCCAACAACTCAGAAGCAAAGGCTTGACACCGCGTTTCGAGATACACCTCAGTCGAGGACCCTGTGGGACCTCTACGCGCCCGGGTCAATGCATTCCCTTTGTCAGGAAGCTGGGTCGGGCATCGGGCATCAACTTTACTATTCATTCATAGGAGAACAATGTGATACTTGATGGCTCAGTGCCCCCCAAACCCAAGGCGAGACCTGTCAACGAGGAGCTGAGCGCTCTTCATCATCAAGCGAATCTTGCCGGCCCCAGTCTCGATTACGACAGCGAGGAAGAGGATTTACGGATTCACCTTGCCGAGGCCGAGGGTCGGGGGGACGACATCGTTTACGATGGATTCGAGCCAGTGGAAGATGAGCCTTGCACATACAATGCGCGAGCTACCGACGACCATAACACAGCCGACACGACGTCGTCTCCGTTGCCCCAGCTACATGTCCCAGCGGAAGTAGCAGCCAAGTTTGGCGAGAACTTGCGTCAGAAGTTTACTCGCAAAGAAAAGCCCGCCGCAGATAGCATCGACACAAGCACCGAGACTGCAAAGACCACGGAGAGTATGGAGGAAATCGAGAGGGAATTATTCCACATTGAGCTCCACCGCGCTCCGTCGCAAAGTCAGTACTGGGAAGAGCCCGCTCCAAGCACCCACCAGGGACAAACAAGGACGCCACGAGCGGATAATACAAAACAGAGACGGGCTCGAAAGATTGAGAAGAGGAAGGAGCGTGCTGCCGCCGCCAAGATGGAGAAGAAACGAGCGAGAGCAAGTAAAAAGACAGGTAAACATCAGACACAGAGCGCGGTGGTATTGGGGTGCTGGCTGACAGCGTGTTGGCAAAGAGGGCTCTGCTATTGCAGTTCGTCTGGGGGCGCTGCTCAACTCCAGCAACCGGATTGGTTGATGGCACTGTTAGCAGAATAGGTACGCCAGGTCAGTCAGTATGCTCCCATGACGAGCCACTCCGTACGTGTTGAGTCTGACGGTGTTGCAAGGATTGAGGCTGGTTTTCGAGGAATTTTCCTTTCGTTTGGAGTTGGGATTTGAATTGAGTGATTGATGTGTCGCCCTTGCGGTGTGTGATACGTTGTGAAACGACGAGACCTACGGAGGTCGTCTTGGAGAAGGGCGGACGTTGGTTTCCTTGCAGAGACTAGATAGATTCTAGGGACTCGTGGGCGAAGAGATGAGATGGAATAACCGTCTAGCAGACACCATACCGGCTGTTATGTCAACCAACCTTACCTCCAGTGTTCCCCCGGCGATCATTCAGCTATTAAACAAACGCTTACTCAACAGCTCTCACAATAGTCGGACACAATCTACGTGTGATGTTTGTTTGTCATGCCTTTTTAACAATAAGTTAGTAGCTAAAACATACACTACGACTATCCCACTTCAACGCCACAGGATCCCAAAGCTGCTTCTCCAGTGTGACCGACGACTCGCCAAACACAACATTACAATCGATGAAATGCTGTTGGTCATTCGTTATACGACCCACAGACGCCATCGTATTCACCCACTCCATGATGACCAGGAACGTACTCGTGTCCCAGAGCCCGTCTCGCCGAGGAAAGTCCTTGAGCAGCTGGACGATGGCTTGTCTCACCCCGGGCATCGTACACATGAGGAACACGGTACACAGAGGCCACGTCGGGCCGTCTTCGATCGTAAAGACCTCTGCAGGTTCGGATCCATCGCGTTGCCCGGCGTCGTGCGCCTCGAGGAGCTGCCTGCTCATCGATATGATGTCCATGAATGCCGGCGTGATGCGCTTGGTCTCCTCCACATCCGTCCAGCCGGCACAGCGTACCACGCTCCAAAGGTACAAATAGTGGACTCGAAGGCTCAGGGCCTTGTAGTAGCTCGCGGGGTTAGTCTTTTTATGAACCTCCGCCTTGACGGCGAGCGGTTGGAACGCGAGGTGCCAGGCGTCGGTCAGGCCTACGAAGCTCCGGACGCGTGCCTGGGCGCTCGGTGAGCTGTATTCGTGCGGCGGTTTCTCGGGTACCGGCGCCGTCGATCCCTCGACGACGAATCCAGTGTATAGCGGTGCGTGATGCTCGACGTGGTGGCGGACGACATTCCACCAACGGCGGGCAGCTTCCAACGTTTCAAACGTCGCGGGCATCTCCTCGACAGCGTATCGCGTCTTGCGTCCGCGGCAACACCACGGTACTCGATTCTTCGTCTCCTTTGGGTGCGCTCCGCCGTGGGTCCAGGATTGGAGACTCAGATGCTGGAAGCCAATCATCACTTCTTCCAGCAAGGGGCTTGGCTCCGCGATTTGGGCTTGGCGGCATTGGTCGAGGATCCGGGACCCGTGGCTGATGTGGTTCAGCCCGGCTGCCTTGTTGCCTCGGAAGCTCTCAAACGTGATGAACAAGAGACAAGCCAGCAATGTCCGTTCGGGGGACATTGGTGTTGAGTAAAGGATATTCATCGACTTTGTGTAGTGGAACAGAGCATCCGTGTCGAACTTGCCTCGTCCGAGGAGACGTTGTTCTCGCGTGGTGGCGCCCAGCGCCGCGGCACCTATGGCCAGAGCTGCATGCTTGATGGCCGGGTCATTCCATGAAAGTTGGGGAATGATTTGTGTGAGCAAATCGGAGCGAAACATGAGGGCGGCGTTCGTGAAGGATAGCCCGTAGTCGAAGTGGTCTTTCTCGCGCTGGCTCGAAAAGACGAGAGATGAGTAATTTGGCTCAATGAGTACGACATCGAGGACTTGGTTCTTTGGTTGTTTTGGAAACAGCAAGCGATTCTTGGGCGGCGGTAATTTGGATGGCTGAGTTTTGCTCGCTTTGTACCCTCCGCAATGGCCTTGATACTTCAAGCAAGCCGCGCAAGCGGGTTTGCCCTCGTCGCACTTGACACGGCGAAGTCTAGAAATAATATGCGCATCAACATTAAGATTCTGTAAGATACGCCCTACAAGAAAGGCTTACTTGCAGGTGACGCATCCGCTGCGAACCTTGGGCTTGCTAGCTCGGACTTGTTGAGGTTTTGAATCGAGAGCGAATTTGGTGATCATAGGGCGAAGATCAGTCATGTTGACGCGTGCCGACAGCCTGTAGCTACTAAGGATTATGTTGCTCTTTCAATCTGAATCGCCAGACCAGTGTCTTAAGGTTGATATGACAATCATTAAATGAACCCAGATTAAGTACAGTTGTTTTTAAGATGAAGTCGACTTCAAGTAAAAGGCGGGACAAATAGCTGGGTTGGTCCTTTTGGAGCCATCCCCGCTGGGTCTTGCCAAGGTTGTCTCCCGCATAAGCACTAGTGCAATTCTGGCGAGATCAAGTCATTTATTACCACAAACACGCCACGACAACACGGTCCAACAGTTCTCTTTGTTTTGCGGCCTGGCTCGCTTAGAATCTTTCGTAATCTGGACTTGGCTTCCGTCCATTTAGAGTTGGCACCGCGTGGATACAATACCTCTCTTACCTCAAGTTCCGAATGAGGGGACAATTTTCAACCCTGGGGCTTAATTCGATGGACCCCACGCCTGCTTATGAACGCAGACACTGACTCCATTTAGCTAGCATGAGTCTCGCCCTCCTGTGAGAACTTCTATTTTCATCTGTCTCTTTATTTGTCTTTATCTATATTGTTTGCGCTGGTTAGTCTTGTTTTGACTTTAATATTGATAGCCACAGCAGCAGCACTCAAGAACCAGTCGCGTCTTACTGGACCCCGCGTGGGCAATGTCCCCAGCCTCCGAGCACTAAGTGCAATTCCCTTGCTCTACATGAGTGACTATCGACTTCTCACAAACTTGGTGTGCCTTCCATTTGCCACAGTAGCGCCCCTCGTCCCATCCGCAGCGTTGACTTTGTAGATGTTGACGTGAGTGAACGCCAAACTGCCTCCAACTTTCTCAACCTTGCCCTCAATCTCAATCTCGTCGCCCAATTTGGCGCCTGAGAGGTAGCTGATGTTGATATCGACGCTCACCCCCGTCGCCTCACGGAGATCCCACGCCGCAATCGCCAAGCCGCCCGCCCAATCCACGATGGTCGCCGAGACACTGCCGTGAATACTGCCCGACGAGTTCAGGTGGTTCGCGGTGACGGGCAGACGCGCGATTATGAGGCCTTTTGAGGCGTGAGTGAGCTTCAGGCCGGGGTTGAAGAGGAAGGCGTAGATTGGGGATGCGTTGCCGCGGGTTGAGATGTAGTTCTCGATGTGAGCGAACGTGGCGGGGTCCGATTGCGCAGAGGGCCCGGTGGCGGGTGGGGGTTGAGACGGCGTGGAAGACATAGTGAAGGCGTTTCCAGTTTTTCGACTGCTTCTTTTTGGCAATGAATCAATTGGAGGTCAGTCGGAGAAGTGATTTGTGATGCTGGATGTTAACGACACAGACACTGTTGAGTTGTTGAGTGACACAATCCGGCAGCAAGGGCACGTGCGCCAAAGATTTCTTTGAGGTCGGGCGGACTCCGTCCGAAGTCGGGCCATGACGGCCCCACCTTTGCCGTCGATGCCGAAGATTCTCAACAACGATAGATACTCGTCACGTCGCCAGGGAATAAACCCAGACTGCCAAACGAATAGATATCGAGTACGAGGCGAATATGACGACTTTCGCCAGGCCCTGCTTTTTCCAGCTTGGGCTGGCATCAACTACAGATTTGCCCTAGCTGAGGTGTGGAACGATCGTCAAGATGGTCTTTGGACCGGTTTCGGCAGCATGGAGCCAGTTCCGTGTCAGCGAACAAGAATGCCTTCGAGGCCATCATGTGCGGCGTGGGGCAAGATGTCAGTACCAGATCCACTCGGCGAGCCGATGGGCGTGCATGCCATGGGCTATCGTATGTTATAAGCTGAGTGAAGTGGAAATTCACAAAATGACGGTGCTGAAGGGGCAAGCTTTCCAATCTTTGTTATTTGGGAAGGAGATGATTCTGAGAAAACAAAAAATTGGTTGGTCTCCAAGAACTGGGTTCATTTTCTCCTTATACCGGCACACACCCTGATTTCGTGATCGACCCCTGGACCTCAAGAGGCAATCTCCGATGCTAGTGTTGTCTCGAACTCTCACGTTGACGATCCTTCTTAGTCCTTTCGGCTCCTCGATGTTTGCACCCAGCACAAGCGAGACAATGAGAGAGTTCTACTCTGCCAACATCAACCTCGAATCCTTCAGTGTTTCCATTCTTGTTCTTCGCCACGTTTTTGGACCGTTAATATACGGACCGTTGAGCGAGCTCTACGGCCGTCTCATATTGTATCACGTCAACTCTCTTCTATTCGTTATAGCCAACGTTGCTTATTCATTGCCGCTTTCTTTGACAATGTTCATCGTCTTCCGTCTCATCACTGGCATCGTTGGTTCTTGTCCGCCAGCTCTTCGTTAAGCTAGCGTCTTGGACTTATTCTTCAGGAAGAGCGAGACAAAGGACTTGCTGTTTGGAACCTCTCGGTCCTGGTATCCCTGGGAATAAGAGGTGTCTGCCCTTCTCATTCTCGGGAATGAGAGTCCCCTGGCCTTTTTATTCCTAGGAACGGGACCGGCTTCTGTAACCTGAACCCTAGGAACAACCCCCAGCTAACCGATATCCGCATAGGAATCTCCTATAAAGGTAACAAAATCCAGATATGAGTTCCGCTCGTTGTTCGGAATACGGACTGAATAGTAATTGTATGGATAAAAATCAGGGGTCATATAGAAAAATCGCGGGAACAGCAAAACTAGAGAAAGTCAAGTGAAGATAAGGAAGGACAGACGACCGATACGATAATGGGATCGTCAGCTGCAGCGATTAGGATATCAGCACCAATGACCAGATTGTTGCTCCGAATTGCTTTTCACTAATGATGCTGATTACATCACATGTAATTTGCAATTTCATTTGTAATGTAATGTGATTTGTGGGTTTCAAAATACTTTGTATACAATTAATAGAATGAGGCATGTTAAATCAAGATTGCAATTGTGTCCATAGCTAATTAAAATCGATATAGACTTTTTGTATTTGTGGAGAGAAAGGCTTAACAAGGCCAGGGATCCTGAGCCATCTAGCCGCTCAATCGTGGTCGTCTGCCTCCTCATCGGGGAAACGCACCGCATATTCCTCCCTATACTCCCTTAGCTGTGCCATCTTTTCCTCCACGGCGGCGTCCATCCCCGCGCGCACCTCGGGGTCAAGCAGCTCTGCCGCGTCGCCCCCGTCGTGCAGCACCCTCCAGTAGATGTTGTCTACGTCGTAGCTCTTGCGGGATGCGAAATTAAACCAAAACTGGCCTGTCACCCACGAGGCGCCCATTCGGGCCGAGAGCGGCCGTCGGTCGTTTCCGTCTCCATCTCCACAAGCGTCACGGCCTTCCTCTGCCTCGACCGTCTCGAGCATCCGGAGGAACTGTTTCATCCGGGGTTCGTAGAGGTCACGAAACTCCTGCACGGCGTCGCGGTCAACCCAGCTGCCCGGGTCGGTCAGCAGCAGCCACCAGGGCGGTTCGTGCGAGAATTGGGCGGGCATGGCATTGGTGAACTCCCAGTCGAGCACGGCCGTGATCCGCATGGTGTCGGGGTCCACGAGCATGTTGGCCGGCCTTAAGTCGTCGCAGTACGGGGCGAAGGGACCAGCGTCGTCTTCGGCGCTGCAATAGGAGTTGACGAGCTGGAGGTAGCGGTGACGGGCGATGTAGCGTGCGCGCGCGATCTCGGGGGTGAAGGCGAGATTCCGCTGGGTGCGCAGATGAACCAGGTGCTCGTGACCCACGCTCTTGAAGAGGTCGCTGGCACGGGCGAAGCTCGTGGTCGGGAAACTATCTGTTGGGTAGCCTGCGGCCGTGGCCAATTCGTTCATGTTGTACGTCAGAGGTCTCTTGGAAGAGGACCACGCATCCTCCTCCTCCCCAGGCTCTCTAGGCTCTTTCGAAATAGCGCCAATACGCTTGAACTTGAGTCGAGACAGTTGGAGCAAGTACCCGGCAACTTGCCGGTAGAACTTGTCCAGCAAAGAACTATCCAGGTCCGGGTTCAAGATCAGTTCTTCCTGATCGTCGTCGGTAGGCTTTTGGAGAATCCTCGAGGCCAAAGTGCCCTCCACAAAATCCATAATGATAAAGGGGCCGAGCTGCCGGGGACTCTCGTGGGCCATGCCCCAAGCATGCAGAAAGGGAACCGGAATTGTGGTGTTGTGGCGTATGAACTCGATGGCGCGTACTTCATTGACGAGCTTCCCCTCCAGGAAAACCGTCGAGATGTGGCCGGGCTTCGGAAAACGGATGATAGCGTCGGGCCCGTCATCCTCAAACCTGATTCGGAAGCCCAAGTTGAAGGAGCCTTTGAGGTAGCCGACGATCTCGGTGGCTCGCCCCTTTCCTCGGCGGTCAGCGACAAATTTTGCTAGGTCGAGCTGGGCATCGAGAGCTTTTCGGATCCAACTGCGTGCTTGATCGTTGCTGTTGGTGTCTTCAAAAGTATCAAAGCAAGTGCTCAGAGAAAAGTATCATTCATTGTGTCGTGAGTATAGAGCTTGTCTTGTCATGAAGACTAAAGGTCACGTTGTTTGCGGAGGGGAATAAGAGTCTAAATCAGCGGTAGCCGCTCCCACTCCCATGTTTGTGCAGGGGTGTTAGGGTGCCCCTGCAGGGTGGTAGCTTTAAGGTAACGCATGTAAGTGACATAAGCGCCTAAAAACAGCTAGTAATTCATCAAATAGCGGGCCGTTCTCTCTATGTAAACGCCTGGCTCACCACGTTTGCACCACCCGAATTATACGTAGGGCGGCGGGTGATCTATGTAGTTGCACCTGAGCGAGCCTGGGCTACAGTGCTTTGTGACGCAAGAGATCAGATCTCCGTCCAATCTTGTAATTCCCCAGTTCCTTACAGTAATGTGAGCCGAAGAACATACGGTACAACCGAAAACACAATAATTTCCGAGCCGATCATCTAAATCGGTCAACACCTACCTAGGTAACGATATTAGAGAATTATTTCAAATGAGGTCGAACCCAGAGGCTTTGCCCCTAGGCATCTCATGAAGCACGCTGCAGTCCAGCCGTACCACAACTGTACGACTCCGCCCTGACATCCGTACCTAGGTGGAATATCTTACAAAAAGCATGGCCCATACCTGTGTCTACGAGGACGGTCGAATCTTCGTTCTTCCCATATGAGAAATCAAAGCCTCTCCTTCGTTTCATTGGTATGCTTGGCTGATATCGACACCGTCTCCAACCAATTCAAGCCAACAACGGCAGGTTCCAAGAGCAGTTCTTCTGTACAGGCTTTGGCTTTCACAATCTGGAGATGACTTGGTTGACTGGCGCCTTGAATCACGGTCTATCGTGCTCCAAGCTGGTCCTGGGCAGCTCCAGAAGGTGCGTTTACACCAGGTCAACCATATGGAAACCAGTTCGCCGAGACTCTCATCGCTACCGAAGATTACCATATTGAGTACATCACTGACGATAGAACCGGTATGATTACTAGCGGATGGCTACGCTTATGGGGTGTACTGAAGCAAATGAATCTTTCCCTTACTGGCACGCCACAACGGGTGGCCAACAATTGGAAGGTGGTCGTGAACGGTGCGAAAATCGACGATGCAGGCTTCAGTATACGTATGCACCTAGACTCATTCCACGAGAACTTTGATGAACAGAACGTCAAGTCGACTCTGTACTACATGCCGGCCGAGTTGAACTATCAGCGGAAACGTTATTCGAAGGAGTAAGTCTGTGTATTGTTATTCGAGTTACAAGACGAAGAGCGGGGCATATTCCGCCGCCTTGTACTTGCTAGAGGAGTTTCAGGCGAGATGAAGGACAAAGCTCTAGCACGATAAGAACGCGAAGATGAGTTCCCTTGTGAAGAAACTTAATACGCATAATTTTATATGCACCAGGAACTTTCTTATTGCGATGTCCTCCTTTTTAAAGGGCATTTTAATAGTCAATATAGTTCTTATGTTTAGCGCAAGCTCGTCTGATTGTATGTGGACCTGCGTTGGTCTATTAGTTTGTGATCGATATAACTCCGGCCCACTTGGTTCCGATTCTGAATCAATTAGCTGAAGTTAACTCGATATAGGGGGTCCATAAAACGCAATATCGACCGAACCAAGCGCCAGACGCCGGGAACTGAGGGGGGGCAGTGAGCACTCGGGGTCGGAGCACTTGAGAAAATAGCATCGACGGGAGCGACTTCATACACCGTCCAAGCAAGGGTGGGGGGGGGGGGGGGAACGAGCGTCAACGATGTAGGCGGAACGGCCGGCGGGTTGGCAGGATTATGGGCATCGAGAACAGTCTCAATGGTCTCCTTGTAGAGAGACCATCGTGAATAAGCATACGCAGGTCGACCCGGTGCTGATCTGCCTCCTGGAATTCGTTAGAACGTTCCAATGTATTGGCACACTACCGTGGAATAAACTTACGGACTTCTTCGCCAGGAGATTCTGGAGAAGGCTACTAAGCTTCTCGGTCAGAGGCTAGAGGCCACAGCGTGGAGGACAATTGGCTTGCATTTAGAAGAACTTTCGCCGCTCAAGTAAGAAAGACACCGGTTGGCAGTGCTTTTGTGATATTTCCCACCCTTATTGAGACCAGCCATGGCCAAATTCAAGCGGGAGACACGAACGATCTCGCGCCACCTTGCTGACCATGTTCTTGGGGGCTAAGCACATGTGTTACCATCGTTTCAGACTGTGCTGGGGAGCATACATATCCCTTGGCGGCCTTTTGCCTTTCTCGGCTCCCGTCATCTTGGAAGGTTTTGGACCGAAACCCTCCTGGGTTATCTTACGACCTATGTTCACAGTCAGCATGGTCCTTTAATATTTGTGTCGGCGCAGCACACACGTTTTTTGTTTTGGCCGATGCGTCGTTCTCAGACTCGGCCGGGACCTCGGAAACGCTCTCCTCATTTATACTTTTGTCGTCGCTGTTATATGGGGCCGCTGACAGGGGCGTCAACAGGGTGTTCTCCTTCTCTGACTCCCGTCCCCCCGGGGATCCCGCAGACAAAAAGCATCATCGGCAGGCGAGGGATACCTACTTCGTTCCGGGGTGGGTAGTTGTTGATTACTATCTATAAGAAAATCAGCAAGCGGAAAGGACTACCTTGATAGAGCACGCCTTGACCATTAAAATAAGAAGCCGTTTTGGTACTATTATGCTTAGTTCATCTGTTCATTTCTAACGTGAACGCGCAACTTAAACGAGGCGTCCAAATGGAGTATAATCACGACTGATTCGTCGGGTAGTTGCTGAAGAGAAGGAAGCCAACTGGTCGACAGCTACGAGATTGTATATTTTGCTTTCCGCGGCCTCATCGCCAAGAGTCCCGCTTTAAGGCTCAAGAGGGCAACACCAACCCTGAATGGAAGCTATGGAGAATAACAATGCACTGTGCGACGCAGATACTTTTTTCCTTGATTAACATCTCCTCAACGCAAAAATGACGTCTTTGCATACTGAGTACGGACAAAAGCGCTGATGAGCATTCATTGTTCCCTTGCTCTCACACTGGGGGGAGTGGTATATGTCACAATGGCCTCATTTTCACGGGCTCTCCACCTACACCTCTTGTATTTTAACAGGTATTTTACAGGCCCCGCGGAACGAATCTCTACTTGTTGCGAAGTTGTCGCGGCTTATACAGAACTAAGTAGTCGGCTGTCTAACAACTCCAGTGGAACATGACTCCTTCTACGTTCATCAACGCTAGACAATATTAAGTCAGACGGGAAACATATTAGAAAGTGATGGATATTTTAAGTTGAAAGGGCTGTCGGTTAAGTCCGCGTGACTGTTACTCATTTTAAGTAGGGCAGAAGAGCGATACTTGAATGACTCTTTGCCCCCATATAGCTGAAACTTTGAATACTGACTGACTCGTTTGCAAGGAGCTATCCCACTCAATATAGATTGGATACCAGGGCAGTGAAGTATAACCAAATCGTGGTTTCATATCATGTGCATTTAGAGTTCATACTTAATAGAACCCCTTTTTAGATGGGTTTTTCTTAGCAGAGGGTCTCAAGGGGAATCACGCAAAGGTGTTGTTGCTTTTAATAAACATGATTAGCACCCGAAGGGACCGACCTGTCCGGACAGCATCATTCTTTCCCGAAGAGGCAAATACAAAAGGATCAGTCCTTACATCCAAATAGACTGAAAAAAAAAAAGGCCTCTCAAGATCGATTCCATTACGATTCAGAATGTTGACCTCTATTTTCCTGACTTCTCTTCTCGCCGCAGGTGGCGCCCACGCTGCCCCGGTGGAAAACACATGGACTATCCGCGCCAACTACTCCCGTACGTACAAACAGATCCCATCATTCCCATGGCTTTTCCCCCCCCCCCTCATCCAGACTCCGAACCTTTTGAACCGCTCGGTCGCGGTCGGAGGAGGAAAGAGGGAGTCGCCGGGCGGCATATCTTGAGATGAACAAAATTCTCATTCCCATTCGCCTGACACATTGCAAAACTTTTTAACTAAAAAAAACTCCCCCCCCGCAGAATGCGTTAACAGCACAACCCTCCTCCAACCCGTCCTCGAAGGCGCGACGATCGGACCCTCCCCGTCGGCCAACGTCACGGACTTCTGGGTCCCGTCGAAATTTACAGGCAGCCTGTACATCAAGCCCGCCGGTGCGGTGGGCTACGGCTCGCCCTACCAGCCGCAGCTGGTCAACATCACGTCCACCGGACTCAACGAGCTGGTCCAGGCCTTCGCGTTCAACGGCACCGGGCAGCCTGCGAACGTAACGTCTCTTAGTTTCCAGTCGCCGACGGGCGGCGGCGCGATGACGATTGATCCGGCAGAAGGGGGTGGGCTCGGGCTCAACCTTGAACCCGCTGAGATGTTGATTGTTTCCTACGTAAGTCTCTCTCTCTTTCTCTCTCTCTCTCTCCCCTTATTTGATGGTGTGCGAAATTGCCGTTCTTTTTTTGCTAATGCTATTGTACTTTCTAGTGCACCTAATAGTGCGATCTCCTGGAGGCTGGCGGACCTGTCGTATAATGAGGTTGTGCTGAAGTGATGGAACAAGCAACCATGCCTAGAAGGAAGTAGACAGCAGGATCGCAAGTTTGAATAGAGGCATTTCATCTATGCCTTTACTGTGTACCAGGAACCAGAACGGAAGCAGCATATGAGATGCGTCATATTCGCAGACCCATTCTCACTTTGGCACCTTGTGTGCTGGAGGTGGCAGTAAAGCGCATGACTGGACACGAGGAAAGGGTTGACTTGACAAATGACACCTGCAAGAGACCGCTTGGTCCAAAATTTCAACACTACATGAATAGCGGTGTACAGAAAAAATCTAAATATTTTCTACTATTAGAATAAAAAAGGGGTGGTAGGGGGGGGGGGTATCACAACACACAACACGCATGACAAGAAACCAACGATCACGCCCTCGATCTAGACCTCAATGGAAAGTGGCGCCGGGTTTTCCTATTCCACCTTGGTCCTCCTCTTGGCTCTCCGCGCCCTCTTCTTGCTCTGCTTCTTCCTCTCGGCGCTGATTTTCCTCTTTTGCCAAAACGACTCGAGCCAGGCCCAGATCCAGGACCGCATCATGATGATTATGGTGCAAAAGACGACCGGGCAAGCAATGACCCAGCTATTTCCCTAGTTAGCATGTTTTTGCGCCTGCAATAGTGGTGGTGTCCTCGGGGAGAGGGTAAGGGGTTTTCCCAAACTGACAAGAATTGAATGCCCATCGGGTTCTGAATATCGGGAAACTTGTCAAAGTTTTGTCCAAAGTACCCAGTCAAGAACGTCAGGGGCAGAAAGATGATGGTGATGATGGTGAGCTGCTTCATGCTCTCGTTCTGGTTCGCCGAGATGGTGTTGAAGATGAGGTCAATGAGGTTGTCGGCGGAGCGCTTGATCTGCTGCATGGACTCGGTGATGATGACGCAGTGGTCCAGCACGTCGCCCAGGTACGTGTGCGTGAGGGGCGTGACGATGACGCCGCTGGCCGGGTTGCGGAGCTGGCGCGCGGCCTCGTCCTGCGACAGCTCGGTGCGGTGGTCGCGCAGGACGTTGACGAGGTTGTCAATGGGGTTGAGAAAGGTGAGCATCTTGTTGATCTCGCTGACGCAGATGTAGAGGCTGCGCGTCTGCTTGATGCTCGGGCTCGTGAGGACGTCGAGCTCGAGGTCGCCAATGACGTCGCTGTAGACAGCCGTCAGGGGGATGGCGAGGTCGATGATGGCGTCGATGATGGCTTGGACGACGAGCGAGGCGTCGCACGACTGGCGCAGGATGGTGGTCGGGTCGCCGAGGCGGACGGTGATGGGGCGCTCAATGTCCTCGGCAGACATCTCGAAAAAGGAGATGACGGTGTTGTCCGAGGTCAGGAAGATGGCGACCTGCTCGGCGGAGACGGCGAGGCCGCGCGACATGAGGGAGGAGTGGCGCTCCATGTACTCGGTGCGGACCTCGTTGGCCGAGGCGTGGTAGCGCTGGAGGGTGCGGACAAAGGCCGTCTCCTTGAGCTGGGAAAGCTCGCTCATGTTGCGATTCAGCTGGCTCCGCCCGTAGCCGCTGCCGTCGCCCTGCGTCACCATCGTCGGTCTGCCGGCCGTCTGTTTACCAGTCTCGGGGTCTGGTCTCGGCTTGCCGCCCATGGTAAAGGCGCGCTTCAGCTTCTTCATACCCTTTGTGGACTTGGCAGTCTTGACGCTCGCAACGTCGTCCGAGTCGTCGTCGCTGCTGCTGCTGCTGCTACTGCTGCTGTCGTCGTCGAGGAGAAGGACGAGCTTCTGCAGCGTCATGACGATGAAGGCGTGGTTGGCGTACCAGTCGGCCTTTGTGCGGTTCCTCGTATTCATGATGTCCTCGATCGCCAGCTTATGCAGCTTGTAGTACTGACCACAGGCCTGGATGACGTCCCAGCTGAGGCCGTTGACGTTGATCCAGCGGCTCTGGACCCAGGGCTCCTGAGGTTTCCGCAAAAAGTCGACAAAGTCTTCGTTTCCAAACTTGTGCTGGACCATATTCCTCTGGCTGAAGTCGAAGACGGAGATGTCGCAGTCGGCGCGGAGGGCGGGCATGGAAGCGTGGCCACCGTCCGACTTGTTTGGGTCGAAGCCGGGTTCGGAGCCTGGCTGCCATCCCGGCCGCGATATTTCAAAGTCGCCGTAGTCTTCCACCGGCTTGAAGGTGCCCGCCCGGCGTCGCATCGGGGATATGTTCTGGTCGGTGGAGGCGCGTGTCAGGGGTGCGCCGATCCCGTTGGCATCGTTGGGGGCAGCGACGCGGACGCGAGCCGTGGGCGAGGTCGGGGACATGGCGTGATCGCGGGTGTCGATCTGTAGGGAGGGGAATCGGACGGTGCGCGAGTGGTCTTCGGGCTCGCTGATGGTCTTGGACATTGGTGCGCCAAAGGACTCGGTGTCGGGTGACATGACGGTCGCACACTCCCCCGGGGAGGACAGAATGAATAGAGTAGATTCGGTGAGGAGGGAGGGGAGAAGGTGAGGGAGAGATCGGCCAAGGTTAGTTCAAGACATTAATATTTCGAGAAACGAAGCTTTTCGTCGCGTGGCGCTTGATCCGCTAGGGGTTCAGGAACCGCAACGGCGTAAAGCTTGGCTCGGACAGAAAAGAGTAAAAAGGGAAGACGGCAACTATCGCGTCGGGCGTGGCGTCGAATCGTCGAATCAGCGCCGGGCGTCGCAGAATGAATGGCGTTCTCTCAGCCGCATCTAGCGAGGTCGATTTCTCTGGCAGTGTATCCGTAGCTGAGACGTAGTTCGAGCATCTCAATTGGGCGACGAGAGTTGCGATGGCTGGCCGAGAGTTAAGACTGGACGAGTATGGACGGATGAACTGATGGATGTTAATGGCTGCAGATGTGGGATGGTTTGATCCTGTGCGACGCCGGGAGGAGAACCAAAGCGAAGGGAACGGTTCATGTCCCTTTTCCAGGGCATCGGCAAAGCAAGCAAGTTACAGATATTCGCGATGAACCCCCTAATGACGTCGCTTGGCAGCAAATTACAGAGAATAGATAGTTGACGACTCCACTAAAGCATTACTTCTCGCATCAGCCATTGGGCGACCCATCATCTGGCAGCGATTACGCTCTCGGCTGGTGCCGGTTATCCGCTTCAAGCTTCATGACCACCCCCTGAATGACAAGTTACTCAGTCTACCTCCTCGACACATCAAACCGGGGGAAAATGGCAAGCTTTGCCCAGTGGTCATGATCGATATCTCGGAGCGTCAGTGCCGTTCGGTGTAGGCAGGCCAAGGTACGGAGAAGAACCAGGTTCCATTCTACCTATCCATATCCGTAGTGTACATTGCTACTAAAGTCTAATCCCACAATCAACCCCACCCCCACCCAATTTCTGGCTTGCACCCACCCACGTAATCCGATTCCCAAATGTATAAGTCGTCAACGACGAAGAAAAGAAGTACCTATTTCGAAAGTCAAAGTCACAAAAAAAAGAAAACGAGAAGAAAAGGAGAACAGACTGCTACGGGACTGACAGTACCCTGCAACTCTCACTCCCCACGCTTCAAGCAACAATCGTGTACGTCTCGCTATTATCCCCCTTGCAAGCCGCCGTAACCAAACGCCCCTGGTTCCCAGGCACAACGCACGTCGCCGCATCATTCACCGGCGTCCATACAAAGCTGTCCCCGGAAATCTTGACCAACTGCCCGGTATTCGTCAGCCCCTCCCCCGCAGCACGACCGCCACAGGAAAACAACGTGACCGTGTCGCCATCCGCCCGCCGCCCGTCCGTGCTGACGCACCCGTTGGTCAGGCTGCTGACGATCAACACGGCGCCGTCCTTGCCGTCGTTGTGCTTCCCCTTGGAAATCACGTCAAACTGCTGGTTCGGCAGAGACTTGTCGCACGCGGCCACGGCGACGGGGATGAGGTTCTGGCGGAAGTCGCCCGCCGTCGGGTCGATCGACAGACACTGCCCGTTGGGCGCGCGGATGGCTGCCTTTGTGAAGGCGCGGGTGGCCGTGTCGTCAAAGGCGTTGGCCTCGGCTGCGGCGGTCGGGTTGAGGGTGCCGCCGGCGCGGGAGACGGGGACGGGCGTGGTGGGGTTGGCGGCCGGGATGGTGCCCTGCTGGGTGCCGTTGCCGTTTCTGGCGATCGGGGTGGAGACGGCGGGCGGTGCCGTGGCTGGAGCGGATGTCGCCTCGGGCTTGGCGGTTGCGATGGGGGCGTTGCCGCCGGCGTTGCCCTGGCCGGGTGCGACAGTGCTCGTGAGAGTCATGGTGACGGTCTCTTCGTCATCATCACATCCAGCGGCAGGCTCTCCCGTCGCAACGGCCGCGGTGGTCGTCGTTGGGGCAGGCTGTTGAGCACCATTGTCAGCTGTCCCATTGCCGCCCCCGTTGCCTCCGGCTCCTCCGCCCGCTGCTACTTTGGCGCCAAAGGAAAAGGACTGGGCCTTGTCGTCGGCGTTGCAGTCCGCAATGTCCACCGCCTTGCCCTTGGCCGTGAAACACTTGCCCTGTTCGTTCTTGGGCTGGAATGTCGAGGGTCCCCCTCCGCTGTTTACGGGGAAGAGCTGGGAATCGGTCACCAGGCCGTCGCCTGCTGCGCGTCCGCCACAGGAGAAGAGGTTCACTTGGTTACCCGCCGGACGACGGGGATCAAAGTTGAAGCAAGCTTGAGTCTGTCGTCCCTCACCAAGTCAGACCATCAACTTCTGTTAAACCCAGGTCAAAGCGGCACGGAAATGACGTACCAGGGTGCTGACGATGAGCATCGAGTTGAGCTGGTCATTGTGCTTTCCAGCAGTGATGACGTCCCAGCCCTGGCCGTCCGTCGCCCCGCACTCGGCTATCTGGATCGGGGTGAGGTTCGCCCGGAAGTCCCCCGACAGCTCGTCGACAAAGAGGCATTTCCCGTCGTCCGTCTTGATCTGAACATCGGAGAAGGCGCGCGTGGCAGTGTCGTCGCGGGGATGCGCCTCCTTTGCAGCCTCCTCGTTGAGCTCTGTGACGGCCCTGCGCTGGACGGCGAGAGGGCTGGCGGACACGAGGAGCGTGGCGTAGGCCAGAAACGTTGCCGCTTGAGGAATCATGGTGGCTAGAGAAAGTCAAACTGAGCGTGTGAGAAAAGAATGAAAGCCTGCACAGCAGGGTGTGTGTATTGCTACTGAAACGAAAGAACTGGAAAGATGAAAGACGAAAAGAAACCGTGAAAACACCAAAGTTGATGCAGCAATGTAGAGTGCGAGACCCCACGAGGAAACCCGGCGGCAGATGGACCCTTATACTCGGCCCATCATGAAGACTAGCCCATCTGTCGCCTGTCATCCGTCATCTGTCATTGAGCATCCAAGCGCCATCCCATTGACGCCAAAAGCCATCATCAGTCCCATGCAATCTCGTCCACTTGCTTCCCAAGGGCGCCCGGGTTCAGAACGTGGTTTCACAGGCTTCCCAACTCGCAGCGAGGTTTCGTTTGGCGGCCGAGCCCGAGGAGACATGCGGACTTATCCCCCCGGCACTGCCAACCCGCTTGTTCTTTCCCTAAAGTAGCTGAGCCCCCCTGCTGCGCATCACTCTTCCAATAGCAAGCTGCCAGAGGCCGTCCGAACACTCGTTCAACGGATGAGTCGGTAGAGATTAGACTCAAAAGCTTTGGGCAAGCTGCCAGAGTTCGAACGCAGGTGAAAGGTACAGGGAACGAGCCTCCCGTTGGTTGGGATGGCCCGGCACGTGAAACGGGTCGTGTAGCAGGGCGGCAGATGCTGAAGGGATGGCGCGGGGATCGTGGCGGGAAGATGAGACGGAATCGGGGGCAAAGGGGACAAGAAAGGGCTGCCGAGTTGTCAGCAGGGGGAAGCAGGGGAAAGCAGGGACGAGGAGAGAAATAAGAAGAGGTCCGCGCTTGTGGCCCCTGCACAGCGGGCCAGTGATTGGATGGGAGTGTTGCCGGGTACCGAGTGGGGCTTCTATACACTAATACTGACCGGGTGGGGCCATCGTGGGCGCTTGCCGGACGTTGTAAGTCCCTTGGAGGCCCTTCTTTCAAGCTTAAATTCATGCTCAGTTCCTAAATTTTGTCGTCTTACGGGCGCTCCCGCTTGATTTCCTAACAATTCTTACTTTTTTCTTCCTCTCGTCCTGAGCTTATGTCTCACCACAGATCCTCGTGCGACTTGGAGGGCCTCAAGTCCACTCCTCGCGGTTTCGAGGTTACTCTGAGCTCCCTTCGCATAGCCGTTTACGAGGACTCCAGGCACTTGACTGCCACAATTATTGTACGAAGACCTAATCAGTCACAAACTTAGGGAATCAATGCCCGTGCCTAAAGATGTCTTGTTCATTATTCGTATTCATGGCTAGGTAGGTAAGCCTTTTTTTTTAACGCTCAACTGTCTTTATACTCCAGATGAATAGCCAGGATATGTACCCGAACCCAGAGTTAAGTACATCGAGCGCCTGTTCAACCCACCAGCACATTAATCAGGCTTGCCTGATGCCATTTAATTCATTGAATCCAGCCTGAACTAGACTCTGCCTCCCCTTCCGGTCTCCAACGCCGGTCCAGTAAAACAGCCCACCGAGAGCCTTGCTTTTCGCATACTGAGCCTTGATGACTACCGATCTCGGCACATCGAAGGTCATGAACCCATTTGTGGGATCAACGTAAGAGGCAGCGGCGGCAGTCGTGTCGACGGCCGCCCTGTCAACACTATCATTCGTCATGTCGCAGTAGTCAATCTCAGCCGAGCCCTTTGTCGACCCGCCCGGTCCCTTCGCATTGGGAAAGGTGCGCGCGTAGGCCGGGATCCCGAGCAGGACTTTCCGGCTCGGGAATCCATTGCTCGTGACGTAGGTGATGCCATCGGCGCAGGCGACCTTGAGGTTCGGGTTGTTGCTCACCAGCGTCTTGGAGGCCAGTAGCTGCGCTTGGTTGCCCGAGACGTCGGTCCAGGGTCCCGTCAGGTCGTAGCACATTAGGTTCAGGTAGTCGAGAAGGGCGGCGGCCCTGCGGAGGTCAATATTCTTGAGGACCCATTGACCCGGCGGTAGGGCCGATGTTATGAGGTACCTGCCCGCGGGCATTTGTTGCCGGACGTCGCTTAGGAGGCTGATGTAATCTTTGCCTTGCTTGGCGTCGCTTGGGTGTTCCCAGTCAACTTGGGCGAATGTCAGAGCGAAGAATCAGGACGATACGAGGAGGGAGTGCACTTACTGTCGACGCCGTTGAGCTGCCACTTGTCACAAAAGGCCTTGATTTCCTTAGCAAAACGAGCGCGGGCGGTAGGGTTAGCGGCCAGGGCCGGGAACTCGGCGCTGCCCGTGGCACCGCCGACGGAGACGAGAGTGCGGATGCTCGGCTTCGAGGCCTTGAGCTTAGCGGTGGCCGAGAGACAGCCCTTTGTCCCGTCGACTGGGATCTGGGTGTCGGCCCAGTCGTCGATGAGCTTCAATGACCCGTTCGTATTGACTTTGATGAAGGCGTACATGACGTGAGTGATAGCGTTGACCGGCATTGTAGCTGGGGTTTGGCCCTTGTAAACTCGCCAATTGGGGTAGTAAACGGCGTTGACCCAACCTTGAGACATGACGGGCTGGATGAATGCTGCGAGGGCAATGAAATTGAGAATCAGAAAGGACAGTCGTCTCGATGAGGTCGAGGTGTATGTCAATGTCGATGTCGATGTCGATATTGAGGCTGTCGACGGGACGGCGCGGGGGAGGGGTTGTCCTCGGGCCATTTTGTACCTTAGGGCCCATCCGGGTGCAGCGGGGTGGCCCAGTTCGCTGACGTGGAGGCCCCTGGGGGCTGTGCTTGCCGTGGATGCCGCTGTGAGGCGCCCAGCCGGATCGCTATTGGGGAGCCGGAGACAGCCAAGGCAGGTGCTGCATCGGGTTCAAGTTTCCTCCTCTTCTGACCTCGTGTTGTGTCGTCGACCTTTTTTTCCCTTCTCCCAAGAATAAACCAACACAGCCGACGATGACGATCGGGCGAAAACAACAAACGGGAGAAACAGGAGAAACGGACCTCAGGTGAACGAGACAGCCTGCTTCCGGTGCTGGTCCTTGTTCCTAAAAGAAGAGAGACACTGCACGCGACTGGGGAAAGAACAATCCTTGACGGTTCCTGATCTTCCCTTCTCCCTTTCGTGCCTGAACCCAGGGGAGATCTTATACCGACCGCGCGGGACATTGGCTAAATTCGCAAATTCCAGTGGAATTCTGCAGGAATTCGATTAATTCCTTGGCGATGTTCTTCGATAGGCCACGCTCTTTCCCTCGGCAGGTATGTGAACGACGCACCGTCCCTGTTCCTCTCGGAGAATGCGACCCTGTCGCCTTTTAGCAGGGCCGTCGCATAAAAGAGTCGCAAGTTTCCCCTCTTGCCCCTTCGGAGCAATCAACACTTGCAGACGGGAAGTGATTGTTAATACGGAGGAATGTCGACCGCGTTCTCGATCGAGCGGCGGGAATCCGGGATTTTCGTTTGACTACGGACCCCTTCCCCCTGGGAAGAGAAAGATGCGAAAGGAGGCGGGAGGAAAACAGAGCCCCTTGGCTCGCCCTGCATCTAATGTCGCCGCCAAGGACCACGCGACAAACAGCAAAGTCGTCACAGATTGAGGAATTCAAGGACACGCTGACCGGCTGATAGGCCAGGGATGAAGAAGGTCTTTATTAAGGCACATGTGGCCGCAAGGCTCATATGGCAGCGGCCACGGAGACCGGTGTTCTAGAGAACTTGCATCGCAATGTTCAACAGAGTTATTCAGCCGGAAGAAAGACAGTTGATGGCCATCACTTGGCGGCCGCGGCGTCGAACGAAGGGCCTTGGCCGTTGCGTGCGGCCGATGAGCGACAAGGGAATACTACGATGAATGCGGTCGCGGCGTCCCGAGACATCTTCGCGCTCCGGCGCTGTCGGACGCATGCGGACGGATAGCTGTCAAGAATTGTTCAGCCTGCAGAGTGGACTTGGCAAGACTCGCCTTTCCATTCCTACACGTTGATTTTCGCCAACTGGATCTCTCGCTCGAGTACCAGTCACGGATTGAAGCCCAACATCTGGCCGACTGCATGGCCAAGACGGCCCTTCGCAGAGATCAGCCGCTGACAGCGGACAGATACGGTATGGAAGTTGATCTGAGGGTAGCTTACCCTCCGTATCATATTGAATGTCTCATTTTCCTCCCCTAAGCTGCTTCTCAGCCGCATCAACAACGAACCTCTGGAAGGCCCTAGACATGTCTCATGTTCTTCAGCTGGGTCAACATAACTGGGAGGTCTTGGCAGGAGGAGACGAGGACAAAGAAATGCCGTCTCGATGATGAAGCACCAAAAACTCACGACATCAGGACCATATCGATCCTTCCGATCAATCGCCTAGCTAAGCTCAGATAAAGATTTTCTATCTGAGGAAGCTTGAGATCCATGTGGTCAGTCACCACAACAAGGAGCCCATACCGGAATGGATTCGGCCTGGATTTTGTGTCGGCTTTCAAGCCTCGTACGGGGATGATCTCAAAGGTAGAATTTACAAGGAAAGAGTCTACGGACCCATTTCCACAAACGCGAACTTATACACGGATGAGTAAAAATTGTGGTAGGGGACCAGAATCACTTCAAGAGCCACATAGGTCATCAGCATCAGCTGGTGTCGATGCAGTTTCCAACATCGGATTTTCTACTGGCTTGTGCAAGTTACTTGGAAACTTATGGCATCATGAAAGCGACGCCTCGCGGGACAATCTTCACTGAAGAGATAGCTATCTTCGTTTTGAACGCCTACGGATATCACTGTCCATCGCGATGCGAAGCAGCCATGATCATCTTCATCTGCCGAACGGCCTCACCGCTCGTCCGGGCATCAAACTTCTGTCTCGGAGATCAGAGACCTGCTTGACCACATTAGTCCATGGTCTGCAGGCCGTTGCTTTCTTCCATCGAGTCGAATGATCCCTGGCAATACACGCAATATCTTCAGAGAGATTGGTCATGGGGTATCACTTCCAGCTCAAGATTGCCTAACCTACCTAAACACATCTAGGACATTTCTGGGAAACCATCAGAGGAAACCCCGCGTTGCCCCCTCCCCGCCTGGCTTCTTAGTATCATCGCCCAAAAATGGCGTGATGGCTCAGCATGGCAGGCGGGAGGCAAGGGAGAATGACAGTCACCCACGTTGCAATCATGGCGTAGGGATTGGTGGAAAACGAGGGTGAAGACGACACTACGAGCTAGCTCGCGCGTATTAGACGCATCGCGCTCCAGCGCTTTTGGTGATGTACTTCCCCAGAGAAGGAAAGCATGAGGAGCTTAGGCGTAACACATTGCCACGCTACCATGAGGGGTCCCTCCTTCACGACGAGCCAGCCCCGCGGGTAACTACCGTCTAGAGCAACGGAAGGCGGCGGGTCTTCCTTGGGGAAGGGTCAGCTGGAAATCCGCGCCGGCGCCGTGGAAGCGGAGGTCGAGATTCTAAAGCACGCAAGCACTTTCCTGCCGGCTTGCCCGGTGGCCGTGGTCTCGCCCGCGAGAACAATTTGCCGTACTGCAGACTGCTACCATTGGATGTGGTCAACCTCCTTTCTCTTTCTCTTTCTCTCTCTATACACACTAACGATGTATACTACGCCCCCAGAGGAGCAGCTACCGAGCTATTTTGGCCTGCGTTGGCTTCCTGCAACTTCTCTGCAAAAGAAGCTTTTGGACCGGCGACCCAGTGGTCAATTTTCGATTGCCTCGCCGCTCATGGCGCCGGATGAAAAAAAAAAAAAAAAGAGGAGACATCCAAATCACGCGGTTCGGATTGGGCTCCGTCTCTTGGTGTGCGGTCGTAAACGGTTCTTCCAGGGCATTGGGCGAAAGTCGAAACTTTACCACTCCGTTTGACACCGTCGCAATACCAACCGGTGAAATAATAGTCAAGCAGACGTACACAATCCGGCGACTAGCAGACGACGACGGCAACTTCATCTCGGCGCCGATTCGTAAAGGGGTTCGTGTTTGACTGCTGTCACTCGCGAGGCGAGAAGGTCGTCTTGGCAAATTAATGCTGTTGCGGATCTTGAAACCTTTCCATCGACCATGCTTCAGGTACACATCTTGGCGTCCCATCGGGGCATCCGGCGGACATGAGGAGAAGACCAGGCTGTAAAAGGAGTGATCTCGGCGGGGACTCCGCAACGAATCGGGCCTGTTGGAGTCGTCCGCCTTGGAGAGCGTCTTGGAAGTTGAAGAAAGGAGAGGAGCAATCATGGGGACCCCTCACCCATCCGGCCGTCGATCTCGGGCGTCTGTACGGATAGTCCTCCGTTAACCGAATGAGACTTTGGGTTGCCTTTTTTTTTTTTTTTTTAATGCGATGCAACGGCGGCACCAGCCAGGCGACCTAGCGGACGCCGCCGTGCAGTGGTATCGCATATCTCCATCTTTTGGGGAAAGTTGCAAACTCGGCTGATGAAAAACCAAAACTCTTTCGAGTCCAGACCTTGACGATGCGCCGCCTGACGTGGCCATGCGTCGTGATGAGAGCAGGGAACATCGCTACATCATCCTATTGACGTCAAGGCCGCCCCGGGGACCATGGCTGGTCAGCTCGCGAATTAATGTCTCGGAAAATAGTAGGGTGTCTTGGGGGGGGGACGAGCATCATCTCCCCAGATATCATCGCGCACCCCCAACGTCGCATCGCAGCTGGAAGTCTTTGCTTCAAGGTTGTCTGGAAAGAAGGAAAAAAGGGACATGTCATTGGAGCTGCAGACTGACGAGTGGTTGGTGTAGTTGGGTGTAGAAACGTCGGCTGATTTATCTGCACAGAGTAGAAGCCTCTTCCGATGTTTGTGGTTCTAGCCGTCGATCATAAACCTGATCTCTCAGCAACTTGCATCGGTACTCTGCGGTCAGTCAAGCGGTCAGGCGGGCGGTGGGGGAAGATGGGATGCCGCGCCGGGTCAGCACGAACTCCCTCCTCTCGTCCTTTTTGCCTCATTCGTGCACACTGCCGACAACTACTTTGTCCGAAAAGGACAAGGTTGCTGGGTCGAGTGATCGGGGACGGTAAAAGGGAGATGGGAGAGAACCAACACACGACGATGCCGCGATGGTCGCGACGTACGACAAGACGCAAGGTACCTGCAGGCTGGGGTACGCCTGGGTCCCATGGTTATGGAGGTGTCTAGCTTTTTACAGCCAAGAGCCAAGAATCTTGGCCCTCCTAAAGATGGAAAAGATGAAAGGCTGGGG